GACTCTACGGGACTCTACGGGACTCTACGGGACTCTACGGGACTCTACGGGACTCTACGGGACTCTACGGGACTCTACGGGACTCTACGGGACTCTACTGCACTTAACAACACTCAACGGCCTGCGATAAGGCTCGGAAACATTTGAAAAACGCGCGAAATCGTTTGAAAAAGCTTGACAAATGCTCGATAACGCTCGGAAACGCGCTGAAAACGCTTGATAACGCTCCAAAACACTCTAAAAACGCTCGAATACACTCTAAAAACATTCGAAAACGGTAGAAAAACGCTCGGTAACGCTCAAAAATGGTCGAAAAACGCTCGATAACGCTTGAAAACGCTCGAAAACGGTCGAAAAACGCTCGAAAACACTCGAAAACGTTCGAAAACTGTCGAAAAACGCTCGATAATGCTTGACAACACTCGAAAAACGCTCGAGAGAAAAACATTGCAAGCCGTTTAGCGAGTTCTCTACTTCATGCGTTGGCAACACTGGTTGTCCAAACTGCAGTTCACTCAGTTGACCATCTTTCGACCGTTTGACGCTTATAAGCATTATAAGTGATAAACGTTTCGCTCGTTAGCACAGTTTTGAAAAATCATTTACTACGGACGCGACCACGATGAAACCTACCCCGGTGGCGGACGAAATGTTCCCCGAAGGTGCAGGTCCGTTTACGGACCTCGAAGAGGTAACGATAACACTACTGTTTAGCAATAATAAGTGAGGTTAACCTCCCACTTTATGTTAGACAATTGTAGATCTCTGACGCTACATGACGTTCATTTGCATACTTTTAATTAAATCCAAATTATAATAGGCAGGTGGATCGAGTGGATTATTAGTGGACCTCCCTTCGACCGAGAAGGCGGTTCATGCTGACTTTTTCAATGGTAATACAAAACATACGTATTCAAAGCTTATTAGAACTTTAAGAATGTTTATTTATTAATATACGTTATCTAGGGCAGTTCTCAACTAGTCCTCTGACAAAGATAGATATTGATTATTACTTGCGTAATTTTTTTTTTCCAGATTTCGATGACTTATTTAACGATGACGATTTCAGCTAATACCTCAGAAGTGTCGTGATCGTTTTCTAAGATCAACGGAGCAGTTGATATTTTTAAGATGTAGTCAGTTATTAGGTATAGTATATACGTTCTTTTTTTTCCATAAAACGTTCCAAGAAATTTGTAGTACACGTGTACTTTCAATAATCATGAAAATCAGAAGAGCATAAGTTTAGTTCCATTACTAATAAGCATGTTTGTAAGTAAATTTAATCGAGTATGTATCATCGCTTTCCCTAATACGTGAATCAGTAACAATCGGACATTATTTCAATGATTAAAAAGTACTTTATTTCATTGGCATTGTAAACTATGTACACTTTGCCACATATCTTATCTAGTTGTAAAAGGTTGAATTTGACTTAAACGTAAATCATGATAAAATCAAAACTCAAGGTTTAAGATAGCGGTATAATGAATTTCATAGGATCGAGCTAAAATAAGCAACCTCGCTAAACAATTATTCCAAATTACAATTAGCGCATTACGTACTAAGTTAAACAAACTGCACTCACCGTGCAGATTGTCACGATAACAGTTCCATTCTTTTACAATCATAATCAAAACAAGGATATTATATCTATAACCGTCTCGTAGAACAGTTTTACAACGTATGCCATGATTAAACGAACCAAAATTACAGATTTCAAATTAAAATCACTACCCGCGTATACATAAAGTAGTTAATTAATTTCAACTTTATATAACAATGCATACAAAAAGAAAATGAATACCATTCAATAAGTCAGTTACGCATCTGCACGATGCACTGCCTAAAACGATTTGTACATGTAAATTTGACGTTAATCGTTAGAAAATCTTTCCGACTTTTAACAGAATACTACCAGTTCCATCGATTACTCTTTAACGCACTTCAACAAATGTTATTAATATCAAGAATCGGGGTGATGTTACAACAAAAATTGCAATTTACATTGGACAGATCGGAGGAATACTTCCGGACGTTTACAAAGCTTTCGCGGTTGGTTTCATTTTCGTGCCTTTGATACAAAGGCAATCCATGTAAAAGGATAATATCCGTATAAAGGATCTCGGTATCATTGCAATGGAGAGTTGCTTTTAAACGTGCGTGATACAGGAGCTCCGGACCAAAAAAAAAAAAAGACAACCAGTGCGTAAACCTCCATCGAAGGAGAAACAAAATGATTTTGTAAACTGTTCGCTAGGTTATCTAGAATCCAGAGAAATCTATATTACCCGGCGACGTGGTTTCCTCTAATGCAATGATTAAAAAAAAGAAAAGAAAAAGAAAACGGAGCGAGCTCGACTTTTCCGACTCCCGCCTCGAGTGTATACATATGTATAAACGAAAACTTTGCAAAGCGTGTTGGGATGGCAAAAGATCTCGGATATCAGGCGTGCCTCTAACAGTCAACTAACAAGCGTTCGTAATAGTATTACAATTTATTTATACTTCCAAATCGAGAGCCGGACCACGAGTCCGTGTCTGCACTTGCTATATCGTATTCCATTGCGTACCAGAGATACAATTATTATAAACGTGCCATAAGAAAATGAGTACTAGTTGTTATATTTTTTTGTTTTTTCTTTTTATACATGTACTGTAGGTAATATTGTAAGATTATAATTTATAATACATACATACTAGGCATTATAAATCGGTGAGACGATGCACGATTAAAATAGCACCGAGTTTCAGTCACTCTACACGATTGCGGGACGAGGTTTGTATACCGTTTCTTGAGCTTCTCAACCAATACTCGATGCAGAAAGAACCGACCTAACTCAAATGACTCATTTCTTATTTTTCTCTCTCTCTCTCTTCTACCCCGTTCGAAGAAATGTCTGCATTTCTCGTTGGCCCCGATCGATGCGGCACCCCCCCGGAAGAAAAAAAAAAAGAAGAAGTAATTACACAAATTAATCCGCCATGGCGCCTCTTCCGGCGTTTCGCCGTATAAAAGTTATCCTCCTCTCTTTTTGTACGCGCGCAGAGGGTCATTCTTTGATAGGCGAGAAGTACGTAATCGACGAGTGGTGGATCAAAATAGAGACGGGAGACTTTAGGGTGACTCTTACTTACCCTAGGCAAAGGTTTTCTTTTTGCGATTTTTCTTCCCGCTACCCCCCAATTTGGTTCCACTTTGTCTCGAAAGTAATTCCCGTAAATTTCAGCTTAATCGGGAGAACGCGAATAAGCATGCCATGACTTGCTTCCCGGAATTCACATTTTTCTCGGAAACAATCAGTCATACGAGAAAAAGTCGTAGGTAATAACATGCGCATCCCTAATAGATCTACAACTTTTGTATAAAGCTTTTTTGCATATAATTAATATTTTGCATGATAAACAAATGTAATTGATTTTCTCCTATATCAGGGGCTTAGAGGTACCCTTTCCTCTTTGTCCGATTAAGCTCTGATTTTGCACGAATTACTTTTTACATAAAATGGAATCGAATTGGGAGGGTAGTGGGAAAAGAAATCGCAAAGAGATTTTTGCCAAGAGTAAATAAGAACCTAGGGAAGCACCCTAGGGAGACTTCCAACTGGTTCAGATTATCGAGAGAGCGTGGAGATGATATACCGAGAAACTCGACCGGACGAGCCAACCCGTTACGACCGTACCGAGTGATCCTTCATTTTTAGGGAATTCATTGCATACCGAGAGACCGGATTCGCATAGAGCGAACGAACCCTGAGTCCAGCCTTGAAGAGGTCCATCGAGGTGCTAGTTAAGCTCGAGATCACTGTCGGCTTGGTCGTCTTGGTCGCTCTCCTCCTCTTCGTCCTCGTCTTCCGAAAAGTATGGCGGCGGTGACAACGCGTCCTCCGACAGAGACGTGTGAGAAGAGGACGGGGGTCTTGAGCCTGTGCTTTCGAGCTTTATCTCCAGCTCGTCCATCGACGTACTGGGACCAGGAATGGTTACGGGGATGAATTTTTCCAAGTCGCCCGTTGCCAGCTCTGCAAAGAGATTAGATTAACGCTTTGCATAGAGACGAGCCTAAGTATTCCTGGAAAGTGGCTGCTGTTATCGAGCACTGTTAAGAACAATGCCTTTTCATTCTTATTTTTCTATGCAGCGTAGGCGACACGTACGTTCAACGTATTTCTCGAGAGACTTGGGGACCATTGTCTTGGCTTTCTGCAGATCCTCCTCGGTGCACTCTCCTTTTTCTAATCCTGGAAAAAGGACCCCGTTGTTTCAGTTGGATCTTTCGAGTTGGTCGATCGAGCAGTAATTGGAAATTTAATTACGTACCAAAGGCTAGTCCCATTCGCTTTAGAACTTCGATGTCGTCGTGAATTTCAAACTTATCATTAAAATTAAACAGGTACTCGGTTCTGAAAGAGATGGAATGTGATAATAGGCACACTTGGAACGACGTTTATAACCTAAAAAGTGATTGGGTCGTACTTGTCGTTTGAAATGCTGCAGTCTATGACAGTCTTTTTACTGGTGTTGACTATGATGAATGGCAGCTGTATGGCAGAATTAGGTTTCGGCGGTCCATTGAAACTCTCGTTGTACCGATTGCGTTCAACTAAATTTTTAAAAGAGATGTGTTGTAGTATCAACTGATGCAATTGCTGTGTCTTCGCCTTGATTCTCTCTATTCTCTTCTTTTTATCCTTCTCCAATGCCATGCACTCTTGCAACGAATTCGTTGGCAAACCTAACCACCTGATTTCCTTCTTTTCCTTAGAAATAATGTTCATAGCCATCAACACGTTCAGTGCATCATAAACGCGTCTCCTTATATTCTTTTGATCATATTGCTGGAAAGGGAAAAGCGTATCAGGAAATATTTTTAAAAATCTACGCTTTGGTTACTTAAGAGACGAGACTGACTTGTTAAGAAAAATGGAGAGCTGCGGTACAAACCTGATCTGTTAACGAGTTTACATGGGCCGGATTTGTGAACTCCCCTACTAACTCATCCGCTACTTCATTGTACGACGTGGTCCCTTTCTTTTTCACTTTCTCACAAACTTTCATAGAGAAGTGTCTCAAACCCTTCCCAACCTTTTCCGTTTTTCTTCTTTTGCTGAAACGAGAAGACGATCTGGTGAAGTCAAATAATGCCACACATTTCCCATGCCGAAAGAGTTGGATATATTACTCTGGGACAAAGTCTCCATTGTCCGGGTCTTGCCGCTTTCGAGATCCACTGTGGTCCAAAATTGAACTTATAAATGTTTTCCCCGATGAATCCTTAACGACTTGTTGCCCACTGCCCTGCTGCTGTACTTGCTGCGACACTATGGCCTGCTTAATGTCGCTCTAAAAATGAAAATTACAATGTGCACTTACATCCTCTCGTTAAATTAATGATCTTCCAATAAAAGATTACCATTTGAGCAGATGTGAGCTGTATTGTTTTCGTCATTACTGATTCACCAGGTTTCACTGTCGACATTTTTGCATTTTGCAAAGGTATGGTTACTAACCCTATAAAAAGTAAATATTTTTCAGTGGAGAAATATACACATATGGCTAATTTCCAAAACTTAATTGGAATTCTATCGGAATCGATTAAACTTAACGTTCATAAAGCATTATCCTATCTTAAATAAGTATGCTTACTTTGACCTGGAGTCGACGGACTTTGCAGACTGATGGTTCTAAGAACTTGCGTTCCGGATGTCAAAACCTAATTACAAAAAATATGTGTCACAGATGATAATGCAAACGGTATATAGCCAATAACGAAGTGAAGAAATATTTAATCAAATCAATAATGCTTAGGCTCGTTATTGTTCAACAATATTATTTTGAAAGCATCATGTGTCAACTCGGACAAGGATTTTCAATTTCATTCAAAACAACGACACTGTATCTTACCAATGAGATTAAAACACTGAATAAACCAAATCTTACTAATACCCTCACGGCATACTGCTTTTCAAACATAATAAACATTAATTTTATTGCCAAATATTGTTGAACAATTTCTTCTATATTTTATAAAATAATTGAAGAAACTTGTTGAAATATGTACCTGTGAATCTTGTCCAGGTGCCTTATAAACTTTAAGGCCACCTGTATTGGTCCCAACAATACCACTTAGTGTTTTGTTGGGAGTACTTTGTACTACCTTAATTACTTGTGGATGTCCTGCAACAAAAAATTCCAAATTTAATCGTTAGTCTATCATCGATTCGGGAATATATTTCTTTACAGGTTAGCTAATTAAAATTAATATTGTAATTATTTATCAAAGAATAAACTAAATCCCCTAAAATAATTATGCTACCGAGAAGAGTACACAAAATGACAATCCTTACATTAAATCACATAACCTCTAGGAAAACACAGGACAAGATTAGTAATAAATTGCCCAAGAATAAAAACACCGATTGCCAATAAAGCGAGAAGAAATAAGTCATTAAACAACCATAATGAACACAATAATGGAAAGACATTCGTTTTCACTTATTGATCACAATTCTGCATTACCAAGTAACCGCCATAACATGTGCTCACATAAAATAAAATGATTTAATGAACAAATAAAAAAAAACTATAACAGAACGTTTATAAATAACACTTTATGCACTTTTCAACAGAGGATGCAGTTTCAATTACATTGAATTGTTTTTTAACTTAATGATCCCAATCATTATACATGATATACAAGTATATATATGATAAAGGTTTATCACATTACTTAAGAACTATTACGTTTATTAAAAAACAAAACAGATGCACTCCATGCATTGGAACATCCTTAGATCCGTTTCAATAACACTAGTGGAAAAGTAGAACTACTTTGCGATCTATGATACTTTACAACGTTCTATGGAAAATTGCTAAATGAAGCGTTTTTAAGTCGGTTGACTTTAAACCAACATGTAAGAATAAAAACTACAAAGTAACTTTCAGGAAAGCAAAGTTTTAACGCATTTCTAAAGAGTACCACGAAAAGGCAGGAAACTCCCTCGAAGCACGGTGTGCCAATTCATCGAACGAACATAGGAACGAAGCGAAAGCCCATGCCCCAGAGGAGTAGAATCTTTCTATCTCATTGCCAGGCTGAAATATTACACCCCCGCGGTACAATGCAAGAAGTATTGTCATTTTTTCCACGATTATGCGAGATCGAATAAAAGCCATGCACGTTTTCACAGGGTCCGATTTGGCGAGGAGTAGGAGGCGTCGCCGGGCAAGTAGAAATAAACCAAGGCAGCCGAATATCTAGAAAAATGAGGCGCTAATTGTAAACCCGATTTCGGGCCGGGAGAAAGCGTGGATGATATTTAATTTAGGGTCTAACATTACGACACGACAGCCATACATGCCGACTATTGGCGCGCACTTGGGCGACTTACCGTTCGCGTCGTGTATCAGGAAATTCATCGTTTTATTTTGTTGAGTCATCACTGATACCGGCCGGCCGTCGGAGCCTTAAAAACGACCCGAAAGATCGTGTTAAATTCCCGGAAAAATAAAAAGATCATAAGTGCGGTCGCTCCTCCGGACCCAACGTATCACCAAAATGGCGACTTCGATAGAGCACCATTTGCGAGGGTATTTCCCGAGTTTGCCGGGGCGCGAATTCGCCCTTAACCGCGGATTATCAAAATTAACCGATCGCACTTTCGGGGATATCAAGGGATACTTTCACAGGGCCTGGTACGGCATGCTAGCACGGCAGGAAAGTGCAGCTTTTTCGTGCAAATACAGGGGAGATGAGCTTGGCGGCAGGACAAAGCTAAACAGCTGATTGGTCGAGCGAAATCACGTGGTCTCTTCCATTCCTTGGCCGAGGGAGTGCGTCGCGAACTTATCAACGGATTCCTCTCGCGGAGTCGACCATGGGGCTACTAACTTTGAGAACGACAAACTCCCCTACTCAACAGCATCCCCTAATCCAGATTGCCAACACGGCGAGGGAATATTTCTAGGGAAAAATTGTCCAAAAGTAAAAACCTCGAATCAGAGTCGCCAAAATGGCGGCGGAATATCTCTAGCCACGAGTTGCCCAAAAATGAAGCTCTTCGCGTGAAAATCTCACGATCGTGATTGGCTTCTTTCCAAAAGAATTTAACAAAACTTCTAGGTTTTTTATTTCGACTAATTAGATATCACCGAGTGACGAGCGTTGCAGTGCGAGCGATACTTGTTGTTTGACTCGTTGCTGTCGTTTTCATGTGGACGACAGAAATTATTTTGAGATCTTGAATTGATGTACATATAAAATATTTAGCCACTAGCATGCCTGGTTCTAACGGAATGTTGAATATCCATAGTTTTTAAATTCTCGATAAATTCGAGTAATGCAACCGGGAATGTTACGGGAATTTAAGAATCCCTAGTATCAGATCTGTTTACCACCAGAGGTCCCCTATTTTTCTAGAAATTTCCCGAAAAGCCTACAGATGGCGCACACAGTTCTCCGCTTAGAAAATTCCCCAGGACAAATTTCCCAACCGGGGACAACGTACCAAAGTATAAACAGTTCTTTAAGTCTCGCATTATACATATTTGAGAAACGAAAACCCATCCTTAAATATGCAAATACCGGCCACGAAATTGGCGACACCGATTCCAAAAGAGCTATAGTCTTAAAAACTATCAGGTAAAATTATATGTATATTTGAGTTCTCACAACGCGCCAAATATATTGCGACCACTGATTTCATATAACGCGATTCTTTGTGCAACGCGCAAAATAACAATACCCATTATGCGCGTACAAGAGAAAAATTCCTGCAGTGCTTAACGTATTAACCGCGTTATACGGAAGTCTCCTGTGTACTAATTTTAAACAAGTATTATCTCCTGAAGAAATTACTTTACCACCTATCAGTAGCAATAACAAATACCGATTAAAATCTTTTCATGTCTGCAGGTAAACCGTCAAGTATCTCCCAGGTATCGCAGTGGACGCGGCGATTACATCCGTTTTGTTGCTCGTTTACCGAGAGGAAAGAAAACCGGAGATTCGTCCGATTAGGAAGCTGGCGGAGCCACGGGTCGAAGGAAACGATTAACGGTGCAAATCTGACGAAATTCGGCGACTCGCTGCGTCATCCCGACCTCTGGGATATCGGCGGCGCGTGCACCGAGGTCTCGCACTTTGTACCTCGAGGCTCGAAATCCTATTAAGTGACTTCCGTCATCGGGAGTCAATGGTATTCAGTCCGAGACCGAAGTGCAAGTTCTTTGACTTTATCCACGGTCGCCGTGTCCCCGGAACCAGTCGTTTCCTTTCCCAAAGGATGCGCACGTGGATGCACCGAGAGACGCAATTCGACGTAACGCATTCTTCATCCCCGGAGTAGGAGATATTTCGCATTCTCAGCCTGTACTCTCGACTTTTTCCGCTTAACGTACGATACTTCTGGACATTTTGGCATGCCTAAAAATACCCTAAGAGTGTGTATCAGGATGATCGAGATGCAACTATCTTGGTACTCGCTCTTATAAAAATAGCCCTTAACCGCGGACTACGCTTCATCCTCTTTTTATACATATACTTGATGTGAATACAACCTCTTCGTCCGCTTAACTCATTTTACTTACAAGGAATGTACTTGAGGTGTCCCCCTCCGATTTTGTTCATTTTTAAATATGTTACAGAGGACTAAAATCTAAGGGACCCGTGTTTTTTTTTTTATCGGCGGATAAACACTTTTAGGGGGTAAAATCAGACTTCAAAGTTGGCCGTGCAAGGGGGTGAGTTGGCTGTTTCATATAGAGGCACTCGACCGATTTTCATGAAACAACCGTCAAAATGTAGGGAATGAAGAATTATGAAACATGCATTTGGAATTCTTCGAAAAAATTCATTTTTAAGGGGTGAGCCACCCCTTTGAATACTTCTTTTACCCCTTGCGCGAGCAGTAATTGCTCTATCCAAATGAAAGTTGGTTAATTTATAGACCAGAACAATACAAAAAAAGTTTCATTAGGATAGAACTATTACTGCTCGCGTAGGGGGTAAAGGAAGTATTCAAAGGGGTGGCTCACCCCTTAAAAATGAATTTTTTCGAAAAATTCCAAATGCATGTTTCATAATTCTTCATTCCCTACATTTTGACGGTTATTTCATGAAAATCGGTCGAGTGCTTCTATATGAAACAGCCAACTCACCTCCTTGCACGGCCAACTTTGTAGACTGATTTAACCCCCTAAAAGTGTTTATCCGCCGATAAAAAAAAAAAAACACGGGTCCTTTAGATTTTAGTCCTCTATAACATATTTAAAAATGAACAAAATCGGAGGGGGACACCTCAGGTACCTTCCTTGTTAGTNTATATATAATATATATAACGACCTTTTCATACGACTTTAACGACTCGCCGCTTCTAGAATTTCCGAGCGTAATGCAACGCTCGTTACGCACGTTCATTCTTCTCCCCCCGACTTTTTCTCCTCTTAGCGGAAGACTTACGTACGTTATCTTCTGGAGCCTAACTTTTTACATACCGACAAGACGCGCGACAGTTGCACAACGTGCCTCGCCTTTTTTCCGGGTCACTGCTTCCGACTTTGCCGAAGACGAAGCCGCTCGACCTGTAACTCCGTCACCTGTAAAAAGTCAAAGATCAGTCGGAAAGTTACGAGAGAGCGATCGCGCCTCTAGGCCCAGAAAGGGGCGAAAATTCTCGAAGACTCGTTGAGAAAAGTAATTCCGCCGTTGCGACTGCGTCAACCGTGCGTCGCCGGTTATTCGGAAAAGTACTTTATTACGCAAGGCCGGAGAACCTGCGGCCGTGAAATAATGCCATGCAAATTCCCACGGGCCCCTCGATCGACGCAGTCGACGTCGCCGTCGGATATTCCGCCGATATCGACCTACGACCTTGCGAGACGCCGCGACGCAGCCGGACGATTTACCTCTTTCGCCTTTTTACCTTCCTCGACATCCACTGCGATGTTCCGGGTTTCCAGAGAGTTCGGACCCCTGGCGAGAAGAAAAAGGATGATCATTCGCTGACCAATGGCGATCCGTTTCGCATCTACGTTCGCCGTGTGACGTCAACCCATGTCCTTCCATAAAATGAGAACTCATTCCAGCGCCGAAATGTTTTATCCTGTGGAAAAGACCGTGGATTAAATTTCTCCCTTCAATCGGGAATTGTAATTTCCTATTTTAAGATCTTTTATTTCTGCTGGGAATTAACATTTCTTAGCCCTTTGGCTACTAAGAGCGCCTAAAGGCGCCTGACGTTTGGTCCAATATTGCCTGCACGGTCATACGAATCTCGCCCTTATGTCGAAAGAGCATTGCATATAAAATCAAATAGTTTACCATATTCCCACGTAGGTAGTTGCAATTAATAATAGTTGGAAAGATAAAGGAAGAACAATACGAGTCCGTTTTTAAAAAATCCTCACATTACATAAACGGATAATTAATATTACACTTTGCTATTCCTTATCTACCTAGCAGTGTAACATTATGCGCCCTGATATCATGAATTTTTCCATAAATCCTGAATTAAAATTTAAGTTAACATTCCTTCTCGTGATTATAAATCAAATTCTCAAGCGACCGAATATTAGATATCTTTATTTGTATATCTCTCTCCGGTTTCTGTCCATTTCTGGTTACACAGTAAATCCGGTTTGGGAGTTAACGGTTAAACGTAGTTTTTAATCCGTTATTCGTAAATCCGCAAGAAAGGAATCACAGCTTAAAGGAGCACTATTTTCTAATAAGTACCTTGACTTTACGAATACAGCATATTAAAAGTAACAAATTATTTTCAGAAATCAATTTAACTACAAATCCTCGGTTCTCTTAAATCCCTTTAAATTCTCCAGGGTATTTGAAGTAACCGTATCATTCTATATTCATCGACCATAAATTATCGATAATTTGGAAGCACTAGTTATGCTTATTATTTAGAAGTCCTTCCTACCTGAAAGCTCATAAAAGATCATAAAATGGCACCGTTAAGCATAAGCTCTTTAGAACCGATTGTAAAATATTTACCTGATTAAGATTTGCGGACGGGGCGGTTAAACGTTTCCAGAAAATCCGGTTAGAAGTTATATGGACTATGGAAAGTACGGGGACAACTTCCACCCGAAATTTCCACTTTGGACGAGCGTCGTTCCCAGGACGATGACGTCGGCGTCCTCTTCTTTCCGTCATTATTCCGCGATAAATATTCCCGTTCGCTGTCGTTGATAATGGCAGTCGCAAAGGTCAACCCGGGACAATGATGATTTCCCATGCGGCATTGAATATCGAAAAGCGTTTCGCCATTTTCCGCCGCTAACTGAAAGAAAGAAAAGAAAGAAAACAAAAAATGAGAAAAGAGATCTTGCAACTTTACCGCGTGACATTTTGCAATGTACTCTCAATTGCTGGATTTCTTCGCCGGAGAGAAATTCCCAGCCGGATAAGATTTCAAACACCAATGTATCGAGTAAAGTTTATAAGGTGATATGAAAGGGTCATTCAATATATGAAACGTCAAATTATTTATAACATTCTTCTCGAAACTGGATGCACAGAATCTGTGAAAACATTAGCATGTGATTATGGAGGCCCTAAGGAAGAATGTGGTGCTCATGAAATTTCATTAAAGAGAAAAAAAACACGTTTTCTTGATTATAGTCTGGGCTAAATAAAAAAATTCTTATGAAAAATGAAATGTCACGAGCACCAGGTTCTTCTATATGGCTTTTATGATAATAAGCTTTAGTTTCCAATGATAGGGTGCATCCAGTTTGGGGAAAAGTTTCATAAATCTTTTGACGTTTCGTATGTAGAATGACCCTTTCTTATCGCCTTAAATTACCGTAATGTGCTCGGTTATATTACCCGAGCTTAAACTCTTGAGCATTTAAAAACATTAGTAAGCCGTCCAATGCGAAGCCGTTTTACCGATTTATTTAACGGTTCATATTGAATAACCTGTATATATAATTGCATTGATAATTGAAAGAACGACGATAAGCAAATGCAATCCGTGCCATCGATCATGCGAGCGTGTTTGCACATTCGGTAACAGATACCGCAGAGATACGCGAGTTAATTCGGGATAAATGCAAGACTTTGTAACGATTCCAAGGCAATAAATATTTTTTACCCGAGCGATAGCATTGGACGCACATCTCTCGTTTGGCAATCTCTTCGGGCCAAATAAAAACACGGCAGATAAAATATTCGAATATTGCGCTAATACAATTGAGTAAACTTACGAGTACTTAGGTAACAATCTAATTACTTACTAATAAGCAGAAACGAGGATACCCCGAAATGACGAAATCTTATCGAAAAAGAAACCAATTTCATTATCCCCACTATTGCTATATGTGCCCATAATTATGAAAGTGGTCTAAGTCATATATTTTTTGTTTCGAAATTACATTGAATTAATTTCGTTTGAAATAATATGGCGTGAAATAACTGATAAACTCATTTTTTTTTAATTTTGACTTAGACCACTTTCATAATTATGGGCACATATATCGCTTAAGTCTATAACTTCCGATAAAAAAATCTCGTAAAATGATAACGGCCTGTATTCTTGGTCCACAGATTTTCCACGCGAGTTTGCAATATTTCCGCTGGATTTTACCCTCTCGAGGCGTGAAGTAACACGCTACGAATTAATATAAAAATTCGTATAAAAAAAAAACTAAAATGAATTTCGTATAAAAAAAAACTAAAATGGGAACCGAAAGAAATTTTCCACTCGAGTTAACGACATTTCCCCTCGAGTTCACACGAGGAGTGAGGTAGGAATTTCCCGAGCCGCCAATTTCTATCTGGGCCGCATCTCCCCCGATCCCCCTTGAAGCGAGTCTCAATCGGTTATCGGCCCGCTGCCGTTACCTTGACCTTCGCAACGCGATTCCCGGTGTCGCGCATTATCTCCAGCGTGGGACTCGCGATCGGGATGAGCGACAACACCTAAATAGACTCGCGAGTGACTCACGTGGTTCTCCGGATGCACGTGAGCGGCCCTCGATCCTTCCATTTGCCTTAAAACATTAAGGTGAACTGAAACACGTCGAGGAACTTGATCGACGTCGATAAAGAAGATTTTTCTAAATGCCTACGTTGCCGACGTTGGTTTTTATATTGACAGCTGGGTCGAATTATATTGTGTATTGTACCAAATGGCATATTCCACCTGTCGTTTTCGTACAATAATTATAAAGAAATCGAAGTAAAACTCCAGAAATCCTCTGGATTCGTGCCTTCTGGGGCCCTAATTGACTGCGGAGGGACCCCCTGCGCCATCTGTGATTTCCAGGTCAATTAAATTTTCACTCCGAGACCTCGTATTCCCATCGTTTTAGCATAGAAGCGCATACAACACTTTTTTTGCCTTTATCCCGTTCAAATGCGAGTTTATCGATTACTAGAGTGTTCTAAATTGTCGTAAAATTGTCCTGACCCTTTCGATTATCATATCAGAGCCTTCGATAATTGTATATTGATCGAAATATGAGAGCGCGACGCCATTTTGGTTCTGGTCTGGAATGAGTTAAAAAATTTGTTTGAAAAAATCCAAATTTTGAATGTGTCAGGACAATTCTTAGATGATCAGGAGTGATGTGTCAAAGTTTCGGACAGTTTGGTCTAATACCCTTAAAAAGAAGTGTTGCATTCGAATCGACTGATTTGAAGGGGGTTTCACTTCACCTTAAAAAATGCAAAGAGGAGCGACAACACCTAAAAAGACTCGCGAGTGACCCACGTGACTCTCCGGATGCACGTGAGCGGCCCTCGATCCTTTCATTTGACTTAAACATTAAAAAATGCAGCGATAACGACTTTAAAATACCCAAGAAATAATATATGACAAAACTGGAATTTTTTTTTTTCCGCGTTATATTACCCTGATAATGCAACACACCCTGCGCTACGATCTCATTTGCTTATGCATCTGTCATTCGTAAATCCCCATGTCTTATCAATCGAGGTATAATTTATGATAACACTAGCACTAATCAGTCATAATAATTGGCAACTCATCGACACGCAGTCGAAGGCGGAAATAAAAACGCTCGTTCCACGTTAGTTTATTCTCCGGGAATATGCGCGTGGATAATTTATTGTAATGGAAAATTAAGTCCCCTTGTTTCCTCGTGAAGTATGCATAGTAATGAGCGTATCGGCGATAAGCTGGCTGTCAAGAGCAAATCGGCATAATCGGTCTTTTTCGATAGTTTATATAACACCGATATGACAATCTTCCTATAATTTCTCCCGATAACAGCAAAAAGAGGGTATATCTCCGTCTTTCTCTAACTTTCTCTATCCAATGGCAAAAGAAACAGCTCCTCAGTTCTCTCTTGCCTTCCTCTCTCTCTCCCTCCTTCTTCACGAGAAGTCAAAGAACTGATCGACTTCATAAAATGTTACGAAAGGGTAACTCTGTATATTAAAATATAAAAATATTCATAAAACACCGTGATGGTCGCGAAATGACATTTTTGGAATATTTTTTATTCTTTCTTTTTCCTTGTAGCCTGCATAATCACGTACTGACATTTCGACCGCTTCGATGCCCCCAGTTAAATTCTCATAAATTTTCAATATCCTCGATAACTTACGGAACGTTTCAGTTATCTTCTCCGATTTAGTTATCGAGAATTTTCGAATTCTACCCTAGACTCGACGCGGGTAGCTAGCGCTCTGCCGTACCTGGTGACCCCAGGGGGCGGGTCGGGGGGTAACGGAAATCGACGGTAGCGGCCTGGCGTGTTCGGGCTCGACCAATGGGCGTCGCGGATTGTGGTCCGATGCGCGCGTGGCCGGCGCACGGCGCAGGACGGGGGGTGCGGCTGCGGCACCACGCGCAGCGATGCGGCGCAAGACGCGACGCCGGCGAGCACGCCGCGTGCTCTGTGCATGTCGCGTCCAATCTGGGCTAATCGCGCCTTATGTCGCGAATCCCGAGGAAAGGGGGGAAAATATTCGCCCGATAGCCGGACCAGGGGAGTTCGACGGTCGGCGCGACGGCCAGATAGAGTTTTTCCTGGCGCCGCCGGTTCGCGCACGCGCCGCGAGGCGGCGCGGCGCGCGCACGCCCCCCACCCCGCGGACAGCGCGGCGCGTTGATATAAGTCAGCCGAGCAGTGGCGCGGCACCTTTCCACGGTTGAGGTAGTCGTGTGTCCGTGTCGCTCGCGCTAGGCCCAGGTCCGTTGTCGTACCCGCCCGTGACTTCGCTCGTTCTAGCGAAATCCGAGCCTCGATCTGCGAGTCTTCTCCTGTCTTCGTCGAGCAGAGTGGACCGAAACGCCCGAATCTCGTTCCTTCGACCTCGGGAGTGTGTCCGCAGCCATGAATTACGGAGATCTAGATGTGGACAGTAGCAGGTTAGTCTCGACCCTGGCGTTTCTCCTACTCTTCCTATGATGGGAAATGGTCGTTAGTCATTAAACGTCCCAACCTGGGAGGAATCGTCTGGCGATGTTTCGGACAACCGAGTCGTAGGAAGCGTTTCTCCTGCCGCGCGTAATGGCCGCGTTCTCACGGCGGGCACCTCCCGGTACTCGGACTTTCCCTTGGACCCTTTTCCCCCATTGGTAGGCGTAGGAGCGTTGACTCGGCCGCCTGGGTACGCTAATCCCGAGTACCGCCGAGTACCTCCGAGTCCTCCCGAACGCGGCTCCCTGCGACTGGGCGTGGGATGTCGGCTCTCCTTCTCGCTCTCCCGCGCGCCCGCATAATTGGCTCTCTCTCTCTCTCGCTCCCTCTCGTTGCCAGGTTGTGTAATGAAAAAAAGAAGACTCCTACTCGAAGCCGTGTATCACTTGCAATTAACGTTAACCCGGGAATTACGACTTTGTTTACGGATATATAAACAATAAACACGCGCGATTACAAGTAATGAGAAATAGACTGCGAGGTTTTTTCAGGCCCCTTCAAGAATCCCTTAAAAAATGTTGAGTACCGGTCGAAGTGCGTTGACATGAACTTCATTTTTAGAGCCTCCTACTTAAACCTTACTTTTTATACTGTAAACAGACGTGTTTTAACGAGTAAAACCGCGGTATGTAAATTCCATTATGAAATGTATCAGCGTATGAGTTAACATTTTACTAAGTCAAAAATGTAGATAATTAGAGGAACACTTCGGTCGATGGGAAACGCGACGTTTCAAGGGACCCTGGCCTAGATACGAAACGGGTATACGGCTTATCGTCGATTCACGTTTTGGGATCGTCTCTTGGAACGAGGTGACAAATCGCTCGACGATTTCTGTCTCCGGAAAATCGACGCACGTTAACGCGAAGACCGCGGGACCTCGGCGAGTCGTAATGGGGGAAGAAATTACATTGGAGTCGATCACCTCGGTTCCCCCGAACGTTCTATGCCTTACGTCAACCAGATGAGGCGACTGCCGAGATAGAGTCGACACGTAATAGGATTTCGCACCGCGTTACTTGGAAAGGCCTCTGACTACTCTACAGTTATTCCGACGCATGACATAACCTGCAAATGCGACCCCTCGGCCGAAGAAAATGCACCGAAAAAACTGCGCAAACTACGCGAGATGCGTAACTGCATTCTCCGATTTCCCCGCGATATTTGAAAATGGGGGATTTTTTAAAGGGGAATGTACTTTAATGTTAACCTCCCTGGGAATTAATTGCCAGATGCCCATCTCGAACGCCTCTTTTCTGGAAAAGATAAAAAATATTTCACGGGGAAATGCAGAGCTTCGTGACCGTCGTTTGGAGTTCCATAATCTGGTATTAGATTTCGGGAAAAGTTTTATAAATATATATCCACGCTTTGGTATGTATGGAAGACACTTTCGTAACACGAGCCTGGAAATATCTCGGAGGAAAATTTGTCGCTGATAGAAATTATCCATGAGGTTCGGGGAAATTAATAGACGGTTCGTCGAAGCCGGAAATCGTGCGAGATATTTCGTCGAGAGTCGCGCCTCGGAAATTCCTCGGCCGCGTAAACATTGCCAAGGTGTGTCGTATATTTACTCGAAACCGGGGATTCGTCGGTTTCCCAATGTAAATCCGTGGAAAAATTAGCCGAATCGGGGGATACGTCTTCGCCGTCCGGGGAAAACGGGGTCGGTGCTGAGGGTAAAGGAGAGAAGAAATCGAACGCGCTCGACGAAGAGGTTCGGGTAGGTCCGCACGCTTTCTAAGCGGCCGCCGAAATAAGCGCGCACTACTTCTACCGGGTGCTCTTAATTGATGAGGAGAGATCTAGTCAGATTTCCCTCTCCCTACTCTAAGAGAAAATTCCAAAATAATTGGGATATTCAGTGACGAGAGATAACAATTCATTTTATCCATGGAATTTTTTTTTTTTCATGAATTCCTGGATTTTTCATTTCTTGTCGTAGATTTGTATGTGGTAGGGAATTTTTTCGTAGATTCTTTTTTTTATTGGATATAATTCCAGGCCGTAAAAGCCGTGAAAAGGAAAGAGAGCGAACAAGACCATCCTTTCTTTGTCGCGTAATGAGAGGAAATACTAGAGTACAAACCCTTTGTTTCCTCTCTTTCATCTCTGCTGTCTCCATGGTCGTGTATACATATATCTCACGTTTGGGTACGGGCGCGTCTAGATCGCGCCGTTTCGCTGTTTCCGATGGATCCCGCGGAGCATTTCCCATGGAGCGCACCTGTGTCCCGTTTTCTCTCGGTCATCCGCACACGTGACCCCCCCGCATACTTCCGACGCGCGCGCAACTCTCGCTTTCTCCGTCTCTCCGGTCGAGCCGGTGCGCGCGCACGCTGTCACGTGACCGACCGATCGGCGGCCGACCAATCAGCGGCCACGGCGCAGTTTCCAGTCGAGCGGGCGACACAGGCCCGCGCGTGAGATGCGGATCTGGGTCGATCGGAGGTTAGGGTGCTTTTCCGCAGGAAAAAAACGGGTTGGGTAATTTCACGGTTTTTTTTTGACGTTTTTGACGTATATTATGTATAGCAGTTTATCGTAGAAGATTTATGATACACATTTATGATACACGGCATCTAGGTTGAACTCTACAAAATCCTGATTGTACTTTGCAGTATACAGGTATAAAGTCACGTATATTGCATGACGAGTATACCTAACTCCGATTCCGCGTGACCTCCGCGCCGGTTCGGCCGCTTCCCCCCTGGACCTTAATTCGCGGCCTCTTTGTCGGAAGTCGACCGTAAGAGGTAGACGTGAGCCACTTTTCCGTCTCACAGGTGGCTCTCCTTTTTTTTTTTCCTTTCTTGCCCCTCTCGGCCATGAAATAGGCCATGGGAGTCGTCAAAGAAACCGATCGGATGATGTCTCGAGATATCCCGTTAGACGCCGACGTCGCTTCATAGGCCAGGCCAGCTTCCGGACTTGCGCGGCCTCGAGGTTATATATACTTTTTTTTATCTCTCTTTTTATCCTTCCACGTGGCGAACCCGTGCCGAATTCCGCAAGGCGCCACGGAATAGGATACGCCCAGGGTTTATAGAGACGAAATGGCGGTCGTTAACAGAACGTGGAACTGGGAACAAGGAGTTAATCTGTTCTTTTTATTTTTTATTGTAACTATCGGTAGTTTTAATTTTTACGAGAAACGGCAAATAGATTCGGAATTATCCGTGCGACCGTGTAGAACAAGGACTAAATATCGAACGTCACGAGGCCTGGCTGTTAAGCCATTCGAGTTAATTCGATGATTGGGACTCTTAACGACTCGAATAAACCGGGGGCAATTAGGTCGCGATGGTCCTAACAAGTAGTTCATAGCTCATGCTCGAATCGATCGATAATGCTGCAAGAATGGTCTAGGCGTTCTCTCCTATTCATAGTTCGCGATGCAAGGGAGACAAGTGCTCTCGTGGAGAAATCCTTTTTTTTTTTCTCTCCTTCGTTCCGTACCTTAAATTTGCCTCATTTTTTTTTAATGTTTCTTTTTTCTCAGTGCAACCTTTTCTTCATTTTATGGCTGGAATTTATTTGGAACGCGGCGCTGCGTTCCCATTGGTCGGTTAACAAACATGGCGGCGGGTTGGTGCGCCGTGATTGGTCCGTCAGAATGGCCAGTGGCACGCCTTGCGTACTCGCGCGTCATGGGCTTTCGCCGCGCGCGAGACCGCGCGGCGCTTCTATCGGCGCGCTTCTTAGTGATTATGGTAATCTCGGGCGGGTAGCGAGTTAAGAAAAAAAATCGGGGAAAAACAAAAGGAAGGGGGGAAAAAGATGGCGCGATTAGCGGCGTCCACGCGCCGACCTTGATCTCCGGAACGGCGAATGCAGCATAGTCGGGGACGGTGATAATCCGAATTTTTTGATAAAAGGACGACCTTGGCGTGCTCGCGGGCCCGCGGATCGCGGTCTATCGACGGGGACGCGTGTCTCGTCGTTATCTGTCAATTAGAGCGACTGGGATCTTCCCGACGATAATTGGGCTAATCATCGAAAGCGATAAGGAAGAGGTAACGCCGATAAAAATAGCGCAATTTCTCCGGTACGCCGAAATACATATCCCTCGAGATAAATACAATAACAATAACCGTCGATTCACGAAGTTTCACCTTTGAGAACCTTGGTAAGGAATTTTTTTTTTTCAATTTCAAATTTCGCGCGCCGACCGTTACGAGTCCTCTTATTCTCGGAATCTCTTGATTCAAATTTCGCGCGCCGACCGTTACGAGTTACGAACCGTGAAGGATCGATCGATTCGCGATCGAAACCGTGGGGTTTCGATTTTTGTCAGTGGTCGATTGCACGAAAAGTGGAGGCAATTTGCCGGTATTAATTATTATGTTGACACGGGACGTTTGATGGATGCCGATAAACCGATGGCCTAGTCACGGGGCGATAAGTCCCGGGGATAAACATGGAAGTTTTTCGGTCGGCCGTCTATCTCTCGGCCGCGATTAACCTCCCGCGACCTCGGGGCGATTCGAAATCCGGAGTGCAGTTTCGTCAACCGCTCGCCGGTGCAGCGCGTTGCGCAACCGCCGCCATCTTGGAGCGACCTTGTCGCGCACGCGCGTCCCGTTTTCCCATTAGCGGCTCGTGACTCGAGTATGGGGTCTCTAAGTTTTTTCTTCGCGCCGTGACCGCCATGCCGATCGATCGACGGGTCGATCCTGTCGGCCGAGGATCGATTACTAACCAAGTGGACATCGAGATAATCGCCAGCTGTTTGCAAACAATCCCGCCAGGTCGCGGGAGTGTCGGCTTCCGGGCAACCTCGCGACTCGCGGTTTAAACGCGATTAACGAGCGTCGCTTTAGGCCTTCCAGAAACATCTCGACTGTCCTCCGACGATCGATAACGGTAAAAACCCTTTCTAGGCGTCATCTCGGACATACGATGTTCATCCCCGTCTTACGATAAGTTTTTAGGTTATAATAGTGCCGCGTCGGTGTCCGACGGTCTTAAAAAATCCCGCCTCAAATCTCCGCCTTGCGATCAGTTTTTAGGTTATGATGTTGCCGCGTCGAAGTGGCACAGCCTCGAAAATCAAAATGCGTCGATATATTTTTTTTTTTTATAAAACAAAACTCGAGAAGGACGTTCAGCGGGACGGCTCGACACCTTTGGAAAGAGAAAAGAGCATTATACTCGACGAAGCGGTAACCTTCCCTTGGCGACTCCTTTTTAACGTCTAAGGAGCTACATAAGGCCCGCGTGGAGAGTTTAAAACCGGCAGTAAAAAAGAAAAAAGAATCAAAGTGTTTACACGTTGACGTGTGCCCCGCGGTCTTGCCTTAAAAAAACAAAAAAAAAACGAAAAAAACTTCGAGGTGAGGCGAGTGCTCTCAGGAATTCGCATTTACGTCGCCTTCCGTGGAGCTCAAAGAAGGCGTTAGAACCAAAGTCCAAGTGCCTCTCCTCTTTGCCGCGGATTTCCGCGAAGCTCGATATTATCGGCCGCCTTTTTTGCACGGTAGAGAAGTACTTTCGCGAGGTTTGCTCTCGCCCCCTCTTTTTCGTTCATTTTTTTCTTTTCAAGCTAGACAATGTTTGGCGACGTGCTCTCTTCGAAGAATCAGGAATTTTTGCGAGATGACGCGAGCGACCGAAAAACAAAAAACGCGAGGATGAGGTCACGCGAAAACAAAGCCGGTTAAGAACCAATTTGCATGGACGTCTTTATTGGCGGTACGTTGTAAACCAGAAATGAAATACGTCCCACTTCTCTGTGTCGAGCTCCAAGTGTGCATGAATTTTCGTGTCGATTTTTTTATACCTATTATTATTATACACGATTTTTTTCATGTTGACTTCTTATATTAATCATTATTACTTGACTTTGTTGCGCAGAAAGTGTCTCCCCGGTGAAAGTAACATTAAAATCGAACCCCCCCCCCCAGCCGTGCTTAACCTTTAAACGGAATTTGGGTCATTCGACTTTATTTTTTTTATTCTACAGTTATTAATTGTATCTACACGAGAATACAGTGAAGTGCTAGATCACATGTATATAGACTGCAGACTTTTAAAATGGCGTGGGTCAAAGTGACCGAAAAGTTAGAAGGCTCGATTGGAAGCGTTCCATTTTCCTTTTGGCCATTGTTCTCGGCGACCTGGCGATAAACCGCGGTGTCTCATCCTTTGGCCTCAGAAAAACGGCGGATTCGTTTTGGCCTTTGCGAGGCACGCATTTAATGTATAGCGCGATAAGCGTGACACGTGGTCTGATTCCGGTCGGCGTTGTGCACTTCGGACCGTGGGCCCGACATCCGGCCCGATCCGGTTCGTCGGGCCGACGGGGGCGGACTGAGCGCCGAGCGTTGACACGGGCGATTCCGGAGTACCGGGAGATGAGGTGAGCCATGCGGGCGCACGGCGCGCGCACGCGGCGATCACGCCGCGTCACGTGACTCGGGCCACTCGGGCCCGACGGCCCCGCCCCTCTCCCGGTTAGTTCGCCGGCGAGGGGCAACCCGCGCGCACGTCCCGAGGGGAGAGGGGTGCTATCGTCCAGACGGTGACAAAAACGACGGATGGGAAATTGAGGGAGTCGAAGGTGCACGGATGAGAGTCTACGCGATTATCTCGAAGCTCGGAAAGATAGAGACTCGCTATAAATAACAGCCCCGGCGGTACGTTTCCGCCATGTAGATCTCCCCCTTTTGTTATCGGAGACCTATCTCGGGCCGGACCACCGGGGCTGCTTTTGACCGGACTTTTCCGCCTCGAGAGAAATGACTCGGCGCCCGACGACCGGCTGCGCGATTCCGCATATCCAGGGTCAACGAGAGGGCAGGAGTCGCGACTGGGAAAGAAAAAAAAAAAGAGTTGAGGAACCGGACCTTCGATATAACCCGCCGGACTTTGGAAGCGAGTCGCGACTTGCGAGTCATCGTGTTTGCAAACATCCGCGAGGGGATCGGGCGGACTCGGGGGAGCTCGGGCGGACTCGGCCGCGCGGACCAATCACGGCCCTCGGCGCGTCAGCGCGGACCAATCACAGCCCTCGGCGACCAGTCGCGAGAATTTCGAACATGGCGCGTCTCCTCGTTGAGAAATCTCGATGAAACTCGAGCTTTGTCGGGAAAAGAGAGAGGCTAAACGCGAGCCGAGGTAATGGAGCAAACCCGGCCGGCCTGAAAGGCCCTCGGGAGGAGGTCGAGGTTAGAAAGAGGCGCCTCTTTCTTCGCGCCCTGACACCCCGCTCGGGGCCGCTCGATGAAGAGCCCTCGCGTAAACCTCGGCGTCTAATTTTAACCTCCCGCTTTCCCGTGGGCGGATTAAAATTAACTCCGCTCTGAATTTCACACGGACAGAGGACGAAGACGGTGCCGAGTCATTCCTCTCGATTACCTCCAACGACGATGACGGTTTTTCTGGAACCTTCCCACCTCTTCCCATCCGATCATTGGCATTGATTTCCCGCGTGCGTCAATAATCCGGTCAGTGTGGACAGGTTAGGTTTCCTCCTCGGAAAAGTATGCGGTGACCGACTCGCGTGGAAGGTAAAAAGCCGCGACGAGACGAAAACAAGACGAGACGGTATTACGGTGCGGAAACGAGCGTCATTACTCGCGATCGTTTTCATTGAGTCATTTTAATACGCATAGGAAGGCTTCACTTACGAGCGCGCGCCTCTTAAAGAAAATATCGTAATTAAATAACCGTTTTTTTTTTTCCAAGTCTCATTCAGACTTGATGTACTCATTTTTTTTTGCTCATTTTGTTCATTTTAATACACATAGGAAGGATTCACTTACGAGCGCGCGCCTCTTAAAGAAAATATCGTAATTAAATAACCGTTTTTTTTCTCAAGTCTTATTTAGACTTGTACTCATTTTTTTTTTGCACATTTTGTTCATTTTAATACACATAGGAAGGATTCACTTACGAGCGCGCGCCTCTTAAAGAAAATATCGTAATTAAATAATCGTTTTTTTTTTCCAAGTCTCATTCAGACCTGATGTACTCATTTTTTTTTTTCATTTTTTTTGCACATTTTGTTCATACATTGACCTCTTTCCTATATATTTATTAACCATAAAATGTCGATATTAACGTATATGTCGACCAAGTCGATAATAATTCCCTCGCGACCTTGCGTTAACAAATGCGTCTACATAACCTAATCACGTGTACTAATTTTTTTATCCTTATTCCAGGACGAGCCTGCGGCGGATCGCCCGGCACGAGGAGTCGGAGTTCAGCAACGCGTCGATCTTGAACACCATGGAGAAGTTCGTGCGGACGGTGAACGAGATGGAGGAGACGATTTTAGTGCCGAGCCGACTCCTGGACCTGGCGGTGGGCGACTCGAGAGACACGGTCGGCGCAAAGGGGAAGCGCGGCGCCTCGATCCGCAGCTCCCTGGTCAACACTGACCTGTACCGCCTCTACGACATGGTGAACAAGGTGAAGGTCGAGCTTCTTTGGTCCCAGAAATCGGACGAGTCGCAGGACGAGGAGGAGGAGGAGGAGCAACAGTACAGGGACGAGATGCGCAGGAAGGGCGCCACCCAGACAGGTGTTCGACTTGGCCACGCCAGGTAACATTTTATTTTCTATGGACACCAAAAGTTCTCTACAGTCCGTGTTCGAGTAACATGTAACATGTGTATGGAATTTGGCACGAAACTCCCCAAAATTGAAAGGCATTTCTTTTAAAAAATGAGCTCTCGCGATTTTTTCAAGACCTTCGTTACAGGACTTCCGTTGAAGTTTCAAATTATACGGCGCACTCGGATTGGAGAAAATTTTCATCAATATTTTGACGTTTAGATATATATTATAAGGGACCCTTTTGTGTGGCCTTAAGCTTTCAGAAATTCTTATAAATTCGTAGAGGATTTAAGGTGAAGTGAAACACGTCGAGGAACTTGATCGACGTCGATAAAGAAGATTTTTCTAAATACCTACGTTGCTGACGTTAGTTTTCATATTGACAGCTGTGTCGAATTACATTGAATATTGTACCAAATGGCATACTACACCTGTCGTTTTCGTACAATAAATATAAAGAAATCGAAGTAAAACTCCAGAAATCCTCTGGATTCAAGCTTTCTGGGGCCCTAATTGACTGCAGAGGGAACACCCTGCGCCATCTGTATATTTCCAGGTCAATTAAATTTTCACTCCGAGACCTCGTATTACCATCGTTTTAGCAAAGAAGCGCATACAACACTTTTTTTGCCTTTATCCCGTTCAAATGCGAGTTTATCGATTACCAGAGTGTTCTAAATTCTCGTAAAATTGTCCTGACCCTTTCGTTTCTCATATCAGAGCCTTCGATAATTGTATATCGATCGAAATATGAGAGCGCGACGCCATTTTGGTTCTGGTCTGGGCTGAGTTAAAAAATTGATTTGTAAAATCCAAATTTTTAATGTGTCAGGACAATTCTTAGATGATCAGGAGTGATGTGTCAAAGTTTCGGACAGTTTGGTCTGATACCCTTTAAAAAAAGTGTTGTATTCGAATCGACTGATTTGAAGGGTGTTTCACTTCACCTTAAGCTTTCAGAAATTCTTATAAATTCGTAGAGGATTTAATCGTCCTTATTGCACGTTGTCCTGGTAAATACGACCCGGGGAAAAAAAAAATGATGTGTATCTTTTAACCCCAGATGTCCCAGCACGGCGTCCATGCAGAGCGTGCAAAGCGCGTCCTCGATCACGAGCGCGAACAGCATCAGCGCGAGCAGCTCCGGGTCCAGCGCCTCTGACTCCGACTCCGACATCGGCCTGGAGAACGACTCCGGCCTGGAGAACGAGGACACCCCCTCGGCAGGGGCGCACCTGGCCGCGGAGAACTTTCGACGTCACCTGCGGGGCCTGCACCGCAGCATCACGCAGATGACGGACGCTGCGGCTTACCTGACCATGCGTTACCAGGCCGACGTGGGGGGCCAGGTCTGATCGGCCCCCCAGGACGAGGCCCGTCCTCTGGCCACCGTCTCGTTCCCGGAGGCACCCTCTACCTGGATCCAGGGACTCTCCTCGGGCACCCTCCCCAGGCCGGCGTCGCCTCCGAGGGGAAGAATTCCGGAGGAACGCTCGCGGGACGGGGCGATCTTCCTCGAGAGGAGGGGAACCTGGGGATGGCGACCGAGAACGGGACCCGTGGCCCTTACCTTGGCCGTGTTCGAACAGAGAGGTCGTAAACGCGCGTTAGGTCTTGTTATGTAGATGTAGGACGTCGCGAGAATTAACGCGCGTTGGATAATATAAGCGGGGTGAACCGACCCTTAAGGTGTTGTTAACGTCTCGTGTATATATACCCCAAAATGTCTAAATGTAACACTTCTCCAAATTCGGCGCACCGAATAATTTGTAACTCTGACGCGTGATCGTGTAGGTCCTAACGAACGTGTTCCTGATCCTCGGGAGATTTCAATTTTCGGAGGAATATTTCTTGCGTCTAAGAATCGAGATATGAAATCTTTGTTTATAAGAAGTAATGTGATTTCCCAGTTTTCGAGACCCTCGTCGGAACCTCACCAATCACGTGGTACGAGTTTCAAGTTACTCGGTGCACCCTGTTTAATTAACAGTTTTATATTTTCACGTTTTGATGTGTATAGAGAATGACAATTTTTGTGTCACCTTAAGGGGGCGGGAGAGCAGGCGATGGGGACCTTTCGCGAGTTTTCTGTAAACCGGAGGTATCGAACTTAGAAATGCTTTAAGGCTAGTCTGATGCCCGTGGAATTTATAGAGCAAGCTTGTAAGAAATGGAGTTCCACGGGCGTGGAGACCTACGATAGGGTCTTCAAGTTCTAGGTATAAAGTCTCAGAGGATTCGGTTAATTCGGTTTGGAGAAGCTTCGCGAGAGGAACTCCGAAGCCGCTTTCGTCCCGCCTTAAGGGGTTCCCGAGCGGAGCGCTTTCCGCGTTTGCATTTGAGGCGCCGTCGACGCTCGGCCAGGCTCTAGATTTTGTATGTTAAATTCAACAGCCATCGATATTGGACCGACGCGGTTAACAATGTCGGTGGCTATCGAATGTGGCGTTCAGAGCATCGGTTTCTGGAGCGGGTCCTCGAGGTTAAATGTGCCCATAATTATGAAAGTGGTCCAAGTCAAAATTTAAAAAAAAAAATGAGTTTATCAGTTATTTCACGCCATATTATTTCAAACGAAATTAATTCAATGTAATTTTCAATGACATTAATTCAATGTAATTTTCAATGAAATTAATTCAATGTAATTTTCAATGAAATTAATTCAATGTAATTTTCAGTGAAATTAATTCAATGTAATTTTCAATGAAATTAATTCAATGTAATTTTCAATGAAATTAATTCAATGTAATTTTCAATGAAATTAACTCAATGTAAATTTCAATGTAAAAACAAAAAATATATGACTTAGACCACTTTCATAATTATGGGCACAGATTAGGTCGGCCAGGGTTTGTCGAAAGACGCGCGTTGTGACATTGGCCTTAAAAGCCCGACACAAAGACACCCCGCGGGTCCGGATCGCAATTTTGCAAGCGATAGGACGTGTTTTTGTTTTCCGCACATGAAGACTCGCGGGGGGTCCGTCGCGTTTCACCATCCGAGGTCGTTTACGCAATGGCGCCCCGGAGAGGCCGGCTATCGAGGAGCAAGAGCACTCGAAATTTCTTTATCTTCTTTTAATACGAATTTTAAAGGCGATTCTTTCGACATCGATATCCCAGTGGCCGAAATCTCGCTTCTAGAAGGAGCTCTCTTACATATCGCCGTTGCTCATCGATAGCCGGGCTCGACAGGGCGATCTAAGTTGGTCCATTGATATACTAAAGTTCATAGAAAGGGTCATTCTATGTATACGTTACAGTGAAACACCGAAATCTTGAGAATGTCGAGTTTCACCGGTGAATGTCAACATTCACATAGTCGCTTAGTGTATGTCCGAAATATTTCCTAAATACCCTTATTTCTGACTTACACCGGTAAATGTTGACATTCACCGGTGTGTGATTGTCGACACACACTGGAGAGGGTCCGAATGTACAGCAATGTAATGAAATATTCGATCTTTCACCGACGTATTTGGTGTCTGTTGACATTCACCGGTGAAAGTCGACATTCTCCAATTTCGGTCATTCACGGTAACAGTGGAGGCCTTGAGGAATAACCCGGTGCTCGTTTATATGTGTAGAGTGACCCTTTCGTGTACTCGTTCATGTCCATCAATGCGCAGTACTGATACGAAACGGATCTGTGAAAATCGACATTTATCCCTCGAACACTCTTCAGGGCCGACGTCGACGCGGTATGCGTCAGGGTCGAACGTTCTGTACATACGTAAGCCCGCTAGAACGTTACGATTATTTATTTTTTATTACTTGCTGGTAATCTTAGACTCGATGTATATTTATATATGAACGCCGCGTCTCGTCGGGACTCGCGGGGTCCTTGGCGCAAGTTTCGTAAGGTGTCATGGTGGAGCGGTATCGCGGACCCTCGCGTTAAGACTTTCTTTTTTTTTTTTTATAGACACCTTGTGATAGCGATAACCGTAAGCGTAACGGTAATCATGAAAAATATCTATGGAGAGTCTTAAGCCTCCTTATCCACCTCGCATTGCGGTAACCGTTAACGTTAAATATCAGTTTTAAAGAATTCTGGAGAATCTGTGTTTCGTCCCAACTTGGCGATTTTTCTTCTTTCTATATATATATTTTTTTATTATTATTTTTTTTTTTTTTATTGACAGGTCTTACCGCCATGCTTACGACTAATGTTACGCTGAGGTATACTTGAAGGTCTTAACGAGAGTGCGTCGACTCTGCTCTCCCGCCCCGCATCTCCCTGTATATATAGTCTGTACATAACGAGCGTTTAATGTATATCGTAAGCCTTAAGTCTAGGTAAACGTTACGTATATATGTATCACCGAGTTTTTGTACGCGCGTCCAGCTCCGAGCGAGTCGTCGCGGCGATGTCGGCATCATCCTCTTCGGCTTTTATCGGGAGGGTCCAGTGTTAAAGAAGGCTTGGCAATGTTCGTGCATGTCCCCTGGGTAATGTCGACGTCGTCCCCTTGCGTAACACGTCGTCGGGGCGGGCGAGAAAGAGATTGTCGAGCGTCGCCGCGCGGAATTCGAGGCATTCCTTTGGAATGCGCGGCTTCTTTCGCAAGCATTTCCTCGCCGTTGAGGAGGCGGGTCTCTCTTAAGGCCCTATTTCATTCGACCTACAATTATTGTACGACAGGTGTGCTCGCGAGAAAAAAATAATGTCTCTGTACATGCGAAAGATGCCCATCAATGGTCCTATAAGCATTGCTGAACTTCTGTACAATAGAAATTGTCTTACGATGGAAATACTTCAGTCGATGGTCTTCGACTACTGTTCAGTGCTTGCGACAGACATTTCATCGGATACCTTAAATATGCCCTGCGATGGTTCAGTATCGATGAACTTCGAAGAGCAGAAATTGTTGTACGATTGGAATATTAATGACAGCGGTGGCTTTCATTTTTCTGTCGTAAGATATGCCTTCGACAAAAGTCTCATCGTATACTTTAAATATGCCCTGCGAAGTTCAACAGTACTGTTCCGTAGTGGCTTTTAGCCAGTCGATTGGAATCTTTCTTTTTATTTTCTCTCGTGAGACCCACATGAGTCGACATTACTAATCTTCTGTAGAAGAGAAATTGTTGTACAACGAAAATACCGTTACGGCTGGCTTTGAGCAGCCTTCGTTGTCGGAGGAATGAAATGGAGCTTTTAAATTGCTTTTAAGATATCTGGGATAATTAGAGCCGCCTCGTATTATCATCTCGCTCGCCCTGCGTCGAATCGAAGCGATTCTCGTTAACGAAATGTACACCCTGCTCGTTTTAGAGACCTTCGAGGGGCTCAAAGATCCTCTTCGTCGGCTGGTCAGCCTCGAGAGATTTCCCGAAAACGAGAGCTGCATAAATCCACACGGGCCCTCTTTCGAGTCCCTCGATCTAGACCCTACCGTGAGATGCGTGTGGTTTGTTTATTTGTCTTTTTTTTTTTTTTTAAATCCACATCCTGTATATGTACATACACGCACTCGTCGCAAAGCGAGGTCCTCGTAAACTCGGAGAGGCAGCGGTCTTCGTCGTTAAGGGAACTCGACTACAGATAGAAATAAAGAGAGAGAGAACTTGAATGGCAGTAGATTTGTGTTGCATGTCATGGCGCTCGGTGGTCCCTTTTCTTTATTTCTATTCTTTTTTTTTTCCCCCTTTTATTTCGCTTCGTCCTCGACGGCAAGTATTTACAAGAGAGCGTCTCGCATGGCTTTGGAAGTTCCCACGCCCCGAGGCTTTTAATTACATATATGTATGGTACACGGTGTTTAATTCTATGTATATATACACCTTAAAAAAAAAAATGGCACGCGGTAGACCCGGGTACTTTGATACGCAACGTTGCTTATCTCGGCACGATACGTGTCGTGTCGTCCTCGTCTTACTACAACGTGCTGTAACGCGACGGTGGAATGCGCGCGGCCGTTTGCGCAATAACAAAACTCCGTCACGTTAATAAAATGTACCGTGCTCGATATGCCCCCGATTAAGGGGCGCCGATACGCTGAATATGCTAAATATGCTAAATGCCGCGACTCCTCCATTGTTCGCGTACGCCTTTGTCCCCCGTCAGCGATACGGTCGCTCGGAAGAAATTAATATACGGCACGCGCGAGAAAATCTACCCCGAAGAACGCGGATAATGGTCCCGACAGATCGTAAGTCGCATTAAGGCGACATGAAAGCGAGACAGGTCCATCGATTTTTGAAACTTTTCCCTCATCTGGATTCACCGAATCGCTTGAAATCTTGCCACGTGAACGTGGAAGCCCTAAGGAAGGTCCGACGACCCATGAAAATGTTTACAAATTTATTTAAAATAAAAAAAATGAATTTCTTAGGATTGACCGTGCCGAATATTTCCAAGATTTGCCTCGTGAACGCGGAGGCCTTAATGAAGGTCCTGACGCCCATGAAATTTCATTATGTATTTTTTTTTTTAAATGGAAAATTCAAGGGTTCATGAATGTAAAATAGGGATTAAGAACGACAGTAGCGCCGCGTGTTCACGCGGGAAGATTTCAAACGATTCGGTACCCAGTTAAAGTTTCACAAACGAGGCCTTAAAATGGGAAGGCGTTCGTTTAAGCTGATGTATCAGCTGATGTCGACCGCCGTAACGAGTTCCTTGATGTTCGCGTACTCGGGGTCGCTGCTGAAGATCTCCAGCAGGTCCTTGAAGGTCGGCCGGTCGGTCGGAAGATAGGACCAGCAGCTTCGCATCACGAGATACACATGCTCGGGGCATTTCTCCGGCTTCTCCAGGCGCTCGCCCTTTTCCACCAGCTGTATGACCTGTTACGAGGGGGAAGGCAGGTTTTTATTTTGCTCTCTCTTAACGGGTTTACCTGCTAAGTCTATTACCTGCCGCCATCTGGTAACCATGTTACCAGGGGTCGAATGACAGCGGACGGTCTTTTAGGAAATTCCGTTTTAATATTAAAAAAAAAAAGGAAAAAGAGAGAAATGAAGACTCACATCGACCCCGCGTCGATCGCCGTACGGTTGCTGTCCGTAAGAGAACATTTCCCACAGCGTGACTCCAAAACTCCACACGTCGCTGGCGTGGGAAAATGTCCCGAAATTGTAGGACTCCGGGGCGTACCTGGAAGAAAATGCCAAATGACTCTTAGCGTCATAAATGAATCGTGATTCAACTTATAGGATGTACCATTTGATGGGCCATTTTCCACCCTGAGTGGCCCTGTAGTAATCGTTGGACCCGAATGTTCGGGACAGACCAAAATCGCTGATCTTTGCTTGGTGTCTGGACGCCAATAAAATGTTCCGGGCCGCCAGGTCCCTGTGTACCAGTCTCAGCTCCTCCAGGTATTTCATGCCTGTAGGGTTCGGGTACGGAGGGTATATTAACAATGTTAGGAGCGGAATTAATGTTAACGTCGTTACGAACCGCAAGCTATCTGCGAGGCCCAGATCTTGAGCTCGTAGTTGATGCTGACCCTGTCGGGGAACTCGTGGAGGTAAGCCAACATCGAGCCCAGAGGAACCAACTCCTGGACCTTGAATTTTATGACATGGATTAAGGTGTTATGAAAGTGTCATATACATAAGTGAGTATGGGGGCTATAAGAATGGACCTGACACCCATGAATTTTTTTACTTTCATACAAAATTTAAAAAATATATATAAACAATTGACATTTCGTGGTTGTCAGGATCTTCCTTATAGCCTCCATAATCACGTATAATCACGATCACCTTCGTAGACATTACCATTAACAAAGGTGGGCCTTCGGAAAACCCTATCAGCTTCACGATACAATGGTGATTGAGAGTCATCATGAGTCGAGCTTCTCTCAGGAACTCCTCTCGAGTCGCCGTAGTATGAGATTCGCGTAATGTCTTAATGGCGACGGGCTCTTGGATACCCGTAGGCGCGTCATAAACTCCTTCGTACACTGCACCGAACTCTCCTTCGCCGAGGACCTCGCCAAGGATTAAATTCTCCCCGGGAATGAATTCTGAAAAATCATCGCGCCTTCATTTTGGCCCCTTTATTTCACCCGGGTCAGACGTGACACGTTGCGCAACTCGGTAACCTTGTCTGATGTAATCGCCGACGACTCTCGACTCCGCGTCGGAAGGTCTTCGCGAATCCACTGTTCTGTTGTGCGGTAAATCGCAGAAGTCGTTGGCTCGAAAAATGTTCGTCTCGAATTGAATGGGTGGCAAGGCGTCCAGTTGCTGCTCCACCGATGTGCTCTTCTGGGGGAGAGGTTTCCTCTTCGTCAGGGTGTTCTGCAAGGGAAGATCGGATCTTGTAAATTTCTCCTGGATTCCAACGTTCCAAGGTATAGGTAGAATTTTTACCCCGTTGAATATTGACGATGGCATTTCAGGAACTGGTGGTCTTGGCCCTGGAGCTATCGGATGGAGCAATGGACCAGGGAGACCATCGGGCATACATCGATAGTGCTCTACGATGTGCTCCAGAGACGGGAGATAGGGACCGTTGTCAATGTATAGGAATTCCCCCTGCGCTGATCAAATTTAGTTATTGCTAAATGGACCACCGATGTGTATATTCATCTTGACTAGAGAATGTTACGTCTCAAGAGTGTCTGACCTTTTTTTGTATTTGAAAGTGGAATGCTTGTCTGTGGTACATGACTGTGAGTACATAGCTACCAGCATGCCTGTCGCTGAAACGGACCAAGAAGGAACCGTCCATGTCTCCATTTTTGTGCAAAAGGGTAACAGCCTCTCCTCGGTCTAGTGTTCCATGGTACCAGTCACTGCGCTTTTCTTTCGGAACTGGTCCTTGGTAATTGGCTGAAAGTATTAGATTAATACTCTCTTGAACTTAATGATTTTGAAACTGACGGGTTAGTGGTGGGAATGTGTAGTTTTACCTAACAATTTGGCACATTCTTGGTGACCGTTTCGTCTAGCAAGATCTGCAGGGACGTCATCGGCTAGTGTTCGAGGATTCACTGGTGCATCTACTGACAGCAGGGCTTGAATAACCTCTTTCTGGCCTCTGGTGGCTGCTTCATGCAAAGGAACCATGCCTGAAACAAGAAAATACTCGTTCAATTATTTAATTTATTACATTAGACTTCTCTTTTCATTACTTGCCTGTTTCTGTATGCCGGGCTTGCACGTTGGCACCACCCGAGATTAATATCCTCACCGTACTGGGTAAATTACTTTGGCACGCGTACTAAAAATGATAATTTTCTTTTGTAAAAGTGAACACGTATGATGTTCTTTATTTATACTCATCTAACAGCATGTGTCACTTAAGACAGAATTATTCGCTTTACCTGGATCCCGCGATATAGACACCTCCCAAAAGCAGCTTCAAAGATATTCATTGTAACAGTCATACCGGAGCAAAGGACATACTGCTTGTCGTATTTTTTTTTTGCAATTTTGTTTAACAAGTACTTACATGTAATGGAGTATAGCCAGCGGAATCTCGACAGTTAACGCTGGCTTTGTTCTGAATAAGTTTCTTAAGAATTTCGTCTGCTCCATCCTTTGCTGCTAAATGCACCGCTGTCTGTCCCAGTTGATTCTTGGCCTCTAGACTTCTATAGCCACATTTCAGTAATTCCGAAACAATCGTATAATTCCTCTAAAATTTGTAACGATCAATGAGAAACTTTGAACCTGTTTCTAAAATCATATTTGAGTGATCCTAAAAAACCATGCTGTTACAAAAGTTGGACTATTACCTGAATCGTTGCTCTATGCAGTAAATTTGTCCGACCATGTCTTCTGGTATCATGAGGTGGTGGACCACCCTTGCACGGTGTTCGTAATTTAGTCTCTAAGCCATGATTTCCTTCCTGATAATATTCAATAAGCGTATCCAAGCCGTGTATCGTTGTCTCGTCATCTATTAAAATTTTTAAATTCAAATGCTTAATACCACCGTGTCAATTGAGTTATTAACATAGCCGTAACAAAGCAAGGCCTAACCTATCGAGAAGAAAGCATCCTCTCCATGTTTTCTTATTTGATAGTGGACAACTTCTCCTTCGTGCGAAACCGATAATACAAAATCTCCGGAAGATGTGCTGCTTTCTCGGACAAGGAAAGTCCCATCTTCTTTGCTCTCTGTAATTACACCTTCAGCTATTTATTCACGCCAATCGGTAAGAATTAACCTTGTACATCTTTGTTCGATAGTACACCAATGAAGCAAATTTCTACCTTTTTGGAGTAATTTTTCCGCAGCATCCCTTGACAGCTTCCCATGATACCAGCAGATATCATCCTCCGAACTCATAACTGAGTGCACCGATCGCTTTACTTCTTGTGCGAGCAACAATGCGAGGAATTAATTTTCATTTCGTTCACCAAATGTCAGAGCATAGAGAACCAGATACGACACTGGCACGTTAACAGAACTCGCATTGCCCGTTCTTTAGAAAGCTGCCGTCACCTCTTCAATTGTCACCGACTCGTATTATCTTTACATACATAACGGCACCATAAAAAGCGTCGAACAATAAATGATAAAAGCAGACCCCCAAGGGCCTAACAATTTAAATATCAATTAATAGAAAGACGGAGATGGCACAGTTCACGTCGGTTAAAGGCGGTTTAACCTCGCCGAGTAAATGTAGATTCACATACATTCGTTTGACGCGCAAACGTGATTGGACGCGCTCAATTTGCGATCACGTGATTGGTCAACGATTCAAACATGGCGGACATTCCGTTGAAGCCAACCAATGGCGACACTCCTGTAAATTATACTATGGAACGACCTTTACGATCGACGGTCATCGCTCGATTGTTTAATATAAAAAAATGTTCAAGTTAAATAATTCACTGGCTTTTTAGGTTAGGTTAATCGATAAGCATTTGATTGTTTCTTCCAGAAAGATTGTATGTAAATGGAACTACATTTTCGTAATATCTAGAGAAACTGGATCACGGGTGTGTAGAGCGCTATTAAATCAGTGGGAAGTTTGCGCTATGTATTCGCTGCAATCCATGCTTTACTGGTCAATTAGTTGGCTGTACATTCACTCGTAAATCTGATAAAAAATTAGAGAAAGGAACGGTTACAGTGAATCATGTTAAACTATTGGAACAGAGCAATTTTCAGAAACACGTGTTCAAGTTGATCTTGAAAAAGTGTTAACGTAGATGGACAATGTGATGGAAAAAGTGCATACTCAAGTGATTAAATAAATATTTTGTACGTTTTTTGTGCACCAGGCGTAATGTTTTCGAACATACTCTCTGGTATGCTTGCCAATGTTACCAAAATGAGCCTGGCATTATTTGTACACATGTCCAAGCGTTATCTCGATCGAGATTCTTGATACGAGAATGACTGCAATTAGATTCTGTTACCATTGACTCGTATATACATCTTTGAGAAACAAGACTTTTCAAGTTGTAATTTTCTCCCACTACGTAGTAGAGGTTCGAAGATGCATTTTACATAGTTTAAAAATAAGTACGTTCGTTGAATTTATAATAGTTTAGTCATTCTTTTTTCAGATGCATATGTGGTATTGGTTCGGGAAAGACCTGGGAGTATTTTTATTCCCAGGATATGTTGTTACGACAACTTGGGGCATGATAGCTACATGCTTCGGCATAGCTGCCTTAGCTGTACTTTACGAGGGTACGAAGGTGCTGCAATACAAACTGCGACAAATGACACTCGATTCTTTAGCCAAGACTTCGCCATCTACTGAAAATTCAACATTAATATCCAGAATATCATCAAGATCCTTTAACGCATCTTTCTTCGTACAGTGGTAGCATCTTTTTAATTTTAACATAGGTTTGCAAGAATTGTGTATTAATTTAATATGCAAATGAAATCAATTTCTCAGCAGTTCATATTGGAGCAGATGGCTTTTAGAAGTATTTCACTGGTCCTTTCACACTTTGATGGGCTATATAATTATGATGGCTGCCATGACGTATAATGGATACATAACTATTGCCTTGGTATGCGGAGCAGCTATCGGTTATTGGATATTTAGCCCTGCTCTTATGAGTTTCAGCATAAAACAATTTCCTCAACAAAAATCAGTACAATGTGAAGTGGAATGTGCAGGTGGTAATATTTATAACGTCTTATAAATGACGGCAAGTACGACATTGAGTAATTCCCTTACATTTCAGATGCTATTGTTAATTCAGAAAGGCGACAATCTACAGTATCATTTGTAGCAGAGCAAATAGCAACAGAAGTTGTTGCAGACATTCATGCTACGCAGACTTGAATAATGTTTTAATTCTAAACTTAACTCATATTGGTTAAACCAATCTGATTACAACTTTTTTAAGATGAGACTTAAATGTATAAAGAAATAATTTTTACATTTACATATTACATGTACTCGGAGGATATTTTTGTATATACGCTGTTTTTATAAATTTATAAAAAAACGTTTATTCAATGAATTAATTATAAGGATTAGATTTATGATATCACAACGTGTGTATAGAAGAATTCTTGATTCTTTGTACAAACAGGAATTAAAATATTCTTTTGCAAATAGTCTCTTAATCTAAGTCTCAAACAAACGTTTGTAGCAACCTCCATTGTTTCCCCAGAAATGGGAGTACGGGTTAATGGCAGTAATTTCCTTTCCACATAGCCAACAGAAAGAAACATTACAATGAATACATTTCATCTTATTACAGCCCATACTTTTTACTATCGGCGTATGGCAACTTGGACAAGGTTTCGTTTCTTTCTGAAACAAAAAATGAACATAATGCATTGTAATAGGAAAGCTTATGCTTGACCCAAACATAGTGAATTGATCTCACTTTGATATATTCCCGCGATAAATGGTTTTCTACTACGATTTGCAACTGTTTTCTTCCGTGCTTTTTTTCCAGAACTTTCTTCTCTTCAGAACTTGCTTTTAAATAGTTTTCAATCAAAGAGACCTTAGCTTCATCGCTCATACTACAAGGCATGATACCGTGATATACCTATCATTTAAATTAAAACAATTATTTAAAATGCTACACGAGCCACTTTTTCATAGTGCTTACATCTATAAAAACAAAATAACGTCATTAAGATATACTGGATATACAATTTAGAAATGCGTACTTTACGGCAATATATGCAGAAGCAGTAATCACAATATGCACAAATAGCTGAATCTCGTCCCTCTTCGATAGTGACAGGTTTCTGACAAAGAAGTCGGGGGCAAAATACTATATCACTCATATTACCTAAAGTAATATCTAATAATAACTTTTCGTACTTCTCAAATAATTGTGGACATAGATCCTTTACGAGATTTGGACTAATCTCGGATTTACAGTCAGGCTCGGGGCATAAAATATTCTTAACGTTTGCTTCCTCAATTTTGACCGAAACATAAGATTGTAGACAATTTCTACAATATACATGATAGCAATCTTGGAATCCAATGCACTTTTTCCCTGACTCATCGTCAAAGCAAATGCCACAAACAAAAATGTTATTGTTAAATTCATCTTTATATTGCTTCTTCGAGTACTCTGTCAAGTATTCCCGAGGATTCAGAAATATTGCAAAATTGACAGCCCTGCTGTCACTCATATCTAAAATTGTTAACATGGCAATGTCATAAGGCTCTTTGTAAGCAGAAAATAAGAACGAAACATCCAGACAATCGTGTATGTTCAGATATTTCAGGGAATCATTTTTCAGGAATTCCAGCCACAAAAATAAAATCTCGTTTCCTTCGTTCTCTTGCCACAGTTCATCCAGCCTGAGACAAACCAATGAAGTCTCCCAAGGCGGAAGCCATGTAATCGACAATTGAAAACGTGGTGGTTTCTGCGAGGGATACATCGCAGGCAGTTCAACAAACAACTTAATAGGAGGTAAATATTTTACTTGAAACTTTCGATAAAGTGGCTTGCTCCGATATCCTCCATCGTAAACCATATAGCGAACATTAATGCTACCCTCTATAAGTTCAGGTGCAGTGGTCAAGACACAACGAAAGTTTATGCCTCTCTGATATGAAAACTCATGCGGAGCACAAATGTTTGAGATTGCAGTGATCTCGTCTTCCTGTCTCTCCTGATCTGTGAACTTTGAGTGAAGTATATGAATTTTTAGAATACATGACGATATAATCTAACGAAACGACAAACGCAACTTTAGCCGGGTCGAATATATCGATTCCTTATCACCTAGACCGCGTATCTGCTGAAAGAACAGATTTTAAATTACCATTTTTCCAGACGTCTTCAAGCAAAGCTCACGTTCTGCAAAAACTTGTCAAGGACTCTTTTGAGTACGTGCTCAACCTCTAAATTACGACTAATTACGACTAACTGGTCGGTCTTTGTTTATAAGTTTTTAAATCGCCGACATTTAAATGAAACATTAGACTAATGCAGTGAATAACCGTATTCAACATCATGCGATATTTCAAACAAGGTGACCAACGGCGCCACCACGAGAGCCAATCACAGCGAAGGATCCATTGGAATCGACCAATCCGAGAGCGCGACGTGACGTCACACGAGTCTCGAACGTAACCTGTAAGTTGGTAAACATGACGGAGAACAGCAAACCGTGTCAAGACGCAGAGGGACGCAGAATGGCAGAGTGTCAAACGCAGTCAAACAAGTCGTCAAGTCCAAGTTGAGGCAGAAAGTTGGGCGAGCGTAGGAGAGTGCAAGAGAGCAGGAGCGAGCGGGGGAGTGCAGGAGAGAGTGAGCACACGCGAGGCAGCGTCAGGTGTATAACTAATTGATTGGTTACGATGGAGGCTCTGAAAATTCTTGGTCCGTTCTTCGATTAAAGATGCGCGTACGCTCGCCGTATGCTCGTCGCAATGTCGTCTTGGAAAAGCTCGATATCCCTGAAACTAAGGACAGCATAGGTGCAGGCGCAATCGGTAATTTCGGCACTTCTTCCACTACTTATTCGTGTCTAACGTCGTGTCCAGTGTACTTTGCCGAATGATCGTTCCTTCCAGTTTTGCTCGAACTAATGATCGAGATGCTTTTAAAGGGGTCGTGACAAGAGGTCGTACCAGTGTATACCGCTCGCGGTAATCACGGTCGTACGTTAGAAATAATTTTAGCAAGAATCTTCCGAGTCGTCGGTGAGTCTCGAGGCCCTTCGAGTTGAACTGCCAGCTCGTATCATGATGGGAATATTGTATGAGAAGAGGCCACTGAAGAGGCCTAGAATCGGTCCTCCGGATGTCTATCCTCAGGAACCGAAGCAGAAAGAAGACGAGCTGACCTCGATTAACGTCAAGCATGGCTTTGCCACCATGCCCCAGCTCTCCGATGAATTTGGTACTGCGAGGCATTGCAATGTTACTGCGGCTAAGGTCGGGGCTTATTTTAATGCAATTCTTGCCAAAAAGGAAGAGTTCGCAACCATGCCGGACACTGGTCGAAAGAGACAGCAGATTAATCCAAAGGACAACTTCTGGCCCGTTACAGCTAGGACCAAAAATGGAATAGAGGCTTGGTTCAAAGACCTTTCGGGCTGTAAGCCATTGATTGCTCTTGCTAAGAAGGCTCCAAATTTTAATAAGAAGGAGGAACTCTTTATGATGCTCTGTGAATACCAAGTGCCAATGTTAAGGGCGGCATGGTTTATTAAACTAAGTTCTGCTTTTACGGTTGCAGTGTCCGAGATAAAAATTAAAAAGAGGCAGTTACCAGATCCCACTACGGAATGGACTGGAACACTTATTAAATTCCTGAAAGATCAGTTATCCAAATTGCAAGAGTATTATCATTTAGGCAGTGTATCGTTGAATGCCACAAACGGCACTGTGAATGTGATTCCCCTGACAAGCAATGGCTGCGCGAGTACACCTAACAGTCAAACTACGATTCCAAATCCTCCCAATGCCGTGTTGTCAGGATCCGTCATGAACGAGGACCATAAACTAGCGTTGAAACAGTGGCACTATTGCGTTCAATTAGCTAAGTACATGTTCGAAGAGGGCCTGTTGGACAGGCAGGAGTTGTTACAATGGATCTTAGAGTTATTAGATAAAATACGTTCCACTCCTTCCGAGGATGGTATATTGAAACTTCTACTGCCACTAGCTCTCCAATACCTGGAGGAGTTTGTTAAGTCCGAGCTACTGGCCAGGAGATTGGCATACCTGTGCTGTCGAAAGATAGCTCATATGTGCAACAATATTGACGCGTCCAGCAATCCACAAAGTCCTACAATCCTTGGGCCACCGGTGAAGATTGAAGGCAACGGCCAAGGAAAAGATGGTCCAGTTGATCGTTCGATACCCAACCCTTTAACGGCCGTCTTCAATGACTACCTCAATTGTCCGCACCACAGGGACGTCATTTATCCCCTCTCAACGATAATTCAGGCAAGTTTAACTGTATTATACAACCAAAGATACAACTCTATAGTCCAAACCTCTGCATGATATTAAATCGCCCAAGAAGTTATTGCAATTTTTCACGTTTAAGATTGGACGCTTTGTTTTCAAATGAAATTGCTTTTTCATTACATCCATATAATGTATAACCTTAAAGTGCAGACTAAGCTCTACATTTGGTAACAGCAATTATGTTTTAAATATTAATTTCTTTTTTATTTAGACCATTTAATTAAAAATGGGAAAGAAGCAAATTCATGGGATTCTCTCGTACGAGTTCAAACGGTGAGCCGTGACTCACAATGTCAACGATGCCTTTGACCCAGGAACCGCTAACAAACACACAGTGCAATTGTGGTTTAAAAAGTACCCTGAGGGAGATGAGAGCTTTAAAGATCGATAGTGTTCTCCACAAGCTGCAACCATTGATGCAATGGGAAAAAAATTGAAATTAATACATAAAACAAAATTATTCTTATCGAAACGTAGATGTCAAAGAAGCAAAGTCTGTGCTCCATATTTTCTCTTTGCGTGAATAACAATTTTATTCAATTTTATTTGAGGACAACGCGTCAAATCAGAAACAAAACCGTGACAGCTAACCTGACCTAACCTAGTAGATCTTCATCAATGACTCATTATAGGTGATAGCGTTGGAATGTCCAACAGCCCTGGTGTGGAACAGTGTCGGAGAGGGCAAGGCACCTTCCGTTCTGAATGGCTCCCCACTGGACTATCTTCCTTGTCCTCCAACAGCTCTGCCAACACCTCCCAGTGGTGCGACGGACGCAACCTTGAGGCAGCTAAGGATCGCCCAGGAAAGCATTCGAGCAAGGTCTCAGGCTGCGGAGAGCAGGTGGTCCTGCGACAAGTGGCAGCAAAGCAGTGCTGGCATGACCACCACTAAAGTGCTGGCAGCTCTCGATGCTCTGGATCGACACAGCTTCGACAGAACCGACGCCACCAACTCGCTGGACACTCTTTATGCAAAGATCTTTGTAGCTGCCCCGAAGGAGGCGGCAACGGCGACGTCGAGCTCCGGTGAACGCGACTCCAAGACGGAGTACGACCCTCGACAGGACTCCGCAGTTATAGAAATACTCTGCGAATGGGCTGTCAGTGCCGAAAGATGGGGCGAGCACAGGGCGATGGCAGTAGCAAAACTCCTGGAAAAGAGGCAAGCCGAGGCCACCGGCGAGACAAACGACAACGACGACAAGGACAGCGTCTGCAGCAACGGCACACCCCCAGGTCTGCCTATTTTCCAGCCTCTGCTTATGAAGTTCCTCGACTTCGACGCACCGGTCCTCGACAGCAATTCTGCGCAGTCCAGGGTGCAGTTCACCAACCTGGTGCACCTCTTCTCGGAGTTGATTCGGCACGATGTCTTCTCCCATGACGCCTACATGTGCACCCTGATATCCAGGGGCGATCTTGTTCAAGGTAAATGTTATAAATTATTAAAAAATCCTGTCTAAAAGACACGCGATTCTTAGTCATTTTATAACTTTATTGAAAAATAGCTTTAGTTGATAATATGTTCACCAGGTTATTGATAATATTTGTTTATCGATTGGGAAAATTGTTGATGCTTTCCGATGAAACTGATGAAATGAACTATGAATTGACATGAAATTATGTAGTAATTTGTTTTTTAGGCCCTGCTGCGAGTAAACCGAGCACACCGAGTAACCGCGAGCCCCTCGACGAAGACAGTCTCTTCCAGGGGATAGACCTGAAGCCGGCGAAGCTGGAGGTTCCCGACCATACGAGGACGATGGACTATGACGACAGCAAGATTGACGATGACCTGGACAAGCTGTTGCAGCATATCAAGGAGGATCAGCAGAATAGCATGGACGCTCCGGATAGCCCCAAGGATGACACCCTGGCGAACCCTCACAGTACTCACGATGGGGTTGACAACAAATCCTCCAGTCCTAGCAGACATTTGTTGTATACGACGCACTTTCCTCTTCCTCAGGTATGCTTAGACTTAGTTTTGTTAAAATCACACTTAAAATCTCGATTTTTTTTTCCCAATATGTTAATCATTTAAATAGAATAAATCAGATAAATAAAAATTAGTTGATTAAAGTCGATCGATTTTGTTCATTTTTATTCTTTCTTCAGGATGAAACGTGCAGCCAGCACGACTGCAACCAGCGACACGTTTTGCTCTATGGGGTGGGCCGTGTTCGCGACGAAGCTCGCCATGTCGTGAAGAAGATGACGAAGGAGATCTGCAAGCTCTTCGGGAAGAAGTTCAGCATCGACGTGGCCGAGGGAGGGAAGGTGAAGAAGCACTCGCGTAGCGAGTTCAGCTTCGAGGCAGTGACGCAGAAATTCCAAAACCTGAGCTACTTCGATCAGCACGTTGTCACCTGGCAGTGCGCCACCCAGGTCGTCGAGATGCTGAACGCCTTCGCCCTGGCTGGCTCTTCCTATCTGCCAGTGCAGGAGCACGTGGCCTTCCTGTTCGACCTGACCGAGCTCGCGCTTAATATCTACGGATTGATCGACGTTTGTATACAGATACTGAAGGAGCTGCCCGAGGTCGAGGCCCAGCTGGCCGCGAGGAACAGCCAACTAGTCAGGAGCTACACCACGAGCTTGAGCCTCTACGTCGTCGGGGTGCTGAGGAGATACCACTGTTGCTTGCTATGTAAGTCATCACTCTCGTCCAGTCCCTAGAAGTGGAATATCCGGACTAAAGTGATACGAAAGTGGCGTCGCAAAAGGTCTCATTTGTGAAACTCTTCTCCGAAGTGGGTGTACCGAATCGTTTGGAATTTCACCAGGTGTTCGGTACACCGAGATTGGAGAAAATGCTTTATAAACGAGACCCCTCAGATAGCCATCTTCAACCTTCGATCTCTCTTTCTCAGTGTCTCCCGAGCAGACGACGGCGGTCTTCGACCTCCTCTGCAAGGTCGTCAAGCACGTCTCCAACCCCAGCGACTGCAGCTCGGCCGAGAGATGCGTCCTGGCCCATCTCTACGACCTTTACTCCAGTTGCTCGCTCTTGAAAACCAAATCCCACGGGGTGGAGGCCTTCAGCAACGCGTATCCGAAGATCCGCACGGCGCTTTACAGCGCCCTTCAGCCCGCACCCTCGAACCACGTCTACAATTCGCAGTTCATGGTCGACGTCTTCAACAGTCCCAGGAGAGGAGGCAAAATCGAGCCCCAATGGGCCAGGCAACTCAACGAGACTCCGGCTAATCGTTATAGTTTTGTCTGCAACGCGATCGTTGCAGTTTGCAGCGAGATCGATAACGACAAGCTCAACGATTTCGCCATTACGTGTGCCGAGCTGACCGCCTGCTGCAACGCCCTCAGCGCCGAATGGCTCGGCGTCCTGATGGCACTCTGCTGCTCCTCCAACAGCTCCGCTTTCTACATCGACGTCCTCAACCAGGTCGACGTCCAAGATCTCAGCATCCACAACTCCCTCGCCGTCTTCACTTCAATCTTGATCGGTAAAGAGTCGTTCCTTCCCGTTCATTCTTCATTTCAATGCGAAAAGTCTAATGTCACGGCTGTGTAAGCTCGCATGTTGGGAAATGGAAGAAAGACAAGTCTCATCCAACACGCGTGACGACCACACATCTTAATTAAGTATCGACATCACGTTCTAATTTTATCCGTAGCTCGCCATTGTTTCTCCCTGGAGGACTTCGTCGTCCACGTGGCCTTGCCTTCCCTGGTGAAGGCGTGCAACGAGGGGCGGGGCGACGCCGACACGGAAGCGGAGGCTGGGGGACGATTAACCTGCCACCTGCTGTTGCGCCTCTTCAAGACGGTGGAATGTCCTCAGCCAGGTCTCTACTCGGTAGGCACGAGTCCACATCCTCTGCCAACCGGGAACCAGAGAGGATACGGCATCAAGTTGAGCTGCGACCGGCACTTGCTAGCCGCAGCACACGACAACATCCGAGTAGGGCCCGTCCTGGCAGTTCTCAAGGCCATCCTCGTGGTCGGGGACGCCACCGCCGGGAAACAACCCACGAAGAAGTCGGACACGCCTCTATCCCACCCAGGTAAATCTGCAGGACCCGGGAGCGTGGGAGGAACCGGGGAACTGTCGATCAGCCACATCCTGGGGACCAGCGACATCCTGGGGGGCGGCGACGAGCTGGGTCCCGGCATGTCCATGCCGGGAGCCGGGGCAGGATCCGCGGCTGCGTCCACGGAGGCCGTCAAGGGCCTCTCGGACTTTGCCCAGCACGTGCTACGCCAGATCTGCGGCCAGGAGTGGGTCCTCGAGAGGTGTCTGCAGAACCCTGAAGAGCTCTGCCATCCGGACCTTCTCCTGGACAACATGCTGACCCCTAGACAGGCCCAGAGGCTGCTGCACATGATCTGCTACCCGGAGGCCTCGGCCGACGTCTTCCTTGACCAGAGGAGCCACATCGCCGAGATCCTGGAGAACCTTGAACAGTGGAGCCTCAGGATGTCCTGGCTGGACCTGCAGCTGATGTACAAGCAGTTCCCTCCGAACTCGGCCGAACTCACCCAGTGGTTGGACACGGTGGCCAAGGCGGCGATCGACGTCTTCCAGCTGAACGCCTCCTCGGCGAAGCCGGAACGGAGGACCGGGTCCATCTGGCTGGTGGCTCCTCTGGTTTCTAAGCTACCTAGTGCGGTTCAGGGTCGCGTCCTCAAGGTGGCCGGCCAGGTCTTGGAGTCCGGGAACTGGTCCAAAGCTGCCGCGAGCAGAGAGCGAAGTCGCGCCAAGTCGCCCTCGCTCTTCAACCACCAGCCCTTCCTCTCGTTGGTTCTAACCTGCCTGAAGGGCCAGGACGACCAGAGAGAGGGTCTCCTGACTTCTCTTCACTCTCAGCTCTCCCAGTTCCTGAACACCAGCAAAGAGGAGAGGAACGTCGCCGCCGAGGACCCCAAGGCAAGGGAGGTTCTGCAGGACGCGTTGCAGCTGCGCTTCAGCCTCGTCGGAGGCGTCTTTGACACCATCCAGAGGAACACCACCGTTACCACCGACTGGGCGATCCTCCTCGTCCAACTCGTCAGCTATGGCGTTATCGATCTGAACGATAACTCGGAGCTCTTCACCACGGTCATCGACATGCTTGCTACCCTTGTGCACTCCACCCTCGTCTCGGACTCCCAGTCCGAGAAGGACGAGAACAAGAAGCACTATCAGAACCTGATGAAGAAGTTGAAGAAGGAGCTGGGGGACAGGAACAACCGCAGCATCCAGTTCGTCAGGCAGCTCCTTCCTTTGCCGAAAGTTACCATGGAGGTAATCGCCTGCGAACCGGTCGGATGTTTGACGGACACCAAAGGGAACAAGATCGCCGGCTTCGACAGCATCGACAAGAAGCAGGTAGATCATCTCCGTCAGCGGCATTTTATGCATCTCTCTCGGCTGTTTGCGATCGTTTATCCATTGTTATTTTTTTTTTTTTATAGGGCCTTCAAGTCTGCGACTCGCAGAGGGTGTCCGCCTGGGAGCTCCTCGAGGGTCACAAGAACCCTGCTCCGTTGTCCTGGGCCTGGTTCAGAGCCGTCAGGATCGAACGCAAACCCCTCACCTATCATGCTGCGCATAAACTGTTGAGGTATCATACTCACAGCCAGGTGAGACCGGCTAATCACTACCTGGAGCCCCCGCCGTTACCTCCGGAAGACCTGGAGCCGGATAAGAAGGAAGGGTTGGAGCCTGGGAAGGCAGACACCCCGATGAGTTTGGACTCCCCCAGCAGAAGCGGCAAGGGGAAGGCCATGAAGGCCAGACGACAACGAAGGAACAAAGGAGCTGCAACCCCCACCGTGCCCTTGGCTCAGCCCATGCAGGTCTTGATCCACTATTTTTATCTCATAGTGCATAAGTTTGTGGGATGAATTTTTAAGGTGGTGGACACGCGATGAAAATTTGTCCTTTTACTTATCGAGCAACCTTGCCATGTTCTCTTCAAGGTCCTCATTATTCTCTAAAAGGAAACTCTCCCAAATAGAACCCCTCGCAGATGCAGCAGATGCCGTACGGCCAGCAACAACAGGTCGCCCAGCCCGCAGGGATGTTCGCCGGTCAGCCTCCACAGCCGCAGCAACAACCTCAGCAACAACAACAGCCACCTCAACAATCGCAGCAACAGTGGTATCCGAACCAGCAAGGCCACACTCCACCTCAGCAATATGGCTACGGTCAACAATTACCGCCAACACCGGTCGGCGGACCTAGATACGAACGTCCAGGCATGAACAACCAGTCGAAGCAAGCCCTTTCGAACATGCTGAGACTCCGGTTACCCTCGAACCAGTTCATCGGTTCTCAGCAACCAGCAGGAGCGCCTCCCGTTGCTGCTCCAGGCGCCTTCCAGGGACTGCACCGACAGCAGTTCATCAGGCAGCAACTCAGGGCTCAGCATGGCGCCTCGGGGATTGGGCCCCAGCAAGGCATGTTCCCGACCCAGCAACAGCAGATTTACGCAGGAATGCAGCAAGGTAGATCGACGAGAGCACGTTGTCTCTGACGAGGGAGCTGTAATGTCTTCTTGGTGATTCAGGAATGAACCAGAATTATGCCGGTTACGGCGGGCAGCAGATGATACCTCAGCAGCAACAGCAGCAGCAGCAGCAGCAACAGCAGCAGCAGCAACAGCAGATGCTACAGCAGCAGCAGCAGCAGCAGCAGCAGCAACAACAGCAAGGCATGATGACTCAGCAGCAGAACGTCATGTTCCAGAATCAGCAACAGATGATGGGTGCGCAGAGGAACCAGGAGTATATGCAGCAGCAGAGGATGCAGCCTGCTGCCTCCAGGCCGCCGTATTTGCAGGTGGAGTTTTTAGGAGTTGAAAGAAATTTCAGGTTTATTTGGCGTGACTCTATTGGGATACTGTTTTTTTTTTTTTTTCGTTTTAGGCACCGAATGTTACCATGAATACTATGGGACCAATGAGTGGTGCGGTGCAGAATCAACCTGCTCCACCTTACAGACAAGCTGGGGGGAAACCTGGAGCTGTTGGGGTGTCGACGGCTGGGGTTGGCTTGCAGTCGAATCAGCAATTCCAACAGGTATGTCGGTTTTTTTTTTTTTTTCATGTTTTGTGGGAGGCACTTTCATGTCCCCTTAATGATGTACGTGCCTGAAATAGGCGTGAAGGTGGACACGTGGTTGAGAAGAGACCACCTTAATTTTGTCACTTTAAAGCGAAGGGGGAATAATACTAATAAGGATTAAGGAAATTAAATTCATTAGGAGAAGGGAATAAAATTAAGATTAAGGATGTCAACAAGGAGAGTTTTTGTAGATACTTCAGTATCTCTTATTAATTTTCAGCAAACGATCAACCAACAACGCATGAGGCAGCAGATGCTTGCTATTCATCAGCAGCAGCAGCAACAGCAACAACAGCAGCAAGGAGCTACTGGTGGACAGCAACCTACACCTCAACTGGTCGCTCATCTCCAAAGACACTTGAATCAACCTCCTCAACATTCTTATCAACACCAACCTCCGCCTTATTAATGTTGAAGTCTTAACACGTTCGCAGTAGCAAAGTATCGAGAGGATTCGAGAAGACGGTATTAATTTTGCGTTTCTAGCGATTACGTTGAATTAATTTCTAGGCAGATATTCCTTGAAGTATTTGCAGTAATTACCTTGAAACTCCTACGAATCAGTTTGCAGGAGAAATCCGCGCTGGCAGTTGTAATGCGTCGATAATTTAAAACGCAGTACTTGCCTTTTTTTCCTATGGACTTCCGGCATGAAAGCTCCAGTGTACAGATAGTAACTTATAAACGTAATTGTAGGAAAATTTACACGTGTGCACAATAATTGTAATTTTATTATAATCGTTGTAGTTATGAAAATCGTAAAATAAAAGCCGTTTGATAAAAATAGTTTTATTTGTGGAGGTTATGTACACCTATTGCTTTCGGTGATGTGTGAATCGAGAGATATCGGTGGTATAAATTTTAAGGAACGACATTCAGGTATTTCAACTAATAGTTAATTTTGTTTGTTGAAAATGTACAATATATTTATGACAATCATGTGCAACATCAATAAATAGGTGATGAGAGTCGAATGTGATAAAGTAATTGTTCGTAATGTGGGCTTTGATGTTCTAAAGGATCTATCTTATCTCGTAAGCTCTCATAATACCACAGCAGAGGCTTATCAATTGCAGGTATTCGCTGCCACCTTCCAATAATCTGTAATTGCATTCCTGAAAGATTTTTGTTTGTTAAATTTGAATTTAAAAAGGTACATACGACTTGACTATATTACTTTCTTTTTGAAATCTAGTACGATGTTAAATATATTTCCTTACCCCAAGAATTTCACCGATAATTGTCTTTTGCTCATCCGTTAAGATGCTGGAATAAACCACTTTCTTGTTTAGTTGCTCTACAACCTGAAAAATTTAATCACGTTTACATTCTTTGCGGATTATACTTTGGCTGTTATGTACAATTCATTTTAATAGATTCGCATACCTGAGAAGCTGCGTAAGCTTCCATCATAAATTCGTCGACGAAGGTCTCGACTTTGCTATAATCTTTGGTTTTACATACATTCATTATATCATCCAACCATTTATCAGGAACGATCTAAAAACGAAAGTATTTATTTTTCTAGTTTTCAAGCAGATGTCATGTACAACTTGTGACTTCTACTTACGCCAGTGGTTTCTACAACGTCATCGATGGTAAGTTCAGCACCCTTTCCTTTAAGTCTGGTGACTGACTGCAAACAGGTAATTGCTCGTCGCAAGTCTCCTCCAGAAGCTTCTACTATTTTTAAAAGAACATCCCTCTCAGCCTTTAAATTCTCATTCTGACAAATTAGCTGCAACCTTTCTATTATCTTTTCCTGGCCCAAAGGCTTAAATCTGAATTTTGTACATCGAGACGTTAGTGGGTCAATAATTCGAGACACGTAATTACAAATAAGACAGAAACGTGTACTCTGAGATTCTTTTTCCATAGTTCGGCGAAGCGCAGATTGTGCAGCGGTTGTCATACTGTCAGCTTCATCTAATATTATAATCTTGAATGGAGGACATGGTTTTCCACTGTAACAAAGAAATATCACAACTTTTTACGTAATAAAATAATTAAGTATTGCTTACGTTAACACATAACAGTGCCTTCAGTACAGGTTTTACATCAGTGACGTATTAGAACGGTTCAAAAATCTGACAAATGTAACATTTACCATTCAATGTATCCTAATAAATAAACCAGAAATGTGCGTGCTTCAGAAATCAAAAGGCATTTCTCCTTTAATGCTTCTGATTATATTTTGAGAGCACAAATATATTGCTGTCTAGATGGTAATAAGAGCGTTTAAAAAACTAATTTAAAGCCCCTGAAGCCAACGAGTGGAACATCACAAAAGCAGATTCATGTTCCGTTTGACAATAGTCTCAAACCTTTTACTAATTCATCATTGGTACCACAATTGCCCATCGACAATTTATAAATTATCAGTGAATTCAAGCTGAAGGATTATCTTACTCATTCCTAACGCTGCCCGCTGTAAGCTGAGCAAACAACTTGACTTTATCTCGTACAACTTGAATCCCTCGCTCGTCAGATGCATTCAGCTCCAATATTCTCTCCTTATACATATCACCGAATAATTGTCTGGCAGCTGCCAAGATTGTACTCGTTTTGCCAGTACCAGGAGGTCCATAGAATAGCAAGTTCGGGAAATCACCACCATGCAGACATTGCCGCAGAACTTCAACAACTTCGCCTTGTTCGACGACATCTTCTACGGTTCGTGGTCGACTGCAAAATTAAACTATATGCACTTGTGGCTTACCATTTTCCTAAGGAACGATTTAAATAAATAATACTAACGTTCTGAAATATCAGAATATAATTGACTTACTATTTTTCTACCCAAGGAACTGCAGGTGCGCTACGACGACTTTCATTCTCACCGGACGTGGAAGCTTCTTTCTCATCAATGGATCCAAGCTTCCCAGTTTTCAAAAATGCTTGCATTCTTCTATTATTATTTATGAGGTCTAACCTATTACATACGCAGTTTTAGTTGATCCTACACACGTGTTGGCATGAAAACACATGAAAAATTGGCGGCAAATGCCGCCGACAGAGATGAGTTGGGAGATTGCTCACGGGCAGGGACGCGCGATCGCATTCTGTGCTGCCCTCTCGTTTCGTACGTCAGCTTTCACCGTTTTTTGCTCCCAAGAGCAATTGCTCTTGTCCGCTAATAGCTGCGCGAGTGGTTCCACTTAGTGTTTTTTTTCTTGTATGATAGTAGTTTAATGTAGTTAAAAGTGGAAGCACTCATTGCGTGCGTGCGAGATTGTAAATTGCGGACAGGACGTTGTCGGGTACCTTTCCATGCAGCTAGTAATTTCGGATTTGCGTGCTAACCGAAGTAGATTTTTGCAGGTACGGCATTGCCGTACCTTTAGTGTATCCGGCAGCTTCCGTCGGCACCTAGTACGTCGTAGCTAAGCTACGGCGTGCAAGGCTACCTGGCTCAGGTTGTCGGTTGCGCGATACGTTGTTTCGCTCTGGCGGCATCCCGCGGGGGCTCTGCCTGCTGTAAGCCGGGACAAGCCCGTCGACTGAAACTCGTATTCGCGGGCCGACAGCCGAGCCGGGTTAGTCGTCGGTGACGGTGGAAGCTGCTGGATTGTTCGCGTTAGAAGTAGTATGCCCTTCCGGCAAATTATATCCGTAATTCAATGCTAACTGGCAAGGTACTCGGCGACTTACCCTGTACTCTGCGGCGAGCGTTGTATGGACGGATGAGTATGGTATGCGAGTGGTGTGTTGTATGGACGGATGCGTATGGTATGCGAGTGGTGTGCTGTATGGGTTATGAAATCCTGGTTCTGTGAGTTCCTGGGACGCCGGGAACTCAACGGAACCAGGTGCCTATGCTTAGGCGGGTCCCTATCGCAGCGGCCTCCTCGTGGCGGGACCTGCGGGATCGGTACCATCCTTATGGGATGATACCGATCCGCGAACTAGCTGTGAAGTAGAATTTAATTAAGGTAAAATTTCACTTTCTCGTACAATAAGTAAGGTAAGTGAAGGGTAAAGTCAAAGTGGGTGCCACGAATGTTCTTCCCTTACCATCAAAAGCGAGCAGTGTCGGTAAGCGTTGGTAAGCCACTACCGTCAACAGCCGTAAGGTATTACCATCACGAGTACGTGAGCCGTCAACGACTACTGGTAGATGGCACCGCCATCGCGAGTGCGCAAGCATCTTCGAGAAATTCGTTGCGGCGCATGTAGTTCTACAAAAATAGCGCTACTCTTCAAAACTTGAAATTGCACTTTGCATTTGCAAGGTTTATTTATTATTTTTACATTTTGCTTGCTTCAAGCAGTGCCGCTCATGTTCCTGATTTGTTCCTCATATTTTCTCAGACCTCTAACGAGTATTTGTAACAGGAGAGAATGATAATATACGATAAAAATAAATATCATGCAAGTGCCCTGTCAGTGAATTCAACATTTTACAGTAAGAGTGAATTTTCAAGTATCATTGTATTTTTTTTGCATATCAGGTTAGCAGAGTTTGGTATCAAATAGATGCATACTTGCATACCTAACAATCAACGTCACATATAGGGAACAAAGTACGAGGTTACCAGAATTTCTGTATGCGAATGGATAATTTTAAAGGAGGCACGATCGCTACCAATTGTCATATGGAAGGTGCCTTTAGAACCTGGGTCACGTAACTTTGTAATTTTTATTTTAAACTACCGAATTCGCAATGCCACTACGAGGAATTAAGGTTCTGGAATTGGCTGGTCTGGCGCCAGCTCCATTCTGCGGAATGGTTCTCTCTGATTTTGGAGCATCCGTTGTCAGAGTTGATAAAGTGAGACCTTTTAAAAATATTGAATAAAAAATTAGTATTATACAAAGATATTAAATGTATATTTTTTAGCCAAATGCTGGGCCGTATACAATGGATTGCTTAGCCCATGGCAAAAGGAGCATTATCATAAACTTGAAGACTAAAGAAGGCTGTAATGTATTGAGGAAATTAAGCGATCAGAGTGACGTGGTGATAGAACCATTTAGGAAAGGTTTGTATTCTTACTCGACGTAATAAGAAGGCACTGTACGAGGTACGCTTTAATTCAATATTTAACAGGCGTCATGGAAAGTTTAAGTTTGGGTCCCAACGATCTGATGGCAGCAAACAGAAGATTGATATATGCCAGGTTAACTGGATTTGGTCAAAGCGGCCCCTACGCTAATATGGCTGGTCATGATATCAATTTTCTAAGTGTTTCTGGTAAGTAATAATCGTAAAAAATGAAAGTGCTATTTAATAAAAATGTAAATAAGTTTATGTACAAGAAACGTAACTTGGAAAACTATACTCTACAGGTCTTTTATCAATGTTTGGTCGTTATAATCAGAAGCCGACACCCCCTGTGAATTTTGCAGCAGACTTTGGTGGTGGTGGGTTAACCTGTGCTTTGGGAATCGTACTAGCTCTCTTCGAGCGCAATAAGAGTAATTTGGGACAAGTAATAGATGCATCCATGGTTGAAGGGACTGCATATTTGGGCAGTTGGCTTTTCAGATCAAAACAAATTCAAGGACTTTGGGGACAACCACGTGGTAAAAATCTGTAAGCAGTATTTTTCTACAACATTAACTTCTCTTCCACAATATGTTGTTTAGAGTATGCTATCGTATAATTTTTATAAATGGTTCATTTTTTTAGTTTGGATTCTGGTGCGCATTTCTATGACACATATGAGACTAAAGACCATAAATTCATGGCTGTTGGTGCAATTGAGCCGCAGTTTTATGCCATACTCCTGGAGAAACTTAATATTACCGAAGATGACTTGTCGCAATACGGTGACTTTGAATCTAACCAGAACAAATTGTCAGAGATATTTAAAACCAAAACTCAGAAAGAATGGACCGATATATTTGACAGATCCGATGCCTGCGTTACTCCTGTTCTAACACCAGAGGATGTGGCTAATAATAAGCACAATAAATTTAGGCAAAGTTTTGCAGAAAATCTAGATACAGTTGTACCGAATCCTGCACCGAAGTTGTCACGGACACCTGGGGTTTCAGGTGCAACCCGTAGTTCTAATCCAACTCCTGGTGAACACACTACCGAAGTCCTGACTGAATATGGCTTTAATTCAGAAGAAATACATAGTCTAATTTCAAACAGTGCTGTCAAACAGGCTCGGAAAGCAGCAAAACTGTGAAAAAAATCTATTTAATAGACCAAGGGATACCGTGCATCACAGTACTACACGATAGGCAAGAAATATATTTTTAAGCACTATTTTACGATAAACTTTTGATGTCATCTTGCATTTAAATACATAAATGATGAGAAACTGTGAGAAATAAATGTGAAGGGCTCTGACCCTGAGGGAAAATGTTATTTAATTACGATACATATTAATGAAAGGGATATTTCTACTCCTTTTAACACCTTCCTAGTTTGTAGATATTAGAGATACTAAATACTTCATACAGTTTCTTTTTTTTTCTATACGGATATGTGCCTCGAAACATCGCTCAACGTTTGTTATGCTCTCCTACTAGTGTCAAGTCGTCTCCACATACATGTTGTCTACTCTCTTGAATATTTCTACGTATACCTGTTCTCCGTTTCTTATTTGTGAAACACGACTAGTACAAAGCTCTAATTGAAATTCAATTTTAGGAGGAGGAAAATAAAGAACTATTACATTTGTATTAATCGGAGATGCTTAGAATTGCCAATTAAATAGCACCCTGACATAACAATGGAAAGAATAATCGAGACACAGATAAATCATTTTCCCAAGGAACGATACTTTATTTCAAGAATTGTAGAGATCTCATAATCATAATCAGTCAAGAAATGAGTGAACATTTTTCTTTGGAAAGGACACTGCTTAAAATACTTTTCTACATCTTCTTCTTGCACGGTGATATTCCCTTTGCATCCTTATTCGAAAAATATTACAGTTCTTAACCTAACATTAGTCCGAGGAATTCACATTATCCATTGTCCATTTACATTATAGCAGTGTCACTGATAAAGTATGTTAAAATGTCTCATGTACTTATAAGACTCTGTAAGTTGACTAATGTTTATAATTACTGGCGAATACTTAACTTTTGAACACGGTACTCCATGTTCAGATTTTAGACATTAAGGAATGATTCGATATCCAAGCCAAGTCTAGTTTAATTATGGCAATGTTCTTCCAAACATATTCCCAACTTTTAACGTTAAAAGACGTATTTAACTTTAAAAGTCAGGTATAGGTACGAGCCAAAGGAACAAGCGAATGGATAAATGCGCATATTTGGTCTAATACCTTTTCTCAACAGTTCCATGTTACACTTCCACAGCTGGGACATCTTCAAAGACTTCATCAGCACCCTCGAGTTCCTCCACGACTTCGTTACCCTCTGCATCACGACGGAAACGGAAGGATCCTTGGAGTCCAACATTTCCCTGAGGTCTCTGGCCCGGATTTTTCTGGACTCCAGCACCAGCACTGATGTGACCATGCTTGTTTTCAAAAATCTTGTGTTGGTATCCAGCACCAATGGATGGGCGACGATCAGGTCCACTCATGGGTTTTTGAACATCGACATAGATGGATCCCTTCTTCTGCGGTTCAGGTTCAGGAGATCTGCGGAAACGGAAAGATCCTTGGAGTCCAACATTTCCTTGAGGTCTCTGGCCCGGATTCTTCTGGACTCCAGCACCAGCACTGATGTGACCACGTTTGTTCTCAAAGATCTTATGTTGGTATCCAGCACCAATGGATGGGCGCCGATCAGGTCCGCTCATGGGTTTTTGAACATCAACGTAGACGGATCCCTTCTTCTGCGGTTCAGGTTCAGGTTCAGGGGACCTGCGGAAACGGAAGGATCCCGTGATGCCAACGTTCGACTGCGGTTTCTGGCCAGGGTACTTCTGGAATCCTCCACCAGCACTGATGTGACCATGCTTGTTCTCAAAAATCTTGTGTTGGTATCCAGCACCAATGGATGGGCGCCGATCAGGTCCACTCATAGGCTTTTGAACATCGACATAGACGGATCCCTTCTTCCGCGGTTCAGGTTCAGGTTCAGGAGACCTGCGGAACCGTGGCTGTGTCGGAGGACGTGGACGATTCTAAAATTGAAAATTAAAACGTACATGAATTAATCCATCTCATATATCCCTACTTGCATAGAATACTCTCAAGGTGTCTACATCGTCGGAAATGGAATAACTATAAATTTAAGAATTATAAACAAATCTATCCCTTATCTTACAGCACGCATTTACTATTCTCAAAGCGTCTACATAATTAAACATCGAATAATAATATATTCAACACGCGAATGAAACATTATTTCTGCTGGGTCATAAGTGCCATTCAACCAAAAGTTCCATTCATATGTTTACCAGATAAATTAACAATTGTTGCTTACAATCAAAGGTCCAGGTCCAGGTCTATGCCTAGGCAAACTGGGCTCAGCATTCGCCAGGAAAGTGACGGCGAAAACCAAAAGAACCGCAACAAAGGTCTTCATTGTGCCGGGTGCCGTCTGAAACATCGTGAACAATTAATATTAAATAATTCACCCCGCAGAATAAAATAAATTTTTGTAATTAATGCACCAGTTGAAACAAAACAATAATCGTATTATACAAAATAAAAGAAGCTAGACTGTTAGCTTCTTTTTCAGCATTGGAATATTAACGTGGAATTATAAATTGTTCAAGAACATGTATTAGAAAATTGGGGGTATCTCACTTACCAAACAGTGCAGCTGATGAGGCTTTCGATTGAATGTGCCGTCATTCCAGCATCCAGCAATTTATATACTTAGAACGAGGAAAATTGTGCTCCGGCCGGGGAAGCACTCTTTCGGAAATGTAAAGAGAGAGAAGTGAGCAAAGCACATGGAGCAGATGGCAGGAATCCCCTTGTCTCTCGATATCGACATTCATGCATGTGTAAGCCATGCTCGTGTACATTCCTACATACATCATTCGTCGGTGACCTAAGAGATGGAATAAAAGGAGTAAAACACCCGATACGTTAATCTCAGGGTTCCCCAAGGTACACATAGAGCGATCGCAATTGCCACACACAATTATCTGTTTGAGATTACATTTGCATATTCCAAACCCTCGGAGAGACGATAGGGCCTGCTATTATTTACATTTCAGAACGATAATCTCTATTAATAAATCCTTATTAAGGAAAAATCCGAGAAATTGCGAGGGGGGACACGATAAACGGGGGAGAGATAGTGAACGAAAATGTCGACATTTCTCATTTCTCTTCGATATTCCGCCAATATTGACTCGGAGTGAATAAACTAGAGAAACGTCACTCGAGGAAAGACCAGCCTGACTTAGATATATTGTTTTATACTTTTGGCAAATCCACGCTGAGAAAAGAAATTCAGTGAACCAAAGAAATATTTTTCTAGTTCTAAGAATATATGTTTTACTCAAATAAATTGTCATAATTCCGAATAAATGTGGCATCCGATTTATTCCAGCTTGAGTTAAATAATTTATCTTTAAATTAACAGAATATTTCTTTCGTTCGATGACATGTTTTTTTCTCTCGGTGCAGATAAAATTGTACGCAGTTACAGTTTATACTTAATTTGTAGAACGCTTTAACTTAGTAATAATTAGTTTAGCTTAATAAGTTTTTGTTTAAAAATTACTGAAAAGAAAAACAAATCAAAGGTGTCTAAACAAATGAATTAAATACTATCATAAGACAGGACTAATGCAAGAGTTCGTAAAAACTGTTGGAGTAAAAGGATATTCATATAACGCGGTTAATAACCTAAGTAGACGGCGCGCCTGTATAAGAACGTAAATATTTCTTTTCAGGGTCGCTTAAAGTACATATGAGATAGATTACAAGGAAGGACGCAATGCAACGGCTTTATGACCCATTCGCTTGCAGAACTATCTAATCGATCTAAACCTGCTTGCAACCGGTCAATGTCGCGACGCCGTCCGTTCAACCGCTTAACCTGTCTCGCCGCCATGTTGTCCTGATACCACGGCTTCCGAATTGCCTCAAAGAGATGTCATTTTCCCGAAACCGCTCGAGCACCGGCGAATAATGGCACCCTCGTGCCACCTCCAGGTCCATCCTAACTGCCGGGTATGAAAAAGTAGAATTGTCGTCAGTTTAAGCAGGCGCGGTGTATGAATTAAGCTCCGCCGGGCAGACGTCAAATCTCCGAGTAATGGCGGCTCGCAGGACAAGGGCGCGTCACGTGACTCGAGAGGTCACGTGACGCGGCCTAATAAGAACTCGATTCTCGAATTCTCGAACGGCGATTTGCATTATCGAATCGGGGGCAAACACGGCGAGTGGAGGAAAAACTCTAGCACGCGGATAACGGGAACGTTTGCCGCCAAACATTGCGCGTGCCGTCTCGAGTAAACGCGAGATTGACGGAAATTATTCCGTCCGTCGAAGTGAACGAACGTCAAGCGCCATCAACGCGCAGGGTCGTGCTCGGACGGGTGGACGTAAGCTCGTCCATCACTCACAGAAAAGTAGCGTCTCCGGGGAGCAGAGCAGCATGCACGAGAGGAAGTGATCGAGAGGTTATGCGGCTCTTGCTCTCTCGCTCGCGCGCCCTCTAGTGTCTATCGCTCTGTCTTTCTCGCTCGAGGCAGCTGTTCTCTAATCGTTCCCATTTGACCGGTGACCCTACGTATCCCAATTTTTGTCCAAGTCAAGAAGAACCGATATGACATGAATTTTTTAAATGTTAACCTTTCGATATTAACTGTTTATAAATGTATGATTATACACATTTTTATAAATTTACAATTTATGTGTAAAGCAAAAGTATATGTCTCACACCGATTTCTTAACTTGCGAGTTTAAATTATTTTTACGTAAGAAGTTTTACTTTAAAGTCCTTCGGAATGGGAGTAGAGGATGGGATAGGGCATAGAGTTTAGCCAGAGGAATTTAAAAGTAAGGAAGTAAAGATAAGTATGATAATCGTGTATATTCACACATGTAAATTGTAAGTTTCGTAACATAGTTCCATAATAATTGATAATCTCTGTTACATAACTACTTAAAAATGTCACCTATGTATAATACATTACTTAATAAAATATGTATATATGCGGTTGTTTTGTACATCTGTCACTGTTTAAATAAAGCTCAGTGAGCGCAATTGAAAAGTAAGACCTAATTAATCTGAAACTTATGCACTGATAATGTAGGAAGATATAAAGATTATCTATTACATGTAAAGTTTGTAAATATCCAAGAGTAGCTTCTTAGTGACATCCCATGGTGATGCTCCACTGTTCCCAGAATTTCTGTCTCTTTTTATAAACATCAGATAGAACGAAGCAGAAATAATGTGGAACGGCGCATGAAAAACAGTGTAAGTATGAACTCTTGTAAGAAAGTTCATCGAAAGTCTCTTGATGATTCTTTCGTGTACATTTTCAAATCACATTTCGGTATGTCAGTCCAGAATTTCCTAATTTATCACCCATAATGTACGATGGGTAACCATCAAGCTTCCACAACAGCGTTTTTCAAGTTGCTCAAAATTGGATCGATTTTCTCTTCCAAAGACAAAATATGACCCGTATTGCAGCTGTGGGTTGCGATAAAACTGAGCACCAGCGGTAGTTTGTTTATCTGAACAACCTGAAAGCACATATTCTCATAGATATAGATTATTAAGAATACATGTAATTTCTACGCTACTTCTAAAATAAAATGCAAAAATAACACATGTCTTACCTGATAACTACTGTACATGCAAATGAGAGTCTTATTTTTCCCAAGACCTAATTTACTGCCTTGATCCGTCGCCATTCCAAACGTGGAAAGAAAACTTGCTCGCATTGCCAATTCGGGAGCTTTCTCATGGGCCACCGATACCACTGGAACTCCATCTCGATCAGTAATTAGTATACAATGTAAGCCTTCAATGTTATTTAAAAGGTCGTACAAAAACTTATTTAACTCCTGAAACAAAGATTACAATGTAAATGTCAGATCGTTCAGAAGATTCCGTTTAAAGTTTATGGAAGGCCTAAAATGATGATTAATAAAAATTAAAATTAAATTCCGTAGAAAAGTGTCACACCCCATTGTTATATGCTAGTGTCAAAAGTTGTTGACAATCAGTTAAGACAAAATTCAGATGTGACTTCACATAACCTAAATGATTTTATCTGTGAGTTGGTATTCATTATGATTACACTGTTAATAATAACACGAAATCAAACATTGGACTTACTACGGTCATTTTAAATGATTTTTGATACAGCAGGCTGATCAAAACAAATTTCGTCAAAAATTTGACAGCACCTTCCTACATTAACGACTTCTTGACAACTGTGAATATCGTGTTATCACTACATACTTTTACAGCTAACAGACAGAGGGCAGCATGTGGTCAAATTTGGAAAATACTAAAAATTATACATACGAGATATTTGCCAGTCCATTAATTCTCTTTTTCATATACATAAACAAAATTATTCATCAAAAGTTTATGCTAACAATGATCTATAACCTGAACAATTAAATCGTAACAAATGAACTAGACATGTACAGAATTACTTAGTTAATATTGTTTAATCACTTACAAAATAATGTACACATCAATAGGGAATTACGCTTTAATTTGCATTGATTTTTCTCTAGTTGAAAAGTAAGAAATAACTCGATGTTAAGTTTTCCTCGTTGCTGACGCAATGAGTACGATGTTCATATATTATGTAACAATAAATTACATTAAAGTACATGCTTCAAATAGTGACGCACAATATACTTATATTTACGTAACAACGATAATATGAATAAATCTTCATTTGTAGCAAAATATCTGTCTTTTGAGATCTGCCGACTGTTTTACACATCGGTGGATAGAACGATACAATTTAGGAGAAAGTAGCAAAAATTAATGCTTTATAAAATGCAGTGGCTTCCTGACATTTACTAATGGTGTACATAAGTTCGGACATTTTACACTGATTTACACCGATTATGTTCTCTTGAATGAATTATCGATGGATGACATGATATTGTAATACAAAAGTGTTATTGATTCACTTCTGCTGCAATGGAAGGAGAATCGTGTGTGCGACTGTTGTCTACAGATTTTACATTTAAACCTAGAGAATCAACGTGTGCACAGCCACCATACGTAAACATTTTTGGAATATCTTGCCCGAAGTACACCTTAGCATTTTGAGCTAATGACTCGTATTTCTTCAATTCCAAAAATTCTTTAGAGAGCAGTAACATGTTTGCTTCGGCTTGTTTTTTCATTTGATAATAATCAGCATCGGAGCGACTTTTCTCGCGCGCTAAGTGCATTTCGTCCTCGATGGCTGCTATTCGTTGCAACGACTCCTTTTCCATGATTTTCTGATTATACTGGATTTTAGCGACTAGCGCTTCTTTTTCAGCTTCAATAATGGCTTTCTTGCGCTCGGTTTCTGCATCCTTTTCTACCACCTTCTGATGCTGTGTGGAAATCAACAGTTTTGTTTTTTCAGCTTCCCTGTAATATTTAATGTAATAGTTTATTTCATTATACCGGTTGGAATTCTTTATCACTACTATTTATACAAATATAAAGAAACTTACATTAGCTCATAATTTTTTCTAATCGTTTCTGGTATTTTAGGCTTTGTAACTCTTACTGCTTGAATATTTAAACCAGGTGCTAATTCATTCAGGTCTTGTTGTAATGCATTTTTCAAATTTTCATCTATCTGATCGAACAGATCTATGTATACCTCGTGTAACGAGTGTACCGAACAAAATTGATTTAGTTCATGATGAACTTTGTTGAAAATCAAAGTTCGATCATAATCTGCGGTATAGTTTCTTACCATATTATACACTGGAAAGAATTAATATAAATAACCTCAATATACTATACTAAATGTGCAATACATGACTAAAGTCATTTGATTTGTTAATAATCTTACCACTATTGGCATCTAATATATTGACAACTTCTATACGATCAAAGTAGATCATAACTCCACCGCTTGTACCGCAAGGAACATTTTTCACTTCATCCGTTTGTAAAGTGACTTGAACGGAACGAAAAGTTGTTAACAGCGGAATCATCATATGAAATCCTGGATTACTGACCTGAGGTAACAGGGCGCCACCCTACGATTAAAATCACTTGTTACGATTACTTATCCATTTTGTTTTATAGAGATATTACATGACCCTCAATTATAAAATAAGTACAAACTGCATTTAATTCAAGACATGTATTACTCACTCGGAAATAAACTCCAACATGTCCCTCTTCGATACGATGCAATGAAAAATGAAATACTATAGCCAAGCAGGCCGTGAAACACATTGCGATTACTCCTTGATCTATCATATCTGTGTATATAGTTTTCTGTTAAACCAGTGAGAAACAAAAAGTTTGGTTATAAATTACGCATTATAATGAAGTATTCCTGTACACGTGTTTATAATAATGTATCAAATATAAAATCTACTAATCGCTCTTTCAATAATTATCAGTGCTCCTTTACAACAAAGTTTATTAAACCACTTTTTATGGAGTCTTGTAAACATATTGCATTTGAATTTCAATCTTGAATAACTGTGAAAATTCTCTTGACAAGGTTAAGTTGTTAGACTCTCGATTTTTACCTTTTTCTACGCGAAGAACTTGCATATATTATTTATATAACTTATTGGAGTTTAGTTAAATATACTGTAGTGGTAAATATAATCGGTTAATAACTGTAACGATTACATTTTCAGAGACGTATCGAATTTTCATAATCACACCCAGCCATCATTTTGTAAACTATAAACTTCGATGCAGTAATAGTTGGTAATAGTCATGAAGAAAACCTAAATATGCTCACTTTGCGAACGCGTTTTCGTCTCGTTCTACAGATACAATGTCGGCCATTTTGAATACAATGTCACGTGACAACCGCAAACATTTGAAACTAGTCGTAATTTGTTTAAAAAATATCTAACATTATATAGAAATATAGAATCGTATATGTGGAAAAAGGAGTATTGATGAAAAGCGTTTACTTCCTATATTGCCCATTTTACACAAGTTATACATAGAATTACATTCCACATGTATAAATATATACAATTTTATGGTATAATGTATGTACATAGATTTCACTCATCGTAACATAAATACCGCAATAAATTACTATGTATTGTAAAAAATTTCAATATTTTTAACAAGGCAGTAAATCAGTATTATCATTTTAGCTTTATATGATACTTTCTTATTAATATTATTTTTCTACCGTTTCCTATTATTCGAAACAGATTGAAACTCTCATCCTGCTACTCCATGAACGGTAACACCGAACGCAGCGACAGTAAAATTTCAGTGATAGGTCAATTTCTTTAACGTATCTATGAATTCCTGCATTCTACTGTTCATGAGTAAGTTTTTCGTCTATTAAATGACATTACATTCAACATAATTGTATTTGACATCGTTGTGTGTGCAGTTTACTTCAATATATTCTACACAGACAGTCTGACTTTATGTCCCATCCCTTTGCTCCAATGTTTGCATTTTAGATAAAAGTAAATTCTGTTGCTTCACGGACTGCAGAATATCCATCAACTTTGCTATCCGCTTTTCACGACGCCTCTGGTTTTGGTGTAGCATTTTTATTTTATGACGATAAAACTTCCGTAGATTAACTAGTGACTTTTCCAGATGTACATTTGCAGCTGATGAATTAACTCGTTCGGGAGATACAGATGTGGAGCGACTTACATAATGTTTCTGTACCTTTTCTTGTTTTAATTCAGAAGTACTAGACTCTACTCTTACATTATTGCTCGAAATTGTATCTTCTTTTATCTTTATTGTCTCTGGTGGAGGTATACGAGGCATGGTATCGGTTACTTCTATTTTCACTTTATGAGTATCCTCTCTTGAAGGCACTGCTTCGGAGTTCTTAAATACAATGCATACACTATATATTACTTAATCAATAAACTATATTCAGTATTAGCAACCAGTTGCATCTTGAATGCATATACCTGGAAATGATCTAGCTGTTTGTCATCCTTAATATCGATGGCTTCCTGGTTTTCCTCTTTAATGAACTTTAATGTCGATGAGTAAACATCCACATGTGTCACTTTGTTTATTTCCACATTATTATTTTTAACTGAACATAAATGTTTCTTTGCCGGCTCATCATGCCATGCTATCTGCAATAATAAAATATATTTACACACGACGTTAATTTATATATAAATAATTCGTTCTTTCAACATAATGAACAATTTATCTATAGGAAACATACACTGGGTATTGCATCCTCTCGTAATCTCACACAGGATAAAGAAGTTCTGTCAAATGACACTTCGGAAAAGTGTTTGGAGCATATCATAGCACATTTCGACTGTGGCTCCGACATCTGCAAACTCTCTAGCCAAAGCTTCCGTTTCGTGGGGTTCAACGGTAACCTGTAAAATTAACAAATTGATCACCAACATTCCATTAAAAAACAATTTCCAGCTTACCTGTGAAATGTAATTTTTTCATTTAGCTCCATTTTTTTCTGCCTCAGACTTTTTCGTTGCGCCCCAGATCGATTACAGCAACCACGCACCATACAATCAGGCATCCTGTTATTATAAATTATTTATAAACAAAATCTCGATTGTTTATATCCGATCATAACCTCAAAGTAACGAGGGACGCCAATCGATACGTCAACGATAAAAGCGAGAAGATGCTACACAATCCAAGATGGCCGCTCCTAGTACCTTTTAGGGTATTACGCTGATACATCAGGTTCTCGTGTAAATGCGCTGGGGTCGCACTCAAATTTCCCCCTGTTTTCAACAAACTGGCAATTCTCAATAACTAAACCTTGAGGCACCACATTCCTCGATAAAGTGTTTATCGCGATATTATCGCGCTGAGGAGGTTACGTCGATTTGCGAGCGTATCAGTTTTGCTTCGCTTTGAGACACACACGGTTCCCTCTCTATCATTCCCGAAGTCTTGATTGAAGTTTCGCGTTGTTAGGAAGGTCGAGCTCGACTTTTTTCGAGGGAAATCTCCGAGGAAGTTTGCGGCGTTTTCTGTACACCTGTTTCGTGCCTCCGTACCGAATTCCAGAGTACCGTAAAGTGCATTCAATCAGATTCTGGCATAAAAAAGCGGATCGAGCGACGGCGTCACCGACGACTGTCACCCTTGGTATCGAGTAGTTGCAATTAGGTGGAAAGAGATAATTTTGGAGGACGCTAGGAGGGACTTCTACGAAACGCGTAAAGCCCAGTTTTATCAAAATGCCAGGTGCGAGGAAAGCCGTGAAAACGCGCAGGGTTCCTCGAATTTCGTGGAGGGCCATCTGGGCCGATCTTTAGGACCGTAATCGCGATGACGTCAACCCGATGAGGATCGGAGCGGTCGGAAGATCGAAGGCCACGTGGATCGGACAGGCGTCGAAAGATCACTGGAAAAAGAAAAAGAAAAATGTAGGTCGAGTATACGTTACACCTACATGGTATCTAGGCTCTACGTTTACTGGTTCACCTCGGCGTAACGTGCTGATGTCATTTGCTATGTGTAGCGGTACTTATTATCATTTTGAATACATTTATCTAATCATAATTGTCGGTTAAGGAAGCTATGTAATTAACATATTGGAACGCTTTTAGGGGGATTTGATGATAAGCCATGAAAATTATGGATAAATTATGATTTCATTCTGTTTGTGATTGAAAATAATATACGAAGGAATTTTTTCACAGTGTAAGTTAAAGTATATCAAATTGTTGTTTTAGATGTATCAGCATGTCGGAAGGCGGAACGCAAGTAGCAAGCGAGGACGAGAAGAGAATATCCCTGTATGTTTTTCCGGGCCCTTTATCGTCGCCGACCGTAGCACAAAAATCACAAATGAGTGTCAGCAGGCCACCGAATCAACGGAGCCATGCTCGCTCTGCCAGTCATGGAGGTATTCTGGGCTCGACTACGACGAGCTTACAGAGTGCACTCGACGGAGGAGGAGGAGGAGGAGCAGGAGGTGGAACGATGATGGCCAGCGGGATAGGTGCAACCGGTCGACCGTCGGCTTTGAAGAAACCTGGTCACCAGAGAGCCTTTAGTCAAGGTCAGGCTGTCGATGTTCAGGGTCGACCGGTCCTAGGTCATAGTCGAGTTGGTTCTAGAACGGACTTTATCTTGCCTCCTGGACATCGTGAAGAGTCACGACAAATCAGCAGTAGCAAGGCGCCTGCGTCTCGAGGCCACTCGAGACAAGCCTCAAGGTCAGTGCCATGGTTAGATATGTTTCTTATAATCTGTAGAGATAACTCCTACGAATGAGTCAAATACTTAGAACCATTATCAGATACGGGTATCTACGAAGTACTACTAAACGTATTTACACACACATTATTTGTTTTACTTAATGGTTTTTAATATTTAATATTTATATTAATTTCTATTAGATCCGAATCAATTTACACAATACGCCGCAATGTTATGCCACCCTGGTGGAGGAGAGCGTGGGCTCGTTGCGTCGGATCGGTTCCAGAAGAGCCTCCGTTAAGAACCGTCGTGCCAAACCATTTGATTCCTCCGAACACCTCTTCGAGTAAACACCCAAATGGTATTAGGATTGACAACAGGTGGGTTTGTATCTTTGCAGTTTCAATCACTTTTGGAGTACTTTAACTATTTTTAATTAACACTGTAAATTATACCATTATAGGGTGTGCACGACGAAGTATACAGCGCTGAGCTTCCTGCCACGTAACTTGTTAGAACAGTTTCACCGTGTAGCAAATTTATACTTTATCTTCATAGTGTTATTGAATTGGGTGCCAGCGATTAACGCCTTTGGGAAGGAAATCGCGATTATACCAGTAGCCTTTGTCCTCGGAGTAACTGCAATAAAAGACTTCTTTGAAGATAGGAGACGCCTTGCAAGTGACCGTCGTATTAACAACTTGACCTGTCGGGTGTATTTTGGGTGGGTTAATCATTTTTATATACCTTATCATATGACTCATAGAGTATCTTACTTTTACGAAAGTTGTCAGCATAATATAATCGATGTTACAATGATCATCGATCATTTGCAGAGAAGGGGATCGGTACAAAAAGATACCCTGGAAAGACGTCAAAGTTGGAGATTTAGTCCATCTGTCGAACAACGAATTGGTTCCTGCTGATCTCCTACTACTAAGAAGCAGCAATCCTCAAGGCTTGGCTTACCTGGATACTTGCAACCTTGATGGTGAGACGAATTTAAAGCAACGTCAAGTAGTCAGAGGTTTCCTTGAGCTGTGGAAAACGTTTCAACCATCAAAGTTTTGTTCGGTCGTTGAAGTTGACCGACCCAGCACCAGGATCTACAGGTAATAATTTTCCCCCTTCTGAATCAAGTGTTCGATTCCAAATATCCAGAGTATTTTCAAGCCTCCATTTATTAAATCATCTGTAATTATAATGTACCGTTAAAAATTTAATTATCTAGGTTTCATGGTGCAGTGGTCCATCCTAATGGAGCCAGAGTACCTGTCACTACAGAGAATCTACTGTTACGGGACTGTCTGTTAAAGAACACCGACTTCATTGAAGGCATAGTAGTCTACGCTGGCCATGAAACCAAAGCCATGTTGAACAATGGAGGTCCCAGGTACAAGGTTCGTCTTTGAAACAAATTTGTTTATACAATTTAAGAAGTACAAATCCATCTTGGATGAACAATAAGAGTGATAGTTTTGGACCGAATTTCCAGCGTTCTCGTCTGGAGAAACAAATGAATCTGGACGTGATCTGGTGCGTCGTCATCCTGGTGGTTCTGTGCATAGTCGGTGCAATTGGAAGCAGACTCTGGTTGTCTGCGTACTCATCGACAACGGGTCCGGTGCCTTTTCTCCCGTACATGCAGGATCCTACGGTCGAGGGAATGCTGACTTTCTGGACGTTCGTTGTCATTCTGCAAGTGATGATCCCTCTGAGTCTTTACGTAACTCTGGAGATGGCGAAGGTCGGTCAGGTCTACCACATAGGACTCGACAGGACACTCTACGATCCTGAAACCGACCGTAGAGCAGAATGTCGAGCTCTCAATATCACCGAGGAACTTGGCCAGGTAATTTATACGAGGAATTTAACAATCAGTAAGTACAATTATTCGTCTATCCTGCACGAACAACCACTTAACCTCTTTGCAGGTGCAGTACGTGTTCTCCGACAAGACTGGAACACTTACAGAGAACAAAATGATCTTCAGAAGATGTGCAATCGGTGGACACGACTACGTTCACACCGGAGAAGGAGAAAATTTGATGGCGAATAAGAGACTCAAGGAGGATTTGCTTATCGGCATGTCCAGGCATCGGCTGCAGGAATTCTTGATACTCCTAGCTGTTTGTAACACAGTTGTAGTCAATACACACTCACATCGAGATATCATGAACGCCAGCGGTATCGTGGAGGAATCCTCTAATGATGACATTACTCCTGCAAGGTATTGTAAGGCATCGTTGATTATCACTCTGCGTTACACTTTTTTGTAGGTTATGTACGAAATTCTTTAACCTCTTTATCTGGTATGTAGGGAAATTAATGCGTTATTCTTCAAGGTACACGAGACTGTCCGAATCAAGAAGTACTACTCCTAGTCCTAGTCCTACGGTGCCTCCTGCTTTAGCTGAACTTCCTTCGACTACTGATACCGTAACTGCAACGACCACGATTACCTCATCGCTTGTACGCAACTCACTAGCCAACATAGCAGAATCACTGGACACAACAAGTTTCAGGTAAACCAAGCCACTTTGGCTCATTTTTATACTTCGCAGCTTTAAAATATGTCCTTTTATCCTCCTTCTATTGAAAATTTAATTTTCAGTGCCTGTCGAGCATGGCGAAAGTTTACTATTACGTGCTATATTAGGTTTTACCTCCCAAGGAAGGAAAGCAATTACTTTCTGCCCGCAAACCTTGGCGTAAATTCTATAAAAATGGTGTATAAAGATGCCTTAATATCGACGTTCCAGGTTTAAGGAGCCATCAAACGAGAGCGGAAATGGAGCACCCGTGGAATCGGTGCGAATTTACGAAGCTGAGAGCCCGGACGAGTTGGCCCTGGTCTACGCCGCCAGAATTTATGGGGTAAAACTCCTGGAGCGGACTCCACGAAGCGCGGTGATCTCTCTACCGGATGGCAAGATCATGAGCTTCGAAATCCTCCAAGTAAGCTCATGTCTACGATAGCATTTATCGCATTGTTAAGTTTCTCGAGAGTTAAGGTGATATGGTTTACTTTTTTTTTTTTTATTTATCCCAGACTAGAATTAAGAGCACATCTTTTTTTTTTTCTGGTTGGAAGAATGAAATTCCACGTGCACCCAGTTTGGAGGAAAGTTTTATGAATATTTTGATTTTTTTTTGTATATATATAGAATAACCCTTTCATATCACCTTAAGTCCCTAGGTCCCCAGTCGTCACGAGACCTGATAGGTTCTAGAACCACGGCTTGAATTAGAAATCGATGCAATTTGTTGAATGTCACATCGTAGGTGCTGCCGTTCGATTCGAATAGAAAGTGCATGTCGGTAGTAGTACGTTATCCGCGTACTGGTGACATAGTCTTGTACAGCAAGGGAGCGGACACGACGGTACTGGCCTCGTTGAAGTACAACGACGAGGACTCGCTACCGACCTCGAAGGTCAGGCAGTACCTGCACACGTACGCCAGGCAAGGCTTGAGGACCCTGGCGATGGCGCGCAGGTCGCTCACGCCCCAGGAGTATGAGACCTGGAGGGCGAGGCACGTCGAGGCGGAAATGGCCGCTGAAAATCGCGAACGCCGAATTCGGGAGTCCTATTCCGTCCTCGAGTCGCATCTCACTTTGCTCGGCGCCACGGGAATCGAGGACAGACTGCAACCTGGGGTCCCCGAGGCCATTGCTGCTCTCGTCGCAGCTGGCATCGTCGTCTGGGTCTTGACAGGTTTGACGCCTTTATCGTGACTATTCGTACTTTACAGAATTTTCTTTTCTTTTTAGAGGACGCTTCTTGGCGACACCAAAGCATTGCTCTCGAGGTTACAGGCTTTATTTTTGGATTACTAGATTATTGGTCTTGTCTCAGCTTCGGTGACTATAATTACACCTTGAGGAATGCGAGATTTGATGTCATTACCGTGATCATGAGCGCGAATCAGTAATAGACGGCACATGTGAAGTCGCATTCTATATTTTATGCTAATTTTATCTACTAATTTTATTTTATGCTAATTTTATCTACTAATTTTATTTTATGCTAATTTTATGCTAATTTGTCTACGTTTTGGTCTTCACGCTTCGGATGTTAAATGCTTTGTGATCATTTCAGGCGACAAACCGGAGACTGCAGTCAACGTCGCCTACTCGGCGAAGCTGTTCTCGCCGGCGATGCAGCTGCTGCATCTGCAGGCCAGGTCGAAAACCGTCGCGGAAACTTTGATCCTCGGCCACCTGGAGGCGATTCAGAGGGAAATGGTGGCGACCGGGATTGCCGGGCATCATAATGAAAGCAATTCGATTACCAACGACTCTAGTTATAGGCCCGATCAGGCTCCTCGTAGGATCGGATCCTGGAGGCAGAGAGCTCTCGTCGTTGATGGAAAGACCCTGACGGTGATCCTCGATCCGAGATCGGGCCTCACCGCTCCCTTTCTTGAATTGACCAGGAGGTGCGCCAGCGTTCTGGCCTGTAGAGCTACGCCTCTTCAGAAGGTTTGTAATTAAATAACGTTAAGGTGACATGATAGCGGCATTCGTAAAGTGAAATTTCATGAGTGGCAGGACTTTTCTTAGAGCTTTCATGTTCCCGTTGTAAAGTTTGAAACGGTTCGGTCCACCCAGTTCGGAGAAAAGTTTCACGAATGATTGCCTCCTTCGATGCCACTTTCACATCCCTTTAAGACACCCAAGAACCAGGTGAATCTAATCCAAGTACTCCACCGTTAGAATGTGACTTTGAATTTCTTGTTACCTGAGTAATAACTCGCTAGATTCACCTGGTGCTTTATTCACAAAAATAATATTTGTGAACATCACTTGAGAATTTATATGCTTTGCAGGCATACATCGTCAAAGTAGTCAAGGAGAAATTGGGCATGAGGACGCTGGCCATAGGGGACGGTGCAAACGACGTCAGCATGATTCAAACAGCCGATGTTGGAGTCGGAGTCTGTGGACGAGAAGGCACTCAGGCTATTATGGCAGCTGATTTCGTGATAGCTCGATTTCCAATGCTTGCCAGGCTTCTCCTTTTGCACGGCCATTGGTGCTACGATCGTCTCTCTAGAATGATACTTTACTTTTTCTATAAGAACGCCACCTTCGTCTTCCTCATATTTTGGTATCAGGTAAGACATCGAATATATTTTTGAGGTTAAAGTTTCGGGGTTAGGGTTGAGCAGAGGTTATGTCCTTTCTCTGTATGTCTTCCACAGCTGTATTGCGGATTTTCTGGGGCGGTGATGATCGACCAGATTTACCTGATGCTCTACAATTTGCTTTTTACCTCGCTGCCACCTCTTGCCCTTGGAGTCTACGATCGTGTTGCAGCTGCGGGAGTGCTTCTCTCCAATCCTCGACTTTACGAGCGAAGTAGGTTAGCTCTCGTTTACCAGCCCCACTCTTTTTGGATCACCATGGCCGATGCTCTCTATCAAAGCATCGTCATCTTCTTCCTCACAGAAGCGGTTCGTAGTGGTTTCTTAACATGCCTTTTAACATTTAAGAGAAAGGGTATGCGACATCTTCATTTTTTCTATAACAGGTTTACCATGACTCGGAGGTGGACATCTGGGAGTTTGGAAACACCATTACGACTAGTTGTATCGTCGTGATGTCAATCCATGTAGCCATAGAGACGAAGTCATGGGTAAGGGGTACAGAGCACATCGGTTTGTCTTTCGAACCGATGGCAACAAACTGACCGTTCTATGTGTTGCAGACCTTGATTCACATTGGGGCCATAATGGCATCGCTGGGCATATTTTTTGGATTTTCCTTGCTGTACAATGCCGTTTGTGTAAATTGTATGGGACTGCCAGGTTCCTATTGGGTGATGCAAGTAGCCATTGGAAGGTACACGTACTGGTTAACTGTTTTATTAGCATCCGTTCTCGCCGTGTTGCCTAGGTAAGTCGCAGTGAAGTTATGTCTTTGTTATCCTTCGATTAGAATAAAAATCTAAGAGGTTATATTTTGGGATTCTGTTGTTGCAGACTTATTTATAATACGGTAAAATCTACCATAGCACCGGATGTGGTGCAGCGAGCTGTCATGGAATATCAGTCGAAAGATATGCAAGTTATCGAGGAACAACACAGAAGGTCCGCTGCCAGCGGAGGGCCCAGTTTTGTGGCAGACTGGTCGCGAGCTACGCAGGATGCTACTATCAGGTGAGTTTCCATTTTTTAACCATCCCTCTCCCAATAAAACTGGGTAGAACATTATAAATTACATTCAAGACAGTCAAATAGTTTTAACCATGGATTTTTGTCATCGATGCTAGATGACATCATAGGCCAGAACAAGACGATACATGTTCCGATGACTGTTGCAGGCCTAGAAGTGGTTCGAAGAAGATCAGCGTCCTGACGACTGTTGTAGCATAACGTGTTAATATTTATTATACCATAGACCACGGAGTCTGATGAATCACACGTTGCTGCTGGATGTGCACCGATGGAGCAAATCCTGTCTGTCAGAATTTGCATCTTCGATGCATCCCCCTTGCCTTGTTGCAGTGACCGCAGGGGTCACCCTCATTTAACAAGAAACTGACAACTTTGACGGTTAAACTGAGACTTGTACAGCATTGATTCCTACTCACCTACTAATTTAATTGCGTGTATTTTTATATAGATAGTCTTTGGAAGAGCCCGCATCGAATTCCCTCAGACTCTGCCTTCTCGAGGTGGTCCGGAATTGATCTTTTTACCTCGTGAACGTCGTTTCACCTTATCAACCGTTCCTCGAGATAACTGCGAGGAGCTGCCTGGAACTGATTGCACGTTGAACAGACACCTTATGTTAGCTAAGAATTTCCTCGGATTCGATGCGGCGGCTTCCACGACGCGGTGGACTTTTGTCCTCGTAAAAAGAACCGCGGTGTCGGTGGTTGTTTCCTCGCGTGAACAAGTGCAATGTCAAATGTATTATGTAGGTGACAGGGATAAATTATTGTTAATCTTACTGCTACTACTGCTACCATTGCTACTACGGCACTCTGTAGAGTTAGTAACTAGTGTTTACATAGCTAAGTACCGCCGTTATTGTTACGATAGTCGGGTGGCCTTAAATTCAGACTGTTCGTCGCATTTTTGGCTGTGACGTCTAGGGACCAATAAGTAGCTCAATTAGTTATTCAATTATTAATGTTGATAAGCGGTCACGACGGTACTCGAGTTACGAGTCGGGACGAGGGTGCCGAGCACGCAGTCGCGGGCTTACTTTCAGCCGCACTGATTTCTTCGTTTATACAAATGATATGAGCGTTTAAGATGCAGTATTTCAGAGGCCGTTTCTTGCGGGGGAAATTATTACACGTTTTCCTCACGCTATGTGAATGGTGGTCGTAATTAACGTAATGAATGGTCGTATGATTATCCGAATGGGGTTGTTGCATGTAAATAGAGGAACGTTCGTCTTCGACACCGCGATCAGGTGCTGTAGATCAAACGAAGGGCTTCTACTTTTAATTTCATACTTCATTTAACTTAAGAACGGCTGGCTCCTCGTTTAGAGAATGCTTCTTATTGGCTACCCAACGTTGACGTCGCATATTTTTCTCGCTCATCTTTTCGTTCGTAAGAAATATGCACTCGCATATTTTTTATATGACCATTACAGTCTTGGCTGCAACTACTAAATTATTGGTCTTTATCTCAGCATCGGTGGTTTTATAATTATACATGTGAAAATCAGAAGGATCGGAATACTTATCGTTGGAAGCTGGTCTATCGACTCTCATGCAGCAGAGATCTTCTCGTATCTTTTGTTCATTGTCTGCGACGGATGTAATTAAAGAATATATTTCCTCTTTTGACGTCTCTTAGCACTTTGCGTTGCTTGATAGTTTCAGTCTATTGTCCGATGTTGATTTTAATGTCTTGTCTCTAACCTACGAGGTCTATTACATCGTAGGGAGAAATGGGTTTTTTACTCAGATTGTGCAACAACCTCATTAAAAATTACTTTACCGAGAACCTGTTTAAAAGAATTCTATACTGGTTTCATCGATGCTTAAGAAATGCTTTATCGAGTGTTGAAATTGATCGCACGAATGAATAAAAAAAATCTTTAGGATTGGATTTCTTAAATTTGTTTGGAAAAATTCTATTTCTTCCGAGAATTCGAGTGATCTTTTAATTTATTTCACGCACGTTTTGGGGTTTTTATAGAAGTGGATCATTGCAGTATTTATTGAAGGCGATCAGCTGTTTGGGGCTGATCGATGATGGATCTATTTTATCGAAAGTGTATGCGAACTATTTTAAATAGGTGTCTCTCGCCTTGTGGATTTTCGGGTAGATTGAGAATTGTGAATGCAAAGAGGAGGCCAATACCTGTTTACGATAAGAAATTATTAATAAAAGTGACAGTACTATGCACGTGTCGCTCGCACGATGGCACAAAAGAATAGGATGGCTTTTTGTTTTGATGTTAGGGTCGTCAGACGTTTGCCAGTTGTAGGCGATTTAATAGTTGATATACAAAAGATGTTGCAAGTTTTATTAAATCGATTGTATTTTGGTAATCGCGAGACGCTATTGTGTGTGATAATACAGGCGGAGTATGGTGGAATTTTCGTAGTTTTTTCTCCTTCCCTACTTTCTCAAATTCGAAAGCTCGACAAAGCTTGAGTGATCTTAGTTTCTTAACATTTACCTTAACCACTATTTTTACAGATTTAGTATCTAATTATCAAATATTCAGTTTTGGGATTTAAGCGTCAGAATGTAAAGATTGTCATCTCGACATCCAAGAATCAGTTCATCGGCATGAACAGCTGGCGAAGAGAAAACATCTCCATCGAGGCGAAAAGTTTTTAATATCTCGCCATTGGAGTAATTTAAAATATACAGTAAACCATCTGTACCAGCGACGACTATAATACCTTTTGAATCATCGCAATATGGTGTTGCAAATATTGGCGAATTTAAATGTACTTCGTATTTTAACAATGGACTTTTAATGGACTCGTTAACTTCCCATCGATAGAATGAATTTCCTTTCGTTGCTAAAATAATGTTGCTAAGCCTCTTAATTGGATCGGTATGGACAACGACGTCAACAAACACAGTTCCATTTACCTTTAATGACCACATCTGTAAATTATTTATGTATATTTAGTTGCTAAGACAATGTCGGTATTTTTATTAGAATTATGCCACTACTCATTCAAAGGATTAAAAAATCGATTTACCTTGTGACCAATTTCAACGTCGAAGCAAGTCAGCTCACCAGAGACTGTGCAAAATAGAACACACTTATCGGGTAGGACAGCAGGAGATGAAAATATGGGATTCCCAAGATTTTTTAGCCAAATAATTTTCCCTGTGTTTTTCTTCACCGCTGCACAAGTGCCATCCAAGGTTCCGAAGAGTATTAAATCTGATCCGTCATGCAAATGAGGCGTCGAGTAAATACTTCCTTTTCCAACATTGACTCGCCAAAGATTCTCTCCAGTCTACAAACGTAACTGAAGAAATTATCCCTATTTCGGTAACCGAATTTTAATTATAATTACCTGTGCACAAAGGCAGTACATATATTTATCGTAAGATCCCACAAAAATTCTTTTCCGTTCTTTACAAGCTATTGCTGTGCACTTGACCATCTCTCCTGTCTTGAATTTCCAAATAATGTGACTTAGTTTTAAGTGCACACAGTAGACATATCCATCGTAACATCCTAAAAAATGAGCACCGATAACCTTCACTTCGGAACAGTGTTATCGGAAGGTTGCTACATAGTTGCACCATTATTTATACAATTTTTACATACCAACGACTCCTTTGAAATCGTCAAGGACTAAAATCGAGGCTTCAATTCTGTCTGGTAGGGTAACTTTGTATTCGATTGGTTCAAATAAGTCCGATTTTGACTCCTTCTCTGGTCCCAATCGGGTAGTCAAAATTATACCAGAGTGGGATCCAACAGTAACAAAAGTGTCTCCGCTTGAGCAAAAGAATTTGTCTTAAATTTTAACGTGCAATAAAAGGAATATCATTCATTGTTATTAAGACAAAAAGGAACATAGTGTACCTAAAATTGTGGAAAATTGTCGGTGAAGCATCCACACATTTGAAGAGATTATGACGTCTCTTCACTTCAATGCAAAATTTCTGCTTCGTTAAATCATATTTACTTGAAGATTTATTTATACTTCCATATGTCCTGCCCTTTCGTTTCTGCCATTCACAGGCATTTAATAAAACTTGAGAATGTTCCATTTTCTGTGACGAATCATTCGTTCTTTCGTCCGATACAGAATAATTAGCTTGAATGTTTGTTACGTTAGAGCTGTTTGCCGATAAGTACTGTTTGCTTTCATGTTTAATTTTCTTGTCTTTAATACTTTGATGTGTTACATTAGAAAATTCTCCTTCTTGAAAATCTTCAAAATTACGTTTTTGTATCATTGATTCTTGCTGCGTCAAAGATGGACCCGATAAGACCACCACATTCTTTACATACTCATAGCACTCATCCAAAGTTTTATCCTTCAGTAACATGCCTATTAATTCTGGAAATTCCGTGCCAGTTTCAGAGGAAAAATTTCTAGCCATTTGAAGCGCTATCACAGAAGTACCTCCTAAGGTAACGAACCCACCGTTGCGAGAACTCAGTAGATCGAGCCACAAATTTTTAAAAATCCCTTTTATATCAATTATTTCAGCTTCTGCTTTTCCTCCCTGCTTCGTCTTTGAGTCTTGAATCAATTTTACTATGGACTCTTTACAAACTTTCCCATTTGTCGTTAGTTGTAACTCGTTGACTATTTTAATTTTGTCAGGCCATGATTGCGTTGGAAGTTTTCGAACATGCACTGATATGTCATTAATGCAATTTGAAGTACTTTGCTTTGGTAAATCACTCATTAACGACACACAAAGAATTAATGCATGAGCATCTTCGTTCCAGTATGCTACGCAGCGCTGCACAAAATTTAATTCCTCAGCCGTCTTTTCTAAGGCATTAAGGTCCACTTTATGTCCATATCTCTTGACTACTCTGTCAATTCTTCCATTGTAAAAGATATCACCTTGTTCATTAATCTTTAAATTTAAAACATTGAGATGAATAACCTATTGATTTTTTTTTCTTCTTGATTACTATAATTTCTAAAATAAATATGCTTACATACTGTAACGAGGTCTCCGGACAACCTGAAGACAGGCCTTTGTAAATTCTCTACTTCTTCATTTTCCAACACGCAGATTCTAGAATTACTTCCTGCGATGATAGAAGAAAAATTATAAATGGTATCGAGGCATGAGCATTAGATTTAAATATATTATTAACAATTAAATTAAAAGATATAAGAATGCATTTGCAATTATTTTGAACAGAAACGTTACCTATATACAGGTGACCTTGTCCTTTATTCACAGCTTCTCCGCTAGCAGTTCTGACTTCATAGATTGTCTCCGTTAGTGGTTTTCCCAAGTACGATACATTTACTTTATCACCATTCGTCTCTAATTCTATTTCATTTATACTTGACCAACAGGATACTTCCGTTATACCATAAATATTAAACAGTTTTGTTTCATTGCAATTGTCTTTGGCATTTGTCAGAATTTCCAATTTTGGAAAAGGTTCTCCACCGAGCAACAAGACTCTTAAGTGACTCTCTTTTCCAAGAATTGTCTTTTTCAGATCATTTAGTGACCATCTACTTAATAAAACTGATGGCGTGCATTGCAGAATGGTCACATTATTTTTGAAAATCACATCTAGAAGTCTACTACTGTCATTTTTCAGATTCTGGGAAACTGTTGCAAGCGTAGCCCCAGAAGATAGGCTTAAGAAAATTTCAATGATACTTGGATCAAAGGTCAGGATCGTAAGTTGTGCAATTTTGTCCATTTTTGATATTTTTAGATGTTTCTTCAAATCTAAGATATTCGGTACTATCGATGCATGCAGTACTTTGACCAATTTAGGCACTCCTGACGATCCTGATGTCGTCACAGCATAAGCGTATCGAATGTCATTCTCATTTTTTGCTGTCTTAAATATCCTTTTATTCAATCGTAGGAGGAATACCTCTACTCCATGTAGTTCTTGCTTTGCTTCGATTTCAGTTTCCGGTAGAAGAATTGAAGAAAATAAATACTGTATTTCCAACTGCTCACACAGAGTCATATATCCTACCTCTGGTAAATTAATAAATCCCCGTCCACATGATAGGATTCTGTTAAAAGACCACCGATATATATTTCATGTTTGCTTTTCTCACGTAAAAACTGAAATCATTTAATATCACTTACCCCAGTATAAGAGACGGTATGCAAAATCCTTCAATAGAAGGACATATACCAATAAAGTTTGATTTATCGATCGTTTGCAACAGGAACGAAACATTATCTCGGACATCATTTACTTCTTTAAAATTAATTTTAATAACTTTTTCCTCGTCGTAATGTTCAACAGCTACATCATTAGAATTTACTAAATGACATATGTCAATTAGTGACGGTGAATGCAAAATAGATGCTGTTGATAATTCTTCCTTTGCATTCATTAGTCCTAAAAATGAAAAACATATAAATAAATAAACGTGGGCTAACGGAAAATCTGTCGTTAAATTATATTCTAAACAATTCAATCATTCGAAAGTGAAAAGATAAGAAGAATTTATAAGTGAAATTTTGAGGTTATATCAAGTTGAAGATGTAATTTAAACCTATAGGTCATAATTTACCTGTCATATGAATATGTAGCGATTAAATTTTACAAATGTGTAACTTATGTAATAATTACAAACGAAAATATTATTGAAATTCTTTCATTTCAGTAGATTTAAGAATAACAAGACTTACTCTCTTCTTGTGTGGAACATAACCTTGTTTACATGCACGTATGTTAAGAATTCGGTGATTTTCTTTATTTTATTAAACCATCTTCAACTGGTTTGCGATCATAAATTACATTGTAGTTGCTTACACTAAGTCTTTATTTAATATAACAGTTCATTAAAAAAATTCAGTGACTTCAAATCACAAATTTTATGTACCAATTCTACTTTAGAATAGAATGGCGTCGGTTCAACTTTCTTCAGTTTTATCTAGTTTTCTGGATAATCACTCAAATGTATCGGTTTCATCCCAGTGATCGTACTATCACTGCTTCACTCTTTTTCTTTTTTCTTTTCTTTTTACTAAGTAGAATTTCCACTTCATCAGGATCCTTTCCTTCCATAATTAGTTTCTTTCGTTTATACATAATTTTCTTCTCAAAGTAATCGGTCTCGTCAAGATGTAGTTCAGCCTCTCGCTTGGCAATTGAGACTTGAGTGAAAATTTTAACAACTTCGTTATCTGTAACATAGAAAAAAATTTGCATTTATAAACTGCTCGTGCAACAAAACAGAAATTGTAGTTATCAAAGGATGACATCGTACCATTTACTTTGTACTCAGTTAGTTTTGTTCCGATAGTATTTTCTATCTCTTGCAACAGCTTGACATCGCATGGTGTAATTATACTAATTGCCATTCCTTCTCTTCCAGATCTGGCAGTTCTGCCGACTCTGTGAATATACTCCTTTGGAATATTCGGTAATACATGATTAATAATTAACTTGACCGTAGGAATATCAAGACCTCTAGCCGCTACATTTGTTGCGATCAAAATCTTGACAAGGTTAGACTTGAACTTTGCAAGAGCTGCTGTACGTTCTTTTTGCTTTAATATCGAATGCAATGCTACATTTGTAAATCCTATTTCAGTCAGCATCATCGATAATAATTGGCAACGTCTGTTGAATTAAAATTACATTCTATTCAGTGTTTTATTATGTAATTATTTCAGAGTATACAAGTGCTGGCAGACTTACTTGCACGTATCAGTGAATATGACAATCGACCCATCATTATTGTTGTCTCTGTATGTTCTAACAGTTTCTACTAACGTCGCATCACGTGCATCTGCTGAACTCAGTACATATCGTTGATCCAGTTGTTTGACCGTCGCTAATCCTGTGTCATCTTGAGCTTCCCATGTAAAAACCTATGTTAAATATGGTTATAATATATTATTACATACTTTGTACGTCACAAGACTTAAATGTTCTATCATGTAGATTATTACAAAAGATAATACTTATCATTAATATTTATTAATAACTCTACCTTTTTAGATGCTATCCGCTTCAGTTCATTCAATGTATCTGTGATCGTTGCACTGAAAAACAAGGACTGTTTATTCTTTGGTAGTGCTTGAAATATCGTTTGCATCTGCCCATCAAATTCTCCTCCCAGTAATCTGTCAGCTTCGTCAACTACTAAGAATTTAATTCTTTTCAGGGAGAAACTATCGGAGCTCTCCAAATGATCTGCAAGGCGTCCCGGTGTAGCGACAACGATGTGAGGGCTTTTGGCTAGCTCTTGAGCTTGAGCCACCATGTCCATGCCTCCAACGATGACACATTTCTTAAGATTAATTGGTTTACCAATTGCAGCGAATTGATCGCCGATCTGAAAAATGTAATTGCAATTATATTTACACCTTTGTTTAAGGAACGCATTAAAAATATTTAACGCAAAGCTTCTTTACTTGAAATGCTAATTCTCTCGATGGAGTCAATACGAGAGCAAAAATTCCGTAAGGATCATCGCATAATACTTGTAGAATGGGCAGAGCAAATGCAAGCGTCTTTCCACTGCCAGTCTTCGCACACCCGATACAATCGTCACCAGCCAAAATGCGTGGAATGCAATTTTTCTGAATCGGAGTAGGTGTTGATATACCTGAAAAAAAATGAAACAAGTAGTATCAAAGAAAAATAATCTATTTAAGTGTTATCAAAACAATCTGTCTAAAACTAACCTATAGACTTGCACTGTGCCACGATCCATGAATTCAATTGAAGCTGAGCAAAAGTATCGTCGGAATTACTCATTTTATTTCGAAAATTAGTTACACTTTTATTCCAGTCTCGTTGTTTCAAGATAAAATCCTTTCCAAAATACTGGAAGGAGATTGTATCCTATTCCATGCTGTACGCACGCACGATCCTAGGAACTTCAGCTTAGGGTTCGGTAAGTAAAATATCCCAGGTAATTTACATACTCCTACATAGTTTTTTCGGTAAATTACTAGGTATTTTGTATTACAAGTTTTGTACGCGATATAAATGACTTGAAAACGAGACTACACGTTTCTGCATGTTTTGTATCTGTTTTTACCGAACGTACACGCGCTAATAAGCATAAATCACTTCACACCACAATTTAATGTGACAATGAATATGAATATCATCACATCGCTGTATTAATATATTTCAAATTTATTAGTAACACGTGGACTCAGCGTAAAACTAGGTGAATGTCCATACTAAACGTGGATAAGTTTCCCTAAGCAGCCGCCAGATGGCGCCAACTCCTCAAAAATCTCATTTCCAATTTTACGTTTCCCAGACGATTCCAGACAATTCAATCGATTAGATTCCGCCCACGACGATACGAAGCGCATTTCCACAATGAATACATTTCCCCCAAGAAAAAGAAAAAAAAAAGAAAAATGTAGCGTGAAGAGAAGAAAAATCGTTGCATAAAAGCGAGTTCCAGCGAGACACAAGATTGAGAATTTTACCGGTCGGCCGTAGATGGTTTTATTTATATATATATATATATATAAAAAAAAAATAATATACAATAGTAGCGTACGGGGATACGTGATCAGGTCACGAGGGGATCTATCGTTCTACTCGAAGGTGTAGTCAAAAACTCCGTGTACTACGGTATGCTCGGCATTTACTCGTTATATTTAACTGTAAAAGAGTTATCGGGCCACCCGGGCGGTGCGCCCTGAGGTTAGGAATCGAAAAAGAGGGGCGACTACGACGACGACGAGGACGAGACGATCGTCTCGAAGGAGCCAAGGAGCGTATCAATTCTTTCTCTCTCTCTCTTTTTTTTTTTTAATAAAGATCTTAGCCAAGGAAACGGGGAAATACGAGCAATGCCCACTCTGGCGGGTCGCTGGAAAACTCTCCCCGTTGTTCTCACGCCGTGTAACCCCGTGAACGTAGCAAGTAGACCGATTAATTCGACGAGGGGTGCTTAATTCACGCAATGGCGCCGCTATTTCGTTAAATCTGAACCCGAGGTCGAGGGTAAGCCCACCGAGCAGTCCACATAAATGTACAATCAAGCCCTTCCTGGAAAATCTCGGCATTAACGCCCTGAGAAAGAAAAGCGAAAAAAGCAAGAAATTCATCGAACCAAAGAATTATTCGACTCAAGCTCAAACAGATATTCATTACCCCGAAGAGACGTTGCGAGTGATTTATTATAATTTACCCGAATCAAATATAATGACCCCCTGAATGAAGAAAATATCTCCTCCGGTTAGTCGACACGATTTTCATTCCCAGGGAATACATTTTAAAACAGTGCCACTGATTTATATCGTACTCCTCTGTCCTAATTTTCCCTCTTTTTCTTTATTAAGACCTCGCATAGCTGTTAATATTTTCATAACAGGCCTGATTTAATACTCTAATACTTTTTCTTTTCTCTCGTCAAAATTTCACATCGATTCGGTTAATATCTTTAAAACACTGCCTTAATACTCTCTCTTTTTTTTTTTCTTTTCGTCTAAATCTCGCATCGCCGTTAACATTTTAAAAACAGTGCCACGGATTTGATTAAAATTCCTTACATATCTCCATCCCCGGTCTTAATCGCCGTTAATATTTTTTAAAACAGTATCACCGATTAAGTCTCGTGAAAATCTCTCGTCGGCAGTTTAAATCTCAACGAAGGAAGGAAAGAAGAAAAGCAACTTAATCATGACAGCGTCTCGCGACTTAACGTAAAAAAAAAAAAGATGGCGCCACTGATTAGATTAAGGTGAAGTGAAACACGTCGAGGAACTTGATCAACGTCGATAGAGAAGATTTTTCTAAATGCCTACGTTGCCGGACGTCNTTTCGGACAGTTTGGTCTAATACCCTTAAAAAAAAGTGTTGTATTCGAATCAACTGATTTGAAGGATGTTTCACTTCACCTTAACGCTCCCTTTTAATCCCTCCCCAAAATTTCTCGCATCGCAGTTAACACTTAACCGGCGAATTTTGAAAAAAAATGGCGATGACGGGTATCGCAAAAATTGTTCGTTAAAGTGTTAAGCCGATATGAAAGGGTCGTTCTATATACCAAACCGCCTATATATATGTTACCGTGAATGACCGAAATTGTAGAATGTCAACTTTCACCGGTGAATGTCAACAGATACCAAACACGTCGGTGAAAGATCGAATATTTCATTACATGGTTGTACATTCGGACCCTCTCCAGTGTGTGTCGACAATCACACACCGGTGAATGTCAACATTTACCGGTGTAAGTCAGAAATAAGGGTATTTAGCAAATATTTCGGACATACACTAAGCGACTATGTGAATGTCGACATTCTCCAGATTTCGGTGTTTCACCGTAACATATATAAAACTTTTTTCCAAACCGGGTGCACGAGATAACCTAAAACTTCCACACGTGATTACGAAGGCCCAAATATCTCTTTATTCAGCTCTAGACTCAAGATCCCATTTTTTTTTCTCCCCCTGAAAAATGAAATCTCACGTTCTTCCTTAGGGTCCCGAAATCACGAGTTAAAGTTTCAAATGCATCCAGTTTGTAGAATAGTTAAATTACATTTTCTCGTAATATACAGAATGACCCTTTCAAATCGCCTTAACATCTCTAAAACACTATCATCGATTTAATCCCTCTATAAGTTCGTCAGAATTCTCCACGGGCATTAATATAATCTAAAAAATGGCGCCACGGATTAAACCAACCATTAATCCTTTCATCTCGCGTAGGCATATCTTTAAACCAGTGCCACTGATTTAATTACAGAACAGGACACATCAACCCTCAGAACATAGCAGCGGGTTTTACATAACTCTGTCGACCCGGGGACAATTCGGCTCGATAATCTCGACGAGGATTGGTCTAGAATAGGTACCGAGTTTTATCAACTAAAGCACATCCAAGATAATCCTCCCTCTTCCTTGTATATATATCTATTCCCGCAGAATGCCGCAGTAAGGATAGAGTTCTAAATCCAGTAAGTTACGTCAGAAACGAAGAGAAATTCCCGGTAATTTATCGGTAATTTCTCCAAAGCCTTTTTAATCGAGAAATTATGAGAATTTGAATTTTCTCAACAGAGCGAACGAGAGGTTTCGATTAGCTATAGAGAGACATCGTAGAGGGGAATTTCCGTAGTACGTTCTCCGTAGCCAATGAAAACCTCCCATTCGCTTCGTCGCAGAATGAAATATCAATTCATTTGTAACAAATCGCATGGAATTTTCCGTGAAGTTGTACATACGTGAATATTTTCAGCTGGAGGTAAATACGACCCTACAATCAATATTTTCTAATAGTAATTATTACTCTTTAGCTTGAACTTCGAAGTTGATTGAAAAAAAAAAAAGTTATTTAAAAGAAGAAACCTAAAGTATAGATAACAAAATTAACGTTCTCTTAAATTCTCAATGTTCCCGGTAACTTACGGTATGTTTCACAGTTACCTTCTCGAATTTAATGTCACCGAGAATTTTCGAACTCTAAGAAAGGACGATGTCCCTCCGCCGCGACAAGATGGCGGCGGCCGAGTCCTCAAGCAAGATGCGAGATGAGTCATCGTGGATATATCTCGCCGTTTTCGTCCCCGTCTCGTAATAACGATCGAAATAATAAAATCGCCGGAGTAGCGTTATGGGTTTTTCCCCACTCTCCCAGGGGCGGGGTGCCAGGAACGAATTAAAAAGAGAGACAATCCCCAACCTAAAGGACACCCCCCACCAGGCACCATTCGTATTAAGGCGACACGAAAGGAGGAATAATTTTTCTACCGCCTGGAAGACGAGACTAGTCGCGGTCAGGACGTGGACCTTTAATCGAAACACGTTCCAGAAGCCGCGGTTACTCTCGTATCCCATCTCCGTGCGTTTACGTGCACATTTCTCAAGCACCTCGCATCCGGTGCCGCAATCACCGCACTGACACTAGAAAATGATTAGACGAGTCGAATACTTCATCGGTCGAGATAATGAAATGAACAATCAAATAATGGAAACTTGCTCCAGGTGCCGCGGTTACTCTCGTTTCCCACATCCCTGCGTTCATGTGCGCAATCCTTAAGCACCTCGCGCCCGGTGCCGCAATCACCGCAGTGACACTAGAAAGTAATTAGACGAGTGGATTACTTCTTCAACTCGAGCAACTCAAATAAAAAAATATTGCCTACTCGAGTTTGGACTCTAATCGATGTGGCATACAATCGAGGTAACGCACAATTAACCGGGGAATTTCGGAATAAATGACGGGTATCGCGAAACCGATTAACGAGCAGACAATCCATTAAGTTACAAGTTGCCGAGTAACATTACAAACGAACGTGTAATTGGTATCACCACAAGAGTACAGTTTCGCATTAGCCCTCGTAACTCGCACCCCTCCATGTGAACTGAAGTTACATTAAACCCGGGAATAAAAAATTCGAGTGGACTCGAATCTGCAAGTACGATTACAAGTATTCGACTCGCCGCACCTCTCCCAGACCCGAGTCTCAGCCTCGGCCGTTCGCCAAGCTCTTAAAATCGAAAGGTAAACATACCTCCGCTCGCTCTCTCTTTCTCGAGTACCCGAAGACGATACGAAAATAGGAAAAAAAAGAAGAGAAAAAAAAAAAGGAGAAGAGTGCAGAAGCGCAAATCAAGCAACACAGCATCGTCCGTTACAAGTCACTTTAGTATATTATGCCTCTTGGTATCCGTATCCTTGCTCGTTTCTTCATGATCTCTCTCTCTCTCTGGGATGAAGAGGTGACGCGTTCCGAGTGCGACGCGAGGTCCTTGCAGCGCGTCTTGAGGTCCTTGCAACGCATGTCAAGGCCCTTGTAACACGTCCCGAGAGACGCGAGGGTCTTACAATGTGTCTTGAGCGCAATACGAGGTCCTTGCAGCGCGTCTCGAGGTCCTTGCAACACGTCTCGATTGCAATGCGAGGCCCTTGTAACACGTCTCGAGAGACGTGAGGTTCTTGCAATTGTCTTGAGCGCAATACGAGGTCCTTGTCACACGTCTCGAGAGACGCGAGAGTCTTGCAACGTGTCTTGAGCGCAATACGAGGTCCTTGCAGTGCGTCTCGAGGTCCTTGCAAAACGTCTCGATTGTAACGCGAGGCCCTTGTAACACGTCTCGAGAGACGCGAGGGTCTTGCAATGTCTTGAGCGCAATACGAGGTCCTTGCAGTGCGTTTTGAGGTCCTTGCAAAACGTCTCGATTGCAACGCGAGGCCCTTGTAACGCGTCTCGAGAGACGCGAAGGTCTTGCAATGTGTCTTGAGCGCAATGCGAGGTCCTTGCAGCGCGTCTCGAGGTCCTTGCAAAACGTTTCGACTGCAACGCGAGGCCCTTGTAACGCGTCTCGAGAGACGCGAAGGTCTTGCAATGTGTCTTGAGCGCAATGCGAGGTCCTTGCAAAACGTTTCGACTGCAACGCGAGGCCCTTGTAACACGTCTCGAGAGACGCGAGGGTCTTGCAATGTGTCTTGAGTGCAATACGAGGTCCTTGCAACACATCTCGAGGTCCTTGCAACGCGTCTCGAGGTCCTTGCAGCGCGTCTCGAGGTCCTCGCAAAACGTCTCGACTGCAACGCGAGGCCCTTGTAACACGTCTCGAGAGACGCGAGGCTCTTGCAATATCTTGAGCGCAATGCGAGGTCCTTGCAACGCATCTCAACAGCGACACGAGGCCCTCGCAACGCGTCTCGATAGCGACGCAAGGCCCTCGCCACGCGTCGGCCCCAGGTCGGCCAATCCAGATCGACGTTATCGGCCGCCGCGGCACGTCGAGAGGTATCATCATATCAAAACGCGTTATGTACAAATAACTAAATCTTTTCATTCATGGACGCGAAGCGAAAGAGGGGTCGGCCGTGGACCGGGCGTCTCCCAGGAGCCTGTCGCACCGTAAGGTCTTCGTGTCCCGTCGTTGTCCAGGTGCACCGTTATCCACCGCAGTCGGGCGCCAGGGTCAGGTTCCGTTGCCGGAAAGAATCCTGGTGCTCTTCCAGCTCGACGGAGACGACGCGCTCCGCGGTCCTCCTCCTCTTCTCGTGTGTATGTATGTATGTGTGTCAGGGTGCACGGCGTAATTATTACGATATATCCGAAGTCCGACCGACCTCGTGGATGGATCCGCATAGCTCGTACGACGTGGCGACGTCATAATGCTTTCTCTTGAAGAGGTTGGGGGGCGATTGCTTCTTTTTTTTTTTTTCTTTCCCTTTCGGGAGAGGTCGCAGGACCGATGGCTCGGCGGAGGGAAGGACGAAGGATGGAACCGGGGCCTTTCGGGGAGCGATGGGGGTTTGGAGGATTGTTCCGGCGACGGAGAGCGAAGGGAAGGTCTTACGGTCCTATGTGTCACTCGAACGGACTTCGAGGCCTTCACTTCTTCTTGTTCTTGTTGTTCGCTCCCCGGGGTGGCGTGACCGGCCTCCCGGCGTTCAGGCCACCGTAGATGAACTTCTTCTTTTCGGCCGGCTTCAGGATCTGGAAACTACACATGAGCGTGTCGTCGACCGACATCATCGCCCCGGCGTTGTCGAACTCCCCGCAGTAGTTCGGCGCGGAGAAGAGCGTCACCAGCTGCCGCTTCGCGAAGAACTCGTAACCGTCCTCTACCACCTGGAAAGTTCACCGAAAAAGTTGCACCACGTGGATATACCTCTTTGCAGGTCGTTTATAGACACGGAGTGCATTTTAGGGAATTAAAAAATTTATCTCTATATTGTACACCATTTCAGAGCGTTAAATTTTGATAATTGTCTTGAACGATACTCTTTAATTTCTTTTTTAGAATTCACTTAAGGAGACAATGAAATGAGTGTGAATTGTGTTAACTTACTTGATGAGCGCGGCATATGAGATCAAAGTCGTGCTTGTGTAAGAACTTGGCGACAACTTCCGCGCCGAAGGTGAAGGAGACTCCACGATCGTTCTCACCCCAACCCATCGTGTCCTTGTCTGGGTCTGACCAGAGTAGATCGCAAAGTAATCCTTGGTCTGGTACATCGGTGGGTCTCATGATACGCCTGATTTGCTCCATGCTTTGTAAGTCCGGACTCAGACCACCGTGGCAACAAAAGATCTTTTCATCGACGATCGCTGCGACCGGTAGGCAATTGAAACAGTCGGTAAAGGTTTTCCACAGCTTGATGTTATATCGACGTTTGCCTGAGACATAAACATTCCAAAAGTTATAATCGATTTAAATATTCAGATCGCATGCTGTAGTGTTAATACACCGGATGTCAGTAGTCGAGGGATCTATCTGGATTTTTAGGTTAGAAGTTCAAATTACAATTCGAGACACTTACACTCATCGTAGAACCCATATATCCTGTTTATAGATGCACACTCGTGATTCCCTCTGAGCAGAAAGAAGTTCTCAGGGTACTTAATCTTGTAGGTAAGAAGTAAACAAATCGTTTCTAAAGACTGTTTTCCTCTGTCGACGTAGTCACCTAAAAAGAGGTAATTGCTGTCTGGAGGGAATCCACCGTACTCGAAGAGTCTCAGCAAATCATAGTATTGTCCGTGAATATCACCTGCCGAGGGAAAATAATATGCGACCATCAATTATAACTGTCGTATAAATTCACTTTTGTCCAAGAGTTATTTCATAAAATGTCACGACACCAAAAGGCATCCTTTGAACAAACAAATTGGAAGTAATGCGTACCGCATATTTTTAATGGTGCCTCCAACTCCAAGAGAATTGGCTGTGACAGAAAAATCTCACGAGACTTCAAGCAAAGTCCTCGAATTTCTCCCTCGGTTAGCTGAACATTTTTGCCTGGTCGGGCTCCTCGAACTGTAAACGATAAATATAAAAGGTTAGAATAACAAATAAATCACTGGAAATATAAGAACAATTCGCCAATTAATATCGCTTGGCTCACATTCATTTTATGACAAGCAATATTACTTCTTGAATAAAAATGCAATTACCGAAAGTCAAGGTAACAATAACATTGCACAAATTGAATCGTAATCATTTGGAATATTTTTGGCTAAGGTCATCTTTGCATCTATAGTATGAAAATATCTTTGTATAAAGTAATAAAATATTTTTATTTTTCACATGAAATCTGAATATAAGTAACAAGATAGATGCGTTTCAGGTCAGATAATTACAGTTTGCAAACGTAGCATAAAAAGGAACTAAACTACTTTATGAATCTGTGGCTGCACGTGTGATTCTGACATTACATTATAGCCAGTTATATAAAGACATTCAAACACAAGCGAGCCTACTTATTTTTGTTCTACACGGATGTTCCCTCAGACGCACACGTGTTCATCGAATTAATCACGAATCGTGTCAAATGTCTACGGACATTTTTATCATGCCTCTTCGACGTTCCCTTCTCGACGTGTTATTAAAAACGTAACGATGAACGCTTAATAAATCCTAACGACGCTGTACACTAAAATAAAATAACCTCTCCTAACTAGACATAAAATTTTTGGTATTCACTAAAAAGCAGTACTTTTCAATGACGATACTTGTAAAGCCAGCGTTTAGCAGCGAGCTTCGAATGAGATCAAGCAGAAATAACCGTCGCATCATCCTAACTCACGGTCTTATTCCGTTCGAAGACGTAAACAAACAATCCAAGCCTCGGCGAAGAGAAACGAGAGATTCATCATAAGTTCCCGGAATGAAAAGGATTTCACTCGACAAGTTGACGGTTAGCCGTTTGAAAAAAAGAAACAAGTAAACCAGATATATAGCAAAAGTGTTGGGGCAGCAAAATGCAATCGGAGTCTCCGAAGCATCCTCAAGGTCATCGATCATTATCGGTATCACTCCTCGGACATCCATCGAAGAGCGTACTCTTTCTAAATGCAACCTCTCTGGCCAGAAATGAAATATAAAAAATGACAAAGTATGGGCGAGGTCGCCGAGAGCCGCGTCTTAACTGGTCACTGCTAGGTTTCGGCTAACGACGTAAACAAACCGTCCAAGCTCGGACGAATAGGCGCGAAGGAAGGATCATACTTTCGTGAGATAAAAAAAGATCTGATCCAACGGGGTGAAGGTTAGTCGCATAGAAGGAAATAAAGAAAGCTACCCGACATCTAGGTAAAGCGGTCGGCGCGAGAAACGCGCTCGGGCGCGTCTCTGGGCCTAAACGGTCGTGACGGTGAAAATAACGAAAAGGAGCAAACTCGCTCGTGGTGGAAATAACGAAAATGAGTAAAATGGTCAGAACGATGAAACGGCGGCGGCGCTGCGCAGCGGCGATCGCGTGCACACGTCGGACGCAACACACGTAGCCCGACGAAGGGCATTACCTTCCAAGAGCCGAGTTATAATGTTGTCAATGTTCAATTTGTCGGTCTCAGCCATTGGGTCGGGAGTTCGGGCGCTTCCCGGGTCTCACAGAGTGCAGGCTGCTGCGGAATCGGCCCTCGGTTTCCCCGGACTCGAGCGACGGCGACTGCTCGCAGGGCGCCTACTCTCCTCGACGAAACTCGCCAATGTACTCCGATTTACTCGCAAGTCGCAATGGCCGCCCGGAACCGCGAGAACCAAGCTCCGCGCACCGCGCTGCCAGCCTATCGGATCGCAGCCCCCCTTCGTCCCCCGAGCCCGGACGAACCGGGGCTGGCGTTTCCAGTCCCTCTCCCTTTGCCTTCCTCTCCTCCCCCAAGGTCCGCCGACTCGGGAGGTTAACTCGAACCACTACTCGTATGCCGCGCAAGATGGCGCCGTGATCTCTCAATCTAGTTTTTTAATCCTCCTCACGTAATAGTTTCTTTTTTCAAGTCATCGTGGGTAGCTCATCGTCGCAGATCTTGCTGGACTTGTTGGTAAGGGATGTTAAAAGATGTTTGTCATCACAGAGATGAGTTGGGAGCAGAATAGGAGGATTTTTTAATTGGGCCGCCATTGGGGGGTATCAGGTGGCAAGTGTTGTCCACATCCTCCACCAGGGGGCAGCACAGAACGCGATCGCGCGACCCTGTCCGTCAGTAATATCCCAACTCATCTCTGACAAAACTCGTAACGTAAAATACCTAGTAAAGTACTGTAAAAAGTGACTTAAAATACCTGGGGTATTTTATTTATCCAAACCATGTACAATGGAGAAGGTAGTGGAGCATAGTGGAGTACAGTGGAGTACGCGTGATTTCACGAGTCACTCAGTGTATGTACACTCGTGAATGCTGAGATCTCAGGACTTGTGCTGAGGTAATTGCGGGAATTTAACGTAAGATATCTTTCATTATCTAGTGCACGTACTTTGGTAAGGGATGGAAATTTCGAGTATGTTTGTTTTAGTTTTCGGAGCCCGATAGTCGAAAACGAGGTTAAGTTCTTTGCAAAGATGCATTGTAGATTCCTCACTGTGAAATTTCGAGATTTCGTTATCTACGTTAGTGATAATGGCTCTTCCTCTCGTTTTGAGTTCGGTGATGAGTTCTTGATTCCACGGTTTCAGTACCCCAAAATTGGGAACCATTATTTCAGTTCGGGGTTTTCTCTAAGTAGGTGAAAGTGCTACTTTCTCCAGATTTGATTTTGACACGTTGAGGGGAATATATTGTTTGGGTGAGAGTCGGAGTTGATTAATGAACATCTTCAGTTACAGGTATTCAGACAATCTTTCACCGTGATGGATGTTACGTCTGGAGAGTCGGGTAATTCGTCGCCACAAGAGAATGGCTGGAACGCCCTTAAGGATCATGTACTCCGGGATAAGATTCAAGTCGGATTGTGGTGTACAAGGGTCTTAACAATTGTTTTGACACAGTTTTATATGTTTCCCATTGTTGGGTACGAATTTGCCATGTATTCTTGTACTCGTGCGATTCGCTTGATTTCGGAATCGCACGTGAACAAATTGTTCCTCTAATTTTATATCAAAGGTTTATACTTTGTATATTTGTTTTAGGAATGCAAATCATACGTATTACAAAATTTTGTTAAGTAATGGAGCTTCCAGTGCCTTGCGCCTTTATCAGAGAGTACCACGTGTTCAATTAAACATGGAGTTTCTGCAGACTTTGATGTTGGAAGACTCGTTCCATTATTTATTTTATACACTGATATTTTTATTCGTCTCTCCATCGCTACGTATCCTTTTCCTTCGATGGCATTTGTTTCTGATTATTCAATTAACGATGCTACGAATCTTTCCTATATAAAACACAGTGGTGCTTTGCCCAGTCTTCTTCTTCGCCCTTCTGCACTCGGCCAGCTATTCGTTAACCCTGCTCGATGTGAGTGAAACAAAAAGTTCATTTAAGTTTAGTCTAATTTAGAATACTTTAACGTATCTCTAGTATATATTATTTAATAGCACGTAACGTAGAAGTGCTTTTTTCATTAATAGTAAATACTCAGTCATTCTGTCCACAATAATTGCCTTTGATTAGAGGTCTGCCAATGACGATTAGGAAATTTAATTATAGAGAACGGTAACCAGTTATAATGAAAAGCTGTTTCTGTATCAGAGAAGTGGAAGGTGCTATTTATTAATTAATGTTTGTCGTTTGACAGTGTCTAGGACAGAACAGCTGGTGGCCTCTTCGGTTTGGAATATCGGTGCTGGAGGCTAACACATCGAATATCCTACGCATATGTGGTCTGTGGGAGATACTGTTAATGCCAATCACGATCCTTTTCGTCCTGGCGTAAGTAAAAGTTAATTATTGACATGACGTGATGAGTCTAGGAAAAACATGACCTTCTTTTTTTCAGTGGCCATGCCGGGATTCTGACTCCTATTATATACTATCAATTCCTTCACTTCCGGTTAGTGTCACGAAGAAATCCGACCACAAGGAACGTTTTCCATGAAATTAGGAGATATCTCCATTCACTCGCCATGAAGCCCAGTATGCCTGAAATTTTTCGGCGCATAATTTTAGGATTTGTGGCTTTCACTCAACATATATCACCGGCACCTCCTACGACTCAATAATGTATAAAATTGCACACTTGAGTTTGTTAGTAACGAATATTATCAAAACTCCGATAAGTTTCACGAGGATTTACCAACAATGCCGGCACGAAATTACTGATAAAGCTAAAAGGAAGTCGTTGACGTTATGTAAAGATGTGGAGATGTTTTCGATTTCTCGATGATCTGTACTGTTAGTTAAACTAATAATTCAACTGTCGGGAGTATTAAAAAAGACAGTACGTTTCAATAATGATGGATTCTTGTATAGAGGCTCGCGGGATCATGAAATAGTTGTTTTGGATTTGGGGCCCATTCCGATTTAATGTACAATTAATGAAAGCACACACCTTTGTATTTTCATTTAGCAAAGTACAGCGTGTGTCATGTATCAAGAATTTCGCACGGCCTGTGTAATGCATTGTGTACGTAAGATGAGTACTTTGAGTGTCAGCATGATTATAAGCAATTCGGAATACCTGATCATTACCATTTTGCCAATTTATTGCACGTTTTACTTTTTACGATGGTGTTGTATTTATTTAAGTCTTTCTTTCTGGCTCAAACTGGTTGTCTACTTTCTACGATGTGGTCACTTAATTTCACCGTTGATTAATCACTGGTGTCCAATGTGCATTTTTAAATGTTTCCGTAGATCCTTTTCTTTTCATACGAATTTCAATTAAGTTTAGTATATTGTTACTCTGAAAGCAACGGATATGTTCTTGTGATTATAATCATCAGAAGTAATGTGTAGGGCAGTTTTAATTAATATTGTACCGTGTTGTACAGATCGGTGGTACAATTGCATTCCTGTCTAGTAAATTATACATTTTACATAACGTTTTTAAATACATTACAAAGCGTTGTTTGATACGATTAATCATCCAGATGCATATGAGGGTTCACAAAAGTTGTTTTCGAAAAAGAGACGAATGTACACCGGAAACAAAGTTTGATCGATAGTCCATATGTTACGAGCTGTGTAAATGTCTTTACACATACATAATGACATGCTCTCTGTCATTTTACGTATATAAAATATACTGTAATTCTTCTATCGGTGAACTATATTTTTGAAAATCACATGTCCAATAATAGAGAAGAACTTTAAAATTATAGGGCATTCTAGGCTGTCAAAAATATTAAACACTTCTAAACTGATCTGTTTAATTTAACTGTACTTTTTTCTACACATTCAGTCCAAAATATTGGGCAGCGAACGATTTTGTTGTGGTTTAAGGTTTCATAAATAAAGTACGTGGAAATGTTTGCACTTTTTGATGTTTCCTTAGAATTAAGTACATAAATTTGAAAACGAGTGTTGAAGATTCAGTGGCAATAACTTGGCTACTTTTTCCAAGAGAAGTCACCGTTATTGAAAGAATGAAAGTTAAAAGGGAATGTATATTTTAGATGATACGGTCCCAAAGACCAATTCATGTGGTACTGTAATATATTTTTAGAGAATGGGATATAATAAATTTAGTAAGGTATATTAATATCAAGATATTTTATTAGACATCTTCAATTACACAGGAATTGGAGCTGGTTGGACAGTTTCCTTTAGTGCTTTGTTATCGGACGAAGGCTGCATATGAATTGTCTCTTCTTTTGGTTCGATAACGGTAACTTGATCGGGTAATGGATCTTTCGGTCCTGACTTGCCACTGGCATCCCAAGGAAGCATGATTTTCACTTTGATTCCCAACACACCTGAGAAAAAATAATAATTAGAAATATTTTCAAGTTTTACATGATTTTTACATCACAATAATAAAAACATACCCTGCCTGAGGAGAACGTGTCTCGTCGCAGTGTTAACGTACTCATTCGTGGGTTCTCCGGAATGAATCATAAGTCCATCTACGAACTTCATCGACTTTGCTCTCTGTCCTCGAAGTTTACCACTGACAACTACTTCGCAGCCTTTCGCACCAGATTCCATAATAAATCGAAGAACACCGTAGCATGCTCTAATAAACGATTGAAATGGTTAATATTTTGACATTGTTGAAACTTAACCAATCAAAGCTGATATAAAAGTATTACCTTCTTACTGCAAGACCTCCGATCAGTTTATAACGCAGAGACTCAGCCTGTGCAATGGCGCATAGACCTCGTGTCGCTACTTTCTCGGCGTACAGGTCGACCGTGTGTTCTTTAAAGTTGAACCTCTTTTGGACGACAGATGTCAACTCTCTGATTCTGCGCCCTTTCTCTCCAAGAACGCTCTGCGTGTGCGTTGCCATCAGGATGATTTCCGTACGGGTTGGAGTGACTCGCACTTCAACACCCGAATATCCATCCTCCGCCAGTTCTCGCGTGAGGAACTCGTTGAGCTCGGCCTTAAAGACTCCATCTCCTACAAACTGTGATTAAATCATAAGTAATGTGTAAACAAGAACAAATACACCACAATTAGCGTATAAATTACATTAAACTTAGATTCGAAATTAACTGGTACCGCTTTATTAAAACGTCACGAATCAGAAATTTTTACTATTGTAACTGGGTAACTCTACGAGTTGTTCAAAACATAACCTATCACCGTAACTCAGAAAAGTTGACATTACTGTAATTTACTAAAGACAGAAATGAAAGAACTTCTTGGCATTGTTAAATGCTTGTTTTAAGGGTGTTAATTGTGTGCAATTTATAAAGCTTTTAGGAAAATCATGTCAACAAGAGCATGTCGAATTCGTGGCTGCAAAGGGACAGCTAAACGGATCCGTGACATCCGCCATTGTCCCGAGAATTTTCTCCACATCTTTCGCCGGAATATCACAGAGGAACGTTCGCGCTTTATGCGAAAGGTTTATTTCGACGATCGATCGAAAGGAAAACGTGAGAAAGACACCAACCTTCCTCTTCTTCGAGATCGACCGGTTCGCCATATTTAACACAGCGTCGAAAGAGGCGTAGAGAGCAGCGCTTGAAGAAAGGGCGACTGGAAACGGAAGCGCAACCGTTAACCTAAAATATACTCAGAACTCCACAACGACATAGCAAAGTGAAGCTTTAGCGGGAATTATCCCAGATTTAAAACACCGATACCTACACACCTGGTGGTAGCACAAAGAACCGTTCTTAGAACTTCACTACTATCAAAAATCCGTTCACCGTGTAAACTTATACCCCAGCGCAAGTAAGCGTCTAAAATGACGGATCAAATCAATAATCACTTATTAAAGCTGTATTTAAAATTAAAAGTAGGAATTTTCCTGCCTAGGAAGTGCATTAAAGATAGATAATCGGGGATTAAAGTATCAGGGTTGATCCGAGGTACGCCGGCTTTTTCCAAGATGGCCGCTCGAATTTTTGAAAGTTCAAACCTGCGCTCGGAGCCACGCTCGCGTTCGAGATAAATTAATGCTGGATATCGATCTCCAGTACAGCCGGTAAGTAAATTACATTGTCGTGCAAGTTTGCTGAACGTATTCACGTTTTTAGGTGCCGCCGGAAACCTGTCGCGGTAGAAAGGATTACTCGGTGCCTCGATTGCACGCTCCTGAGTCCATCGTGCACGGTGAGTCACGCGGTGAGGATTTATTTTATCCCCGGCAGCATGTGCGTATACTCGAGCTATCGGGAGCTCTACTAGAGATCATGAATTACGCTAACCATGGAGTGGCGGACTATGGTTATTTTAATATCGTGCCTCTGTTTCTTCGCGATACCCATCAGAGTGGGCCGCGACACAACGGAAGACGACATCAAGTTGTTCGAGGGTTACATCCGGCGTTACAATAAATCATACAAGCACGACCCCTTGGAGTATGACAAGAGACTCGAGAGATTCCAGGTATGCGGTTCATTCATCCATATTTATCACTAAATTCAGTAATATTTTCGAGTTGGAGAATCGCCGAGTTAACCGATAACGCAACACGAGTTATCTGGACTGTTCGGTGTTGGAGCAGGGATGCATTGCCTGGATATGTGTAATTACGTCGACTGTATTGTTTCAATGGTATTGTATTCGTCTTAAATAAAGAAGAGTCCGATTGCGGTTGTTATTATTATTCAGATCGAAGGCCGTTCCCTTGTACTGCTCTGTGCATGTCTTAATCGGGCTGAGATCTTGGGAAATAATAGAAACCGGTTTATGATACGAAGTGCCTAGTGATATAAGACCAATAACTCATGCAGAGTGAGAAGATTAAAAGTTTTTAATTTTTGCTTAACTGCGGATTTTTTAGAGATCTTTGCGGCACATTGAGCGCATGAATTCTGAACGGATTTCCAAGGACAGTGCCTTGTATGGACCCACGGAATTTTCCGACTTGTCCGAAGAGGAGTTTCTCCAGTTGACTTTGCAGCCGGACTTATCGGCCAGAAGCGAGAGGCATCACAATCGTTATCATACGCGGGAAAATACTCGACGGCTTGGCGCCGATGTTAAAAGATTAAAAAGGGCTGCCGGCATTCCTTTGAAATTCGACTGGCGGGATAAAAAAGTGATAACCCCGGTCAGGAACCAAGGAACATGCGGAGCTTGTTGGGCGTTCAGCACCGTAGAAGTAGCTGAGTCGATGTTCGCCATAAAAAATGGATCCCTTCAGCAACTCAGCGTGCAAGAGGTAAAACTAGAGAATATTTCACTTCTTCACTACACCACACGCATATTAATATATGGCTAAGTGAATGGAATTTCTGTTTGTTCAACACCAAAGAATTTTTCAGATCAGATTGTTAACGGGAACTTCTTCTTACACTACATTTCTTTGGTTAATTACTTTCGATATTTGGGAATAAATGAATTTAAATGCAGATGATCGACTGCGCCAAGAACAGCAATTTCGGCTGCGAGGGCGGAGACATCTGCAGTCTCTTAACATGGCTCATGGGCTCGAAGATCTCCATTGTCCCTGAATCTAACTATCCTTTGACTTGGAAAACGGACGCCTGTAAGCTGGGAAAGTATGCGGTTCATATGCGGTTTATATGCGGTTCGCAAGCACGTTTTTCGCGGCTCGGAAGGATGTTAAGGTGAAGTGAAACACGTCGAGGAACTTGATCAACGTCGATAAAGAATATTTTTCTAAATGCTTACGTTGCCGACGTTGGTTTTTATATTGACAGCTGGGTCGAATTATATTGGGTATTGTACCAAATGGCATATTCCACCCGTCGTTTTCGTACAATAATTATAAAGAAATCGAAGTAAAACTCCAGAAATCCTCTGGATTCGTGCCTTCTGGGGCCCTAATTGACTGCGGAGGGACCCCCTGCGCCATCTGTGATTTCCAGGTCAATTAAATTTTCACTCCGAGACCTCGTATTACCATCGTTTTAGCAAAGAAGCGCATATAACACTTTTTTGTCTTTATCCCGTTCAAATGTGAGTTTATCGATTACCAGAGTGTTCTAAATTCTCGTAAAATTGTCCTGACGCTTTCGATTCTCATATCAGAGCCTTCGATAATTGTATATTGATCGAAATATGAGAGCTCGACGCCATTTTGGTTCTGGTCTGGAATGAGTTAAAAAATTTTGTTGAAAAATCCAAATTTTCAATGTGTCAGGACAATTCTTGGATGATCAGGATGTGTCAAAGTTTCGGACAGTTTGGTCTAATACCCTTAAAAAAAAGTGTTGTATTCGAATCGACTGATTTGAAGGGGGTTTCACTTCACCTTAAGTGACCACGGGTTTACCTTCCTTTTTCTTTTTCTCTTTTTCCTTCTTTTCTTTTCAGAACCGCATCGAAGACCCCGGGGCTGCGAGTTTCGGATTTCACCTGCGACAGGTGAGTGCGGATTGCGCCTTCGCACACGAGAAAGGCCGGCTAATGTTCCCCGAGTTCTTGTAAACCAGCCGCGAGTAGCGAGTTTAATTTAGTTACGTAAAGATGTGTCAGAATTTTTCAACAAAGGCGTTCGCCTTCGCGGGTGAACGTCGTGGGACTAATTACAGGTTATTGCTGGCAAGTCGATAAACAGTTTCGTAACGGATTGCCGCGTTTAGATTTTCGATTCCTTTAAAATTCTACCCCAGATAAAATGACGAGGACGAAGAAGATAGCGAAAATTATCGCCGATAGCGCCGAAAAGAGAAGAGAGACGTTTTTAATATCCGAATGTATGAGCTTATAAATGTTTACTTTCTGATTCAGCTGACTTTTTAATTACGAATTTCTAGTTTCGTCGATTCGGAGGACGAGCTTTTGGCCACTCTTGCGGGACATGGACCTGTGGCTGCGGCAGTAAACGCACTTACTTGGCAGAATTATTTGGGAGGAGTTATCCACTTCCACTGTGACGGTTCTTTCTTAAACCTGAATCACGCTGTACAGATCGTGGGATACGACACAACAGGGCCGATACCGTTCTACATAATTAAGAATTCCTGGGGCACCTTGTTCGGCGACAAAGGTTACCTGTACATCGGAATCGGGAGCAATTTATGCGGTAAATAGTTTGGCCAATTATACTTATTCACATGTTAATCAGGGGAATTAACCCACTTTTACTCGCCAACAGGGATCGCGAACCAGGTGTCTTCCCTGAACGTGATTTAAGGAGAAGAACGGCATCGCCATCCCCACTGTATACATACATTGACGTATAGAACCTCGGTCGGTCGCCAAGAGAGTCTGCGCTTGGTGCGAAACTCAGCCGAGTTTCCTTAACCTCGAGAAGCTTCCCTCAAATCCAGCACAGCGTTTCATTAACAGATTCCAATGCTCTATATTTATGACCGTGTCGATTAACGAATACATACATGCTTCGTATTAAGAAGTGCTCGTATAACATGCATTGACGTATAGAACCTCGGTCGGTCGCCAAGAGAGTCTGCGCTTGGTGCGAAACTCAGCCGAGTTTCCTTAACCTCGAGCAGCTTCCTTCAAATTCAGCACAGCGTTTGATTAACAGATTCCAATGCTCTATATTTATGACCGTGTCGATTAACAAATACATACATGCTTCGTATTAAGAAGTGCTCGTATAACATACATTGACGTATAGAACCTCGGTCGGTCGCCAAGAGAGTCTGCGCTTGGTGCGAAACTCAGCCGAGTTTCCTTTACCTCAATCAGCTTCCCTCAAATCCAACACAGCGTTTCAATAACAGATTCCAATGCTCTATATTTATGACCGTGTCGATTAACAAATACATACATGCTTCGTATTAAGAAGTGCTCGGAAGGAGCGAGACTTCCAGGAGTTAGTTGTAATTAGTAATAGTACAGTGAATCGGATAGTATTTTTTTATGCAGACGGTCCACGTGCGAGGAAAATGGACCCCGTGCTCCGAATGGTGGAAAGTAGACTATATATTCAAATAAAAATTAATATGTGAAACTTGTTTTATGGCGTCTTACTTTTAGGCGTGACCCTTTTCGAATTTCGGGCACGTAGCAAGGCTTGGAGTTCCTCTTTCTTTCCCTTTCTTTTTAATTAACGTTGCTTTGTGTTTCGACATCCCATTCCGCGGGGTCTCTTCCATCGTTGCGCCTCCCGAGTCTTAAGGTGAAGTGAAACATCCTTCAAATCAGTCGATTCGAATACAACACTTTTTTTTAAGGGTATTAGACCAAACTGTCCGAAACTTTGACACATCACTCCTGATCATCCAAGAATTGTCCTGACACATTGAAAATTTGGATTTTTCAAAAAAAATTTTTAACTCATTCCAGACCAGAACCAAAATGGCGTCGAGCTCTCATATTTCGATCAATATACTATTATCGAAGGCTCTGATATGAGAATCGAAAGGGTCAGAACAATTTTACGAGAATTTAGAACACTCTGGTAATCGATAAACTCGCATTTGAACGGGATAAAGGCAAAAAAAGTGTTGTATGCGCTTCTTTGCTAAAACGATGGTAATACGAGGTCTCGGAGTGAAAATTTAATTGACCTGGAAATCACAGATGGCGCAGGGGGTCCCTCCGCAGTCAATTAGGGCCCCAGAAGGCACGAATCCAGAGGATTTCTGGAGTTTTACTTCGATTTCTTTATAATTATTGTACGAAAACGACAGTTGGAATATGCCATTTGGTACAATACCCAATATAATTCGACCCAGCTGTCAATATAAAAACCAACGTCGGCAACGTAGGCATTTAGAAAAATCTTCTTTATCCACGTTGATCAAGTTCCTCGACGTGTTTCACTTCACCTTAACTTATTTCGCGTCTGTACACTCTAAGCGTCCTTAACACAAGTTTTGGCATTTCACAGGGATCCCTCTACCGAACTTTCCGAATTGTTACTCTCGTCTTCTGGTCCCCAACAGCCCCAAGCGACTGAGAGTTTCGTCTTCATCTGTTTGTTCAGCGGTGGGATCATGTGACGAGGGATCAGGAACGTGGAGAGATTGAAGAGGTCCAAGAACACCTTGTACCTGTCGCTGAGTGGTAAAAAAAGAAAAACAATGTCGTATCACCCCGAAGAGAAAACGTAAATTAAGAAATCAGATCGAGGGGCCATTCACTCGGAGATCAGTGAGAACGATTTGCTTCGATTTTAATATGATAAGCAACAATGCCATACCGTCTTAAAATTGTGTTTCAGTGGTTTACAACGACTTCCACGTAGTCTATTAAAATCCATGATTTCCTGAATGAATGACCCCTGTAATCAGACTGTACCTCAAGGTGGATTTCAGGTACTGATAACCCGAAGAGCCACCGGTGCCCAGCTGCTGAGACCCGATCATCCTCTGCACCATTATGACGTGGTTATCTAAAAAGAAAAGGGAAAACCGTAAGTTCTAAAGTCAGGAGATAAGCCATACTTTCCCTGATTACTTTCGATAACACAGAAATATTTATATTTCCGAATGGAAAGAAATGTCCAGGTAGGAATAATTTAGTTATTTCAAACCTTATTTGATCTTGTCTACTCTTAGATGCTTCTTAGCTAGGGAGGCCAATTTATTTTTTCCCTAATTTAGAGATTTACTGTAAAGCTTCTTGGCGTTTTCGTTTTTTCTTACACCTCCATTTGGTGATCAGCGAGTCGATGTCCATGAGAGCTGTCAGGATCTGATGGGGTTGACTAAAACGTGGCTCGTCCCTGTACAAGGTGATCATTACGGCACCCTGGAGAGCGGCATGAGAGAATCTTCTTTCCCCCCTGGACACCAAGGCATTATGCAAATTCTCGTTGAAGATCGTCTCGAAAACCGCCCGACGTGACGCCAGGTTCGCCAGCAAGTACTTCTTCATCTGCTCCGTGGTTTGCTTCTGCAAAGGGAAAAACGTCTTTTGCGGTAAAGATTGAGTATAAGAAGTTAAGATGATATGAAAGGCACTGAGAAATTTGATCCAGGTCGATAAATTAAAATTCATCTATTCCCTTTTGGTGGTAATGCCGTTTTGAATACTCAAGTGGTAACATGACGCTGGCGCGTCCCGTTACCGACATTTATATTTATGGCGAAGTATTTAACAGTCCACGTTGAGAATTATACAAACTGAAGGGTTCTGTATGTCATTTCGGTAAAGCAATGATAAAAAGATCGATGTAAAACTGCCGAAATCCCATGAATTCATGACTGTTCATGTTTGGCGCACCAGCGTCGCCATCTGTGACGTTAAGTTGCAATTAAATTTTTTCTCTAAAAACGCGTGTTAGCCGCAAGACAAGCCAGCGTTCTCTTGCAGTCGTTGGTGGAAGTATTTTCCATATTTCTCATCTGACTCTCGTAACATTCCATTTCTACGGTATTCTAAATTGTTCTAGCTGGGTCCTGAAACTCTTCATTTTCGATCCTAAGCTCCGAAGAAGCGTAAAACACCGAAAACGTCCACGGACCACGTCATGTTGGTTCTAGTCCATGATAAATAAATATATTTTGGATGAAAAATGAAAGTCCCTGAGTTTAGGGCCTACCTTAGGACCTCTATATTCACGTGGTAAAATTTCAACCGAATCGGGATTTGACTTCTTTAATATATATATAGATTGACCCTTTCATATCACCTTAAAGAATCCATTTATTAACAGGTCACCTGGGCAGCTGTATCCTGCTCGGCTAGCATGCATTCTACGGATGTCCTGTATTTTAACCAGAAATCGAAACCATGGGTTTCCAACCCTGGCGTCCTGGCCAGCCATCTTTGCACGAGACTGCTCAAGCTGGGTTCCTCTTCGGACCTCCTTATGGCGTCTATCGCTTCAGGGTCTTGGCCGAAAACTCTTGTATAGCTTTGGTTGTACTTCACTCTGTGTTCTTGTTTAACCCCCAGCTTGTTTTCCAGGAGCCGAAATTGCAGAGACTGGAAGCCGGAAGCTGGGCACAGGTAGTCCCGAAACGCCATAAAGTCCAGAGGGGTCATGGTCTCCAGGATCATCACCTGGTCCACCAGCAACTGAAAAGATATTTCGATAATCCTCACAATGGTCATCAACATATTGTTTCTTCACATGAACTTAGCCGAGAGTCTTCGTGTAATCCCTCTGCAAATTTGATTACACGATTTATACGCTTGTCATTGGCTGGACATGCACCAGTGGTAAATCCATTTCTTCAGAGGTGCTGAGGTTTTTAATCCTTTTAACCATCACTTCCACGAGGATGAGCCAAGCGTGTAGCAACTATCGATTGACAGTGGCTGAACAGCCAACTTGTACGGTTGCCATAATTCTCTGTTTATTAATCGTCAAGAGATAATCAGGTCCACGAGTGGCGTATTAATTACTACCTGTTGTTACAGCCACCATTTCTTTTTTTCTCGCGTTTATTGAACCGACTTGTTAAGGATGTCATTTGATATAAAACAAGGAAAAGTCATAGTTTGGTATTAATTATGGAATGGTAATGAGATATATGTGTGGGGTATTAATTACGTCTCATTACAGCATGTTTATTGTGCTCCCGTGTCAAGGTCGCCATTTCATGTGAAGTAAGGGCAAGCCATCTCATTTTGCTATTATCAATTACGAAGTGGTAATTAGATCTATGCTATGTATTAATTAGAACCTGTAATTACAGCTTATGTATTGATCCCTCGTGTCAAGGACGTCAAGGGTGTCAGGAGTCTCAAGTGTTAAGTGGATTGTGAAAGCTGCAGAATACAAGATGGCGGCCTCGGTAGCCTAGAAGCGAGGAGGAGAGATTCCGATTAAAAGAACTGGATATTTCGCCCTTTTTCTCATTTTCTTTCCCGCTCCTAGTTTGTGGTATTGCAAAGGACTACATAACGGGATAGTTATCCAACCTAACCTCACCTGGCGGCACTTCCGAGGTGTCGCATGTCATCCGAAGATATTACCTTACACCTTCACCGACAACCCAAGATGGTTCCCACAATATCGTCTGTCAGTGTCAAGAGTTTGTCTTACACAGATTGCGAAAGCGACGTCCATCAAAATGCAGCGACATAAATGATTGAACTCCCCAGCGGTACTTCATAAAAAATTCTCAATTCAAGATGGCCGAAAGTTCAATTCAACTCGTAAATGAAAATTTGTTCGTTTCCACCCGACGTCGTCGTATTTTAAATATATCTAAGAAATATAAGCATCTCTCCTCAAAAGTTAGAATCATATATTTTTTGTTTAATTCTTCTTGACTATTATCAGTCACAACTACCTACGTCAGAGATTAATAAAGTACCGGATTGGACAGGCAAAGTGCACATTTTTTTATATGACGATATCGGGGCAAAATGATTTTCGTTAAAGGGTTAAATTTGAAAAAGCTGAGAAAAGCTGTAATGTCACCCAACTGATCCCGTGAAAACTCAGTTTCTAAATTCTCGAAGAAATTAACTATGCTCGTAAAAGCCTCGATTTAGTTGTCGCCGCCATTTTGGAATTTCGTTCTATCAATGATAATGAGGATACATCTACTGGGTGCATTAATGAGTTAAATTAAAGGAATCTAGAGATACCGTAATTCCAGGAAGCTAATCCTATGAAAAGTCAGTTTTTAAATCCTCGAGAGATTTAACGATGCCCGTAAAAGCCTCGATTTAGTTGTCGCCGCCATTTTGGAATTTCGTTCTATCAATGATAATGAGGATACAAGCGATCTACTGGGTGAATTAATGAGTTAAATTAAAGGAATCTAGAGAAACATTAATTCCAGGAAGCTAATCCTATGAAAAGTCAGTCTCTAAATCCTCTTGAGATTTAACGATGCCCGTAAAAGCCTCGATTTAGTTGCCGCCGCCATTTTGGAATTTCGTTCTATCAATGCTCACGGATGTGCACGCGATCTCATGGATGTACTCCCATACGACGTGGAAATTCAATTAGAGCCCCCAGTAACGAAACACCAGGTACAGACGAGATTCTACGTGGCTAATCGGATTTTTGTTAGGAGGCATTCACCCCGGCATGCCATCATTGTCACTGTCACCGTTCAGGTCGGCAACCTAGACATAATCCTAGATAGAACTACATTCTCCAGTAATATACAGGGTGTCCCAGAATAAATAGCAAACATGACATGCAGCTAAAACGATGCTACAAAATTAATCCAAGCTTCTACAAAATGCGCAGTTCTCACGATACAATTTTATCTAATGGACCAATGCCCATGTTAATATTAATGTTATAATTTACCGCGTAAATTGAGGAAGGGGTGTGTTTCTTTCGAGGGGGTTTAAAACTGCCTTTTCATATGGTGAGCTTATCGACGTATCAGATTTGTACTTGTCGTACGTACTTTTAAAATAAGCACGATGCGGTTGAGCCTCTTCAGGATCTCCAGCGTCCTCGACTCGTCCAGACCCTGAAGAACGAATAATTTATACATATTTATATATATATATAAACTCTCGAAAGAACAATCAGTCATATGATTATACCTTGAATTTGTAATTTGAATTTTTTGTTTATAATTACCTGGGTGTCGAAGAGTGCTCGCACAGAGTCCAGCTCGTAGATGATTTGCTTGAACCATAATTCATAAGCTGAAAATGAATTGTAAAGAAGAGAAGAGAGAATGTATTAATGACGAATTAAAAAAATTATTAAAATCGTGTCGTTAGCCACAAAACCTCGTGGGGTACAAAATTGGGTGGTGCCACGAAACTTCTTAGCCATCCCAATAAAAAACAATGAATTTTTCTCACCTTGATGAGTGACGATGAAGAGGTGTTCGTCGTGCACAGCTTCTTCATTATATTCTGCACTGAGGAGTCTTTGGGCAGATAGGATCTTATCAAGGCGAAGATATTCTGCATAAAGAAGCCCTGGTCCCTCGGTCAATTGAACTCCTTCCTGACTGGAGTCATCTCTTAAAAAGAAAATTTTAATATGATTATGAGAGTGCAGCAAATCAAAGAAAAGTAAAGATTGCCGTAGAAATCGAAATAAGAGATAAGTTGGTGACCCAAGGCTGAAAATGTAAGGCCAGGATATCAAATATCGGATGATAAGAACAATTCCTTTGCATTATTCAAGAATACAGATAGCGTAGAAAAAAAAAATAAAAAATAAAAAACAAAAGAAAATGGAATTTTAAAACGCTTCGAGGAGGTCGTTTAATGTTTGCGAAGCGACGAAGATTAGCTTCACGGATTAGCAGATGATGTAAAGGCTGCGATATGGCCAAAAACTCAAGGTCACGGTATCAGTGGGCCAGGGATGTCTAATCGATGACGATATCGCATGTTCTGCAACGCCTAGGGATATATAACTGACCTAATGACACATTCGGCAAGAGACAACAACTGCTAGAAGATAACAGCGCCATGTTACGTAAATTCGAGATTTGCTCGAGCATGGTTTAAAAAGTTTGCCTTCCACCTTATAACTTAAGGTGAAGTGAAACATCCTTCAAATCAGTCGATTCGAATACAACACTTTTTTTTTAAGGGTATTAGACCAAACCGTCCGAAATTTTGACACATCACTCCTGATCATCTAAGAATTGTCCTGACACATTGAAAATTAGGATTTTTCAACAAAATTTTGTAACTCATTCCAGACCAGAACCAAAATGGCGTCGAGCTCTCATATTTCGATCAATATACAATTATCGAAGGCTCTGATATGAGAATCGAAAGCGTCAGGACAATTTTACGAGAATTTAGAACACTCTGGTAATCGATAAACTCGCATTTGAACGGGATAAAGGCAAAAAAAGTGTTGTATGCGCTTCTTTGCTAAAACGATGGTAATACGAGGTCTCGGAGTAAAAATTTAATTGACCTGGAAATCACAGATGGCGCAGGGGGTCCCTCCGCAGTCAATTAGGGCCCCAGAAGGCACGAATCCAGAGGATTTCTGGAGTTTTACTTCGATTTCTTTATAATTATTGCACGAAAACGACAGGTGGAATATGCCATTTGGTACGATACCCAATATAATTCGACCCAGCTGTCAATATAAAAACCAACGTCGGCAACGTAGGCATTTAGAAAAATCTTCTCTATCGACGTTGATCAAGTTCCTCGACGTGTTTCACTTCACCTTAATGTGGAATTTTTCTTTCCCGTGGAATCAGCCTCGAAATCGATCACTGGAGAGGTTTTACTCACGTCCCATTTCCCATTGGACAAGACATCCTTCCGATGAATGATGCCGATCAGCTGACGAGGTGGCGCTCTGAGGTTCCCGAATTTCCCGCCGAAAAAGACTCCTTTTTCAATGTAATTTCCACTTCCCTCGTAAATCAACTCCACCAGAACTCAGAAATCACATCTAGGAGAGGAATTATGCACCGTTTAGTGAGCCCGCAACGACATTTCCCTCTTTAAGTTTGATTTTCGAAAGTGGAACCCTCGGGGTTAAAGTTCCACTTTTTTCAGAGGTCCTCTCAGATTCGCGACGGTAAACCACTGTCCCTGGGTTTGATATCTGGAAAGAGGAATTCCACGACGGTCTGTCGTTGATTTTTTTAGTGTTTTAGGTGCTTAGTACCGGAAATAGTTCTTGGGAGGACCGAATCACGGCAGCTTGGGCCAAAGTCTGCAGATAGTCAGGAGAGATCGCCTCTTTTAAGCTGGCGTCGCTTCGTACTCATTGCTCAATAATTGCTATAAAAGCCGAAAAAAACATGAAGCCGGCCACTGTTACCAAGTATGATATCTGGGAAGATACGATTATTCTTACGAGCTCCGGTTTCCGAGCCGAATAATCCCGTGCACCGGAAGCACTGGGTCACGTGGTCGGCGAAGAGAAACGGCAATTAACGGAATCCACGGAAAAGCCAGAAATTTCAGCAATTTATCCGGAAATAAATCCTCCGATGAAATTAAGACAACTCGTTACTAAAACCGCTACGTAAACAATTGTATAAAAAAAATCCGACAATTTCCCACGCCCTCCGATTGGAGGGATCGAAGTCGCTCGTCTAATTCACCGGAGGAAAATCCCGCCAGATACAAAACGCCGTCCAGACGTTTCAAACACTAGAAGAATGAATCAGATATCCCACAATGTTCCAAAATAACCTAAAGAATCCCTTAACCCTCACATATTTTATCGTCCATAACCTAAAACCATGGCCTCATAGAGCGCCTTAATTTCCTCATTGTAAATTGATGAGGTAACGTTAAAACAGTCCGAAAGCAAACTTTTTAGGAGAGGTTATGCATTGTAGGATAGAAATATATTAATAAAGAGGGAGGTGTTAATGTATTAATACAAAATGTGGAGGGGAAACAGGGTGAGGTGTGAAGCCGCGTCTGAGACCTATCTCTGCGGTTAAGGGTTAATATATTAATCAATAAATATGTAGAGGCTGTCTAATGTGTTTTGGCACGTTTATATGCTCGACAGGTATTGCTCCGAAATGTAGGAACGGTTTTGCGCGGTTAACTCCCGATTTTTATGTACCCTTTGATGGTTTAAACCCTTCTTTGGGCGGGAAACACTTTCTCCGGTGCGGAGCGGTTAAGGGTTAATATATATTAATCAATAAATATGTAGAGGCTGTCTAATGTGTTTCGGCAAGTTTATATGCTCGACAGGTATTGCTCCGAAATGTAGGAACGATTTTGCGCGGTTAACTCCCGATTTTTATGTACCCTTTGATGGTTTAAACCCTTCTTTGGGCGGGAAACACTTTCTCCAGTGCGGAGGGTCGGTCAGCGGTTTGCAAACTGTCCGGCTGTGGACTCTTTATAAGCAAAAGCTCACGCGTTCTGCCTTAGTGATAGTGTCGCGTCCTCGGTAACGACTGACGTATGTTTCTTACTCGTCTAAGTACACGATGTACGTAGGGGCCGGTTCGACGGGGTCGCCATGGCCATTCATTCCCATTGCGAGAAATTTCTCCCTTCTTCCTCCCACCTCGCATCATCTTAGACAATGAAATACCAACGAAATTCATTTCCTTCCTCTGACAATCGTATTTACACCAAAACCGTTTTTTTTTACTCATTCCATTGTCATCGTGGATATCAGTTCTCCACGATTATTTTCAAGGTGATTTTCATACGGGTTTATTTTGAGAAAAATTCCCTCCTGGAAATTTGTTGGCTAGAAAAAAGGATGGTATTTATTTAGAACTGAAAATTTGGAAAACTTATATGTGAGGTAATTAAGGAAAGGGTATTTTTATAAGCGCTTCTAAATCTATGGCATATGTGCCCATAATTATGAAAGTGGTCTAAGTCATATATTTTTTGTTTCGAAATTACATTGAATTAATTTTGCTTGAAATAATATGGCGTGAAATAACTGATAAACTCATTTTTTTTTTTAATTTTGACGTAGACCACTTTCATAATTATGGGCACATATGGTTGCGATTGGTAGGCGTTATAAAATTATATTTCTGGGGGTGACTTTACCGACTGAGGGTTCAGTTTGAAATATCAGCTGATTAAAGTCGGTAGAGGGTTCGACTTATGCGAAAGTTTTGCTCGTTGTTACCACCTGAGGCTGGGATCTGCATTATCGAGGATTGATAATGTACTGTCGACGAATAAGTACACTGGCGCAATATTTTTCGGCAGCTGGTACCAACTTCCGGCTGCTTTGTGGGTAACTGGGGCAAATTCATGGTAATGGCGTTTTAATATGCCACGGTATTTTATATATATGTATAATTGATGTAATTTGTAGATTTAAGATATCGAATGTTAAGACATTTCGCGTCCGCCATTTTCTTTTCTTTTCGTCCTGCTTAAATGTTTTACGTATTTTTATTCACGCTTGGCTTGACGTCCTCGTGGATTAATATCCACATTAATGCATTTTCTATTTTTAATTACTAAGACCAATAATATTTAAACGGTTAAGGGGTCTTTTACGTTTCTATTTCGACTCGGCATTGAAATCGCTTTTCTTTTTCAGAACAGCAGTTGTTGGAACGACTTTAAGAGCTTCGAGAAGTTTACCCATTTTACTCTCAATAGCCCGAGAGTTCATTTAGGTTAAGCTCGACATAATGGATACGATTTCTTTGTGGCGATTGACGCCGTGGATGAAGAAGTGCACTATTAAAAAGAGTACTGCATGACTGGTGAATATTGGGAAAAACGTGTATGCATTTTATGAATATATTTAACGCTGTGCGTAATCGAGTAGGTAGCGTTGAGTCATAATTCGACGTGGGAAATAGTGATACACGTGTGAATGGGTTCATAGAGTGAATGCAAGTGGTTACAAAGATGATGGAATATGGTAAAAAGTGTGATGTTAAAGATGTGTGATGCAAATCTGCGATAATTTAATTTAAATCACGCCGATTTCCCGCGCAGGAACTCCGGAGGCGTCGGCCGTGGCAGATAAGACTAAACATTTTTCGTAGAAAATAAATGATAAGACAAAAAGAAGCGAATATTGAAAAATTATACGTATATTATAAGAAAAGTCCTGAAGTTTAAGGTGGTGAAATTACGTTACATGTAGGAAATTCTCGTCGAAATTTTAATAACGGCCATTTGACCGGCCTTGGTGGGTTTAGTGTTAAGTTAACTCGATCCAAGGATTAAAAGTGCTTTGTCAATAATCGTTAGATAAGCCGTGATCTCATTGACCGCGTTTTATTGCGTCTCGGAAGGAATCGCGAATGAAATCTTGAACCGCAGTTCCATTTATAACGGTGGGTCAAATCGTTAGGTTGACTGATTTAATATTCCAATATATATTACCCATCTGGTACACATATCAGCCCCGTATTTCCCATAATCTCGGCTACTTTTAACAGTAATTTCCAATGCTTCGAGTCTGGTTGGAATTTTTTTTCTTATTCTCGGAGTTAAGGAAGAACCGAATTTCGAGTTTTTTTTTCCAGCGCGTTCCGGCCGCCATCTTTGATGCGCGTCGGACCATTTATAACGGTGGGTCAAATCGTTAGGTTGACTGATTTAATATTCCAATATATATTACCCATCTGGTACACATATCAGCCCCGTATTTCCCATAATCTCGGCTACTTTTAACAGTAATTTCCAATGCTTCGAGTCTGGTTGGAATTTTTTTTCTTATTCTCGGAGTTAAGGAAGAACCGAATTTCGAGTTTTTTTTTCCAGCGCGTTCCGGCCGCCATCTTTGATGCGCGTCGGACAAAGAATGTCTAAAAGGTCGAAAGCGCGATTAATCTCCTGTGTCCTTCGCAGTCTTTCCAGATATTCCCGTCACGTGCGCACAGTGGACCGGCGAAAAATGTATCGCAATTGTATGCAAGAGGAGACAAAGTGGAAAGTACCTCGGCCCGTACCAGTCTCGTGAAGAAAGAACTTAAGCGGAATTACGAGATGCATTTATTCCGCCATTTGTTTGGGCAAATCGATAAATGTTGTCGCAACAGGTGGAGGGCTCACGAACGCGTCTCTGCATTCTCTTCGTCGTTTGGGGTAGATTTGCGTTAATTGAATGAAATTACCGATCTTCTCCCGCCCCTTGTAATTCAGCTCGACTGTTATTAAGTATTGTTACCTTGTAATAAATTTAAAAACGGGGTTCTTAGTGTCGCAGGACTTTTTAGCCGACCCAATGTCGGCGGGAAAATTGTATGTCTAGAGTCTGGCTTCTGTTCTCTAATTTGTTAATTTAAAAAAACGGTGCCTGCAAATCCATCGACAATTTTATAGTCAGTGGACACAACCTTCGCTAAAATGGCGGCCTCCACGGGAACTTTTTCGCAGGCAACCAGGAAGTATTTGAATTCATGCAATTACAATTCCCCCCTCTTCCGTGAATAATTTTCTTTGCTTCCTCGGGAGTACATTGTGTTCGGGATAACCAGGAAGCCATTTTATGGGCCTTTTGTATCTATCGGACACATTCGGATGGTCGCTGATGAGTTCATTAACCTATAAAGTCGACCAAATTCCGTTTCTCCTCAGCATCGATCCTCTGACAATTAGACATAAACGCACTAATTGTGCCCATAATTATGAAAGTGGTCTAAGTAAAAATTAAAAAAAAAAATGAGTTTATCAGTTATTTCACGCCATATTATTTCAAACGAAATTAATTCAATGTAATTTCGAAAGAAAAAATATATGACTTAGCACACTTTCATAATTATGGGCACAATTGTCAATCGATGGAAGCAGAAGTCGATCGGCTTGAAATAAATTCCTCTTATAGCGTAAAAAATGTATAAAAATCTCCTCTAAAGTCTAAACCGTGTATCTTGGCAATGTCGGCCCAACTCGAACTTTTAGCCATCCAATATTCAAAATGGTGGAACGTTTTCTGTCCCATCTTTCGCCGGACTTTTAATATTTGCCCGCAGCAAACTGCAAAGGCCAACAAGGTGGAGTTCCATAATCTGTTCCGCCCTTGTAAAACAAATGAAAATGTCGAATTGACACACCGTTCGAAATGGAAGGTCCTAGTTCGTTTTATCGGGTTACAAGCTGGGGGGACAAGAACACCTTGTCCTCTTGGAGGTCAATCAAGGTAACGTGCCAAATTGATTGGTTTCAGAATCGAGTAAATCGACTTCCCTCCTTTCCTTCATCTTCGCACCGGGGGAAATAAATCCGAACTCAGAAGCGAACGAATCACTTTTTATTCAATGTTTACAAGAATTACATGTACAGCTTGTCAATTTGCAGAGGTGACCAGTTGTCCCAGAGGATTCATCGGAAATTCAGGAAACACTCCAAGTTCTCGCTGAAGGCTAAAACCGATTTCTCTACTCACCCTTGAAGTGCTAGGAATTTAACAATTCCCGGGAACGAAGTGCACACCCTTGAGGTACAATTAGTACTCGACGACACGTGACGCACCTCCTAGAACTTACCTTCAATTGCTCAGGAATATCCATTGTTGGATCCATGTCGCTAACCTACAAATTGAAGATTAAATCCCGACTAAAAGATTCGAAGTCGTTCTTTGAAGTAGTATAAGGAGACATGAGCCGCTCAGTGCACACATTGATTAACTCTATAAAAGAAAAAGTTGAGAAATGCGATGAAGTAATGTAGATTCTTTTTTAAAATTGCTATTATAATATAACTTGAAATATATAATGTAGAATACATAAATACAGTTATAGTTTTCATCTAACGGTATGTAAAATTAATAAGAAAGAATAGCCAAAAAATAATCCTCTGCATTTTATATCGACAAATGTTTTTGCAGGTATTCAATTTCCTCCCCTATTCCTGTATGCCAAACCTTTTGTTCCGTTATGCTTTTGTAAATTTCGTGCCCATTTATCAGGATTAGGACTTCTTTTCCTCCCAATCGATGTGTTTTTTGGGGAATTTGTACCGTTGCAATCGGATGAATCCGAGAAACACGATAAACGTCTTCTTGCACCAGACATTCTGCTGATAAACCGTATTGAAGAACCATCACTGCTTTCCACATCCACATTGTTATTAGTTTCACTCATCTTGATTATAACGGTATAATATTTAGTTCTTTAAAAACAATCAGGGAGTAATGTTGAAAAGACCAAAAAATATGTATTCCGTGTAATATTGGTGAAGTATACAGTAACATTCAGCGTGAGAGATCACTGTTATACCAACTACCGTCTGCATTGCGCTTCATTCTATCGGTTTGCTGATGGGATTTTATTACTCATATTGTTGAAAGGGGGAA